TAGATCTGATAACATCCACATGTCATTGTTTTGCTTGTGTTGAATGATTTCGTCGTCTTCGTTTCCGTCATTCGGATCGGGATTGACTTCGATGATTTGGCTTGATTCGAGAGTCGTTCGTTTCTTCTTGTATTTCTTTCGTGCAATATTTGGAATCTCTGGTTGTGGTATAATTCCCTCCGTCTGAATGAAGAGGTCAAGAAGACCTAAGGCGTCTGTCTGCCTTCAGTTGGAACTCATGGTCCCATTCGGGCCATTCTCTTGCTTCCGACAGTGATGCTGAGAAGTCTGCCTTCTCAGACTCTCGAAGGGTTGAAAGGACAGGCATTTTAGATATGCAGGATAAATGGGTTTAGTCAAAGGGATCGGCGATGAGACTCTTAATTGTCAGATTTGAGCCAATCGTGAGGTTGAAGTGTGTCTGTGTATTCTGTCTCTTTAGAGTGTCCTCGTGCGACCGTGGCAGTTTTATGCCAGAGGGGGCTGGATCGGGACGGAACAACTAGGTTCTGGTGTCTACCTATCAAGGTGCCCTCTGGGCTCACCTTTAATCCAACAGATTGAGAGGAATCTAGCTGGACTCGAAGGTCTAGCCAAGTGCCCTCTCAATCCACTATCTTATCTTATCTAATCATACATATGGGTCCTGGTATAGATGGTTTGCAGTCTGGAATCGCATGGATCCAACACTAATTAAATTTATAAGCATTAACTCTTTTATATCTAGTAGTTTTGTTATTTAAAAAGCCTTTTCAAAAATGTTTTGAAGTTAAAGTTAATGTGACGGCCTGCACAGACCTTCCCACATGACAAGCGGATACTTCCTAATAGGGGAAGGATCTAACCAGAGGATCCCCTTAAAGGGGCAACCTCCTACTGTACCTATCTCTCTCTCTCTTTTCCTTTCCTCTCTAGTCTTGATATTCTCGTCAATAGAGTAATAGCTGCTTGCTGCCGGCCATGTCCCAGCTCCTCAGTACGCTTGCCGTAACAGTTAACCCTTTTTTATCGAAACTATTTTAGCAATTAGAAAAATCTTTAATTCAAGCATTATCTTTAAAAAAACCTTTTAAGTTTAATAGTTTATCAAAAAGTTTGAAAGACTGCTAATTAGTATTATATATGCTTTGAAACGGCTAAATTTCGAATAATATTGCTTGCAAATAGCTAAAAAATGTTTTTTCTTAGAAATAAACGCAAAACGAGGAAGAAACCAGTTTAAAGCGATCCTTTTAATATTAAATGGCTATAAAAGTTATACCTTCATATATATATACAATTTTAATTTTTAAACTCCTTTTTAATTTTTTTAATTTAATATAATTTAACGCGTGTTAATAAAACGAAATAATAACATTGTATTATTTTAATAACATTTTGCTTCAATTTTTTCTTAGGTGTATTAATCATAATATATAACCTCTAAATAACGGACTTTATAACGCTTTAAAAGCTTATTTCCAAGAATTGCTCTTTAAGTTAAATTCTTTGATAAATACTTTACTTGTTAATAAGATTGATTTTTCTTGTTATTATAACAAAACGAAAAACTTTTACTTTTATTAAATAAAATATTTTTTCAAGCTTTAAGGTTACTAAATGCGATTTTATTAACTATAAAATGTGCTTATATCACTTAAAAAAGCCTTTAAACTTTATATTTTTAAAACCTTTAAATTAAAAAACTAACAAACTATTATTATAAGCTATTAAAATATAAATTTCTATAAAAATATTTTCTTGAAGACTAGACTGAAATATAAAAACATAATGAACGCGTTTAAAGCTAAAACGACCGATATTATTATTAAATCAAAAGTTTTAAGACTTTAAAGGCTAAATTAAAGTAATTACGGCTAAAAATCGCTAAAAATCCTTAATCTTAATAAAAAGTTTAAGATGATAATAAAAATATTATTTTTAAAAAGTATTATTAGCCTTACCATACGCATAAAGGTATAAAAAAATACTTATTAAATCGAAAAATAAAGAGAAAAATAAAGATAACGCTTTTAATAAAGACTGTGATAGTGCAGCTACCATTAGGGCCTTGTCACGTGCACGTCACGTGACTTGGCCAACGTTGTCCCGTTCCGAAAAGTGGAGCGTTATGGAGCTGGTTGCACAGATCTATCACACCACCCAATTTGGCTGGGGGACCTGATCTTCTTTCCCTTCTCTTCACCAAGAGATTTTCGTAGATATATAATAATTGGAGCCCTTATGCTCAACAACCCTTATACAGAACGTGACAAAGACGTTTTAAAGGCCATATAAAAGCCTTACTTATTACAATTTAGGCGAGCCATTTAGGCGAGCCATTTAAGCGCCGGCTAGATATTACGCATAAGTAGCTTTAACGCTTTTGAATAATAATTTCGCTGTATTTCTCTAACCTAAACGGCTTCATTTGTATATAAGTGAATAAGGGGGTGTTTTAGTGGTGATGGTGGGGTTTGGCTGTCCGACTAGTGGGGGTGTCCGACTTCTATGGGGGGATGGTAAGGCCCGGACACCGGAATCTTAAAGAACAATGATCCGACGGCAAAGAGTAACAGGAGGCCAAGCTTCTGCTTTGTCCGTATTTGCAATCGCATCGCGGTGGGCATTGGCAGGGCCAGGAGGGCAATATCAGTGAAAACGCCCAGTGCCGTGGTTGCTACATAAATCGCGCCTCTGTCGACGCAGCTTGCCGTCAACGCCAGTGTTGGATCCCAACTGGCGGCGATGGGCCGGCAGGCAAATAGTAGGCTGAGGAATATTCCCGCGGAGGACCCGACGCATATGATGAAGGTCGCCCAGACCCAGTACTGGAACGAGTGGAAGGGCGAGAGACGTCGATAAAATAGGCACAGAGTCGCCTTGGAGGCGCCAACCGTGATGGTATACACCAAGGGAGCGGAAAAGATCATCTGGCAAACAAAAGGGGTCATCAGCGGGTTCGATCAATGATAGGGGTACATGCACTCACCTGGCTGAAGTACCGGTACGGCTCCAAGGGCATCTCCCAGGCGTGCACGCCGACGGCCTTCACGACGTATAGCTGAAGGAGATGTGCCTGCGTCACCACCGAGGTCACCCAGGCAAGAAGAACGGTAACTGTGTGCTCGCGGTCAGCAAATGTAGATTCACGCCATGCCAGTTACCTGGGTACGGAACGAGGAATCATGGCCTACATTCTTCTGCTTGAAAGCTCCTCATCAGGAACAACTTGGTGTACAAGCGCTGCGACAGGAAAGCGAAGGCCACGATGTTCTCGACAATGCAGACGGCGAAGATCGGAGTCTTGCCTATTTGCGGTGGATCGCGGAAGTTGACCACATAGCCTTCTGGGGCCGGTATATGATGATGGTTTGTACGCCATCGGTCATGAACATTTTCGCTGCTCGCTAGACTGACTACCTCTTGCCGAACGTAGTTTCGAGCATCCGTGAAAGGTCAGATGCGAAGACAGAATGAATCGTACGGTGTCTTGCGCGGAGGACTTGGGGGCTAGGGGCCTTTTGGCTTCATCCATATGGGGTGCGTCCTTCCCATAGACAGTATTAATGCCCCTACATTGCCTCATTGCTTCCGTACTCCTATGAGAACTGGCTGGGGTTCTGTTCCCTTGACGTTGAGAGGCTTGAGAAGTACCAACCCATATCTCATCACACCCGAAGCCCTGGGCCGCGGTGTAGAGCACAATCCGCCGCGTCATCTAGTGCTCTCCATTCCAGCATGGCAGAGAGGCATTCTTGAGTACGAAGCCGTGGGGGTCAGTTGGCGATGCGTCTGGGTTGGACCCGAGGCGACGGAACGCTAACAGAGACTTCACACATCATGTGATTCATAGCCAAGCGGCAGGGTGTGCTACTCCTACACGAGGAGCTCCAGACTGACCGACTACGCCGAGGAATGCGCTCCTTCGACCTCTTTGTGACTGTAGGTAGACATGGAGATGTGTGTCTAGTCGAAAGCATTGCAAAGCCAGCGGTAGAAGCTGAGGGGTTTATCGATCACGACCCGTCACTCATATCATCTCCTCAAATCGATGTCCGATGATCCGAAATATATAGGCCAAAATGGAGGAGTTTTCTCATGCATGCATGAGCCGCAGGCACAGAAACCCCAATGCCTGTGGGCATATAACTTTGGCGGATAGTTGATAGTCTCGCAACTCAGACGGAGGCCCAACCCACGTCCGACATGGGCCATCTTGGACCGATGGATGATCGCTGTGTCGAGGAGATAGACGGGTAGTATGTAAGGGCTTCACGGGATCACTGGAATGCATTGGTTCAATTGGGGTGGAAGATAAGGACAATTTCGAGCCTCGGAATGGGGTAATTCAAATCGTAAATGACAGCTCATCCATCACCCCGGCCCGTGACCGAGACCCTGTGATAGGCTATAGCCAAGTACTATAGTCTATACGGGGTAAAGACCGATGCAGGTATACCCTGCCGCTGAGAAGATCCTTGCCCGGGGCCGCGGGATGCATCCGACCGGCAACGATTGTCACGGAAGGGACTGCTCGGTCTACTATGGTATGAAATAACCGTCTACAGTTGCATTGCCAGACTGCCGGTAGAGAGTGAGAAGCCATGGGGAGAGCAGTGGCGATGCTCGTTCCATCGTCACATGTCACGTAAAAAAGGCGCCCTCCTGGCCTTTCGGTATATTGGGTTTCGGTTCATGTTTCGTCATCCTACGCGGATTGTCAGGCTTCCTGTTTTCTGTACTTCGATCGAGGCTTCGCTTCGTCATGATGCAGCATCTCCTGGCCCTTTCGGCCACAGCTACTGCGCTCCTCGGACCGGCCATTGCGGGTCCCTCGAGCAGCCCGAGAGAATGCGTGAGCATTCGTTTCATAACGTCGCGTGCCGGGCCACATACTGACATATTTACATTGCGGAGCCTTGATGGATGCTGGGATATCCGTGTTATACCCAGGGGGTGATCTATGCGACAACCGTACTCTTTCTTTCGTATTGGTCTGTCACCTCCCAGTTGACGCCATGGTGTATCGTAAGCCAGCATAACCTGTTACCCGGAGGCCTTTGAGCACTGAACAACTGACAACATATGGTATAGGCCCAGCCATCATCGACCGAGGAGGTCGCTACAGCCGTCACTGTCCTCGTACGGGATACAACATGTCAATTTGCTGTACGCAGCGGAGGCCATGAGTCCTCCATATTAACTTTGAGATGACGCCTGCTGACATATATCACCGTAGATATGGTATGGGGAGGTTCCAATAACAGTCAGTGCTATCAGTGACGCATCCGTGTGAGGCTCTCTGCTGACAAGAAGCCCACCAGTCGAGAGAGGAGTCACGGTGGACTTGGGCTTCTCCAACTCGACGACATACGACGCGGAGACGCAGGTGGCTTCCATTCGACCTGGCTCGCGATGGCGTGGGGTTTACGAGACTCTCGATCCCCTAGGCGTCACCGTTCTGGGCGGGCGAGCTGCCTCAGTTGGTGTGGCGGGTTTCCTGACAGGCGGAGGGAACTCCTTCTACTCGGCGAAGAAGGGATTCGCGTGTGATAACGTGGTGAACTTTGAGGTCGTACTTGCCAACGGGTAAGCACTGTACCCACCCGTCAGCGCTAACGCTGATGGAGCGCCTGATGATAATACCGTATCAAGGGGGCAGGGAGATCATCAATGCCAACTCTGATGAGAATCCAGATCTCTACCAGGCCTTGAAGGACGGCCAGTCCAACTTTGGCATCGTCACACGATTTGACATGCAGGGTTTCACCGCCCCTTTACTCTGGGGAGGTGTAGTGCAGTACAACAAGACGACCGGCCCCCAACACATCGACGCCTACGTCGACTGGACGAACAAGGTGCAGGACGACGTCAACGGCTCCGCCATCGTCTTCTGGACCTTCCAGCCTGCGCTTCAGGAGATCATCATCGTCGGGGCCTACGAGGACACCGGCGGCAACGTGGCGGCCCCGGCATTCGACGAATTCCTGGCTATTCAGGGCAACCTGTCAAGCACCATGAGAATCGCCAGTCACCTTGAATTAACCAACGATCTCGAGCAGCCGAAGGGGTACCGCGACATATGGTGGACGGGCACCATCAAGAATGACAAGCGCGTGTACGAGAAGATCGTCGCTCTGCATGAGGAGCTGTGCGACTTCATGTCCGCGCAGTCGCCCGACGGAGACTCCGTCACGCAGGCCAGTGTATAATTTCCATTTTCGTCATTTCCCCATTATACAGTCCTTGGCGGTGGCTCTCTTCAAGCCTGTATCATGAGCGTTGGCGTTTAGACTTACAGCCGTACCACCCTGTTCCAGCTAAAATATCTAAGAAGCATGATTACTGACTGCGAGTTCCTAAAGTGTTCCAGTTGATACCCACCATCTTCACCAAGCACAGCGAGGAGAGGGGCGGCAACGAGCTCGGCCTCGACCGTGAGACGGAGAACGTCGTCATGGTGCTCATCACCCTTGCCGTCAACGGGGAAGAACAGCAGGCCGTCGCCCAGGAGCAGGTGCGCAAGCTCGGAGACGAGACGATGGCGTTCGCCGCCAGCCTGGGCTCGAAGGTCGAGTGGGAGTATATCAACTACGCCTACAGCTGGCAGGACCCGCTGGCGAGCTACGGGGTCCAGAATGTGGCCAAGATCCGAGAGATGGCGGCCAAGTTTGATCCCCAGGGCATCTTCCAGACTCGGGCGCCGGGTGGCTTCAAGATATCAAAGTCTACCGGTACTGCCGCTTAAGATGACGAAGCGTCAACACGCCTTGATATTTGAGCCTTGTCATACACTCAGGTTAGACCGAGGCAACACAGAAAGTATGATAGACCTGCATATGATGTGCGAGCCTTGGGATTGAAAATTACCCCTGATCATGGGACCGAGAGGCATCACTAGGTAGCCGTGTCATCTAACTGGCCAGGATGCACAGTCAAGATAATATCATGACTGGGCTGATGATCTTGCCGCATGACATCTATCACCAAGTTACAGCCATCCGAAATGCACCGAGACTGAGGCAGGAAAGGGGCTGACAGCCGGTATTGAACGTGACATCGTCGATGTCCACCCTGCTATACCCAAGCAGCCCAGTGCACCATCCACCGTCCAAGTCAAGCTTGTTCGTTCAGCTACTCCAATGCCTCCACAAAGCCCAGCCAACAGAGCACGCAGCAAAGCCCCAGTGCCCAGCCTCCTTATGCCTCAGCCCATCCCTGCCATGCGCCCGAATAATGAAGCCGTCTGCGAGCGCCACCGCAGCAACGACAGAGACGACAGTCGTGGTCGCCACCTCCAAACCCTGGTATTGAAGCGCGCACACCAGGACGCCGTAGCTGATTTCGCGAAGCCCCTTGACGTAGACCAGGGGCGTCGGCCCCTCACGCTGCGTGGCCAGGGCGCGCCGTTGTGGCTACAGGGGCAGGCCGAAGCGCTCGTGCTCGTGGGCGGGCGATCTGAAGCTGTTGAGGCTGAGGATGATGCATAGTGCGCCGAAGATGTATGAGGGTGTTGGGGAGAAAGATGACATATTGATTGACTCGCGTGGGAGGAAAATGGGTGCAATTTGGCCGTCGTGCAACAAGGCGATCAGGTATCACAGAAGGAATTGGGCAACGTGAGAAATGATGGTAAGTAGATATGTTGATATGGAGTCTTCAACAAAAGTGATCAGGCAGCAGGCCGGAAGGTTGTGATGAATTTCTGCCACGCAAGGGTCGAACCAACCAAGCAACCAACCAGCCTTGTGCCCCTGTAAGCCAAGCGAAAGCGATCCCGAGCCGAGATGGGAGCACAGCTGCCCCTTGCTTCATGTCCAACACCAGGTCCTTCAACTCCGTTCAGGACCTTCGAATGCTTCTGGCATTCATGTCCCATATCCATACTTCTCGAACACAGCCACGACCTGTTCTTGCTTCATCTCTCTAGCCGCAACGTAGGGCGTTCTGCCCAGCAAATCCGTCAGCGGTTGTGCCCCTTTTTTGATGAGCCACTCCACCACCTCGAAGTTGCCGACCACGGCAGCGGGCATGCAGCGGGTCTGCCGTGGCAGGCTTCCGCTCATCTCCAACTCAACCATATGTCGAACGTCGCAGTGGTCGCGTTTGACATCCGGCATCCAGTGAAGGTCGTTTATCCAGTGTTTGAATAGAAGTTAAAAACCTCTGCACACCGCCTTTCTTGGTCTTGGCAGCAATTATGAGAAAGTCGTGGGCTTCCTCGTCAATCGGACATGTCAAAGGGTCCCCAATGTCGGGAACGTACATACACAAAACGTGATCGAGGACGGCCAGATGGCCATACAAAAGCGCTGCTAACACAGCCCCGCCATCCAGCCTGATGACTCGCAGTGAATCTCACGGTCTGTACAGAGACTTTACACCGTGACATCCCCTATCCAGCTGGTGGACCCCTGCCTTGCATAGACAGTCACAGCCTTAACGTGATGAGTTAAAGGACCAACCAAACGCTCTAGACGTTGATCGAAGTGCAGCTCATCTCATGGAAAGCATGATATACCGCCCAGGTCAGTTAGCAATACCTGACTACGCAGTGAACCATCGAAAACCAAGGGACGACGTGCCGGCCTTGTACCACTTCTCAAAGTTACCAGCATCCCATACCCGCGCAGCCCCTAAGACTCACTTGACATGTCAGGTAGGGGAAGCAGTCAGATCTACCAAGCAACGAAGACACTGGGGATGCAATAGATCAGTGGTAGGTATACAAACGAGATTGATCAGTAAGGACTAAATACATGCTCGTAGCTATGAATCTTCTCGTGATTGTATAACTCGCTTTATGAAGCGTTGGCGTCTGGCAGTCATGTTCAAGCTGAGATGGAGTGGCATCCGACAATTGTATCCAGTCGCTTGAAAGTAGAGTATCACCCAATGGCGGACGACAGTAGAGGTCCAGTGTTCCATGCTCAATATCCAGAATCAAACTGTCCACTATCGGCCCATAATTGCAATTTTCTTGTTGTGCCGCCCTTGAGTCCAAACCTCATACCAGCGCCGAGCTCTCTGTTGGGTGTGAATAAGTAGCTACAACGCCGCCCTGGTCTTTCCACCCGTATTCTGAAAGTCGTATATTCTAGCCCGCTTTTCCAGTGACAGTTAGTACGCATATCGTATATCTCTACTATACCAACCATCGGCGCAGGCGGTACTAGACAATGTTATACACCCTCTTTGCGATCCAGAAGCAGGCTAGACCAAAGACGAGCAAGCCACCTGTGATGGCAAAGAACCACTTCAGGTCGCCTTCATATTCTTGTCCAGGAACCCAGACGTTCATGCCCCACAGGCCGGTGATGATGTTCATGGGCAGGACAATGGTGCCAAGAACAGTCAGCTTGCCCAACACATCGGCAGTCTGCTCTTGCCGCTCGTTCATGCGAATGTTGATTTGGGCGATGTAGTTAGCGTGGCATCGCGCAAGAATCCTGTTCAGAACATTAGTCTCGTCGCTGAGGGTCCCAGTTCCTAGTGTGCAAAAGCACACGTCGAGATAGTGTACAATGTTCGGGGCTTGGAGGCAGGGACACTTACACTTCGTAGTGACTCAAGTTTGCGGTCATTGTGACGATGTGATCCTGGATATCGCCAAGATACAACCCGATCTCGGAACGTGGTGCGACTTCCCAGTGTTCGTTGCATCGCTTCGCGAATCCCTTGATGACATCGGCCTTATTTCCCAACAATCGATAAAGACTCATAACCTTCTTTCTGCAGTCACCTACGCGACGCAGCATGTCGCCATCGGACGACGTATTGTTTTCCGCAGTGTCGTTCTTCTCATTCTCGCTCCGGTTGTCAGAGCTCGATGAATCTGGATCGGAAGAAGAATGTAGCTGTAGGATCTTATCATCAATGTCATCGACATCATCCTCGATAGTCTGGATGAGTGGCTGGTAGACATCCGTGATGTCGTCAATGATTGCATAGCTGATCCAATCCGAGCTGAGCATCATGTAGTCTTTTAGTTGACGTATCCTGCGGCGCACGTTGGCCGGGTGGGGGGTCTGGCTGAAGTGGAAAGAGATGACACCTTCGCGGAACACCACGACATACATGTTGACCGGCTCAAGGTGGTTCTCCGAATCGGAGTCTTGGTCGAAGGACCGATAGTTGACAAAGTAGTAATGACGGAAGAGCTCAACCTTCTCGCGCTGCTCTTGAAGCATGATGTCTTCGGCCGTGAGAGGATGGATACCGAAGGCTTTGGAGAGAACCTTCATCTCCGCCTCTGTAGGACTGAGTACATCAAGCCACCATACGGGACGCTCGCCATAACGAGGCTTCTTCTCACCCGCGATAGGGGGTGGTTTCATACCAGGAAACGGTGATTTCGAGCGCATGGGCGTCACATCGCCCGACTGGTCTCTCGAGGGCGCAGCTGACTGGGTGGACAACTGCTTGGGCGAAAGAGTTAGATCTGGTTGATGCTCTGTAGTTGCGTTAATAGTCGTCGCCAATGACGGTTGTCGGGTTGGGCGCTTGGAATCGCTTTCGCCGTTCTTCACTGAGCCTGAAAATTGCACCAGCGGTTCGTCTTCTTCGCTTTCATCAGACGAGTCAGACAGGACTGGCGGATCAGGAATGAAGAGTTCTCTGAAGCTTGCGTCCGTCTGAACCAGCTCTGAGATGGTCTGACTGTGGATGGTGCTCGGGAATTCCTCGTTGAAATACGTGAACCGGTAAGGAGCGTCTTCCTCGGTTCGATACCATCCCTTGTGGGAAGGGCGCAGTCGGCCGTTGATAAGCTGTGGTTCTGTGATCCGTTTCATCCGCCTCTCCTCGTTTCGGTCCTCCGTTTCGAAGCGAGACCACTCTTCAAGAATGGCCAGGTCCGGCCACTTATTCCGCCGCCGCCGTCGCGACGAGCGCATACTGCGATTGTCCCGGGTTTGGTGCTGGTCTTCCTCTGCGATTTCCGACATGCCCTCCTGAGGGAAACATACATCCTCCTCTGCTTGCAATGCGATGGTGTGCCGTCGCTCGTAAGGGGAAGATTGAAGCAATGGATCTGTGTCGGCCTCTGCCATGCTGTTGGCACGAGAGTTGCTATGTGCCAGCTCATCCCTCATCATGACGTCTCCGAAACTCATATCCATTCGATCTGAGGGACCCAGGGTAGGCGACCCAGGCATTGACGGTGGGTAGTTGATGTTGTATCTCTCAGATGGCGTCATAGGGCCTACTCGTAGTTTATGGCTCGATTTGCTGGATCGACGACTTCGATTTCGGCCATATCCAGGTCGCGATCGGCCGTCATTCGAACCATAGTTCTCGGCGTCCAACCTACCTGAGCTCGACAACAGGGGCGCGTTCTCATTGTCATCCTCGGTGCCGTCTTGACCGCCGTGGCTCGAGTTCATCGTCCGTAAGCGAGCCGTGGCGGATTGTGACAGCTGAAAGGAGGTAGCGTGCGTCGAGGGTCGCCGAGGGCGTGGGTAGTGGTGATCTCTGTAGGATAGTCAGTTTCATTTGTCCTAGCAGTCTATATCAATCTCAGCAGTAATTCTATTGTGCCGGACATGACCGCAGGCCTGCCTTTGTATTTTTGCATTGGCTGCCCATGGCGGTGGCTGTTCCGGACACATCGACTATCTGACTGGGACGCTAGGACGCCGTACCTGTGGTCTAGAAGTACTTCGCTGTCGATGCTGGTATTGCTCAGATTCCTCCCATGCGTGTACAAGGTGTCGGGGAGTGTTGGGCGGTTTGACGGAGCTTGGTCTTGGTCTTCTTCGCCAGCGACGCTCTCGGACGGGGCAGCGAAGGACTTGCGTCGCGAGCGCTTGTGCTTGCGGCCGGCGCGATGCTTCTTCTTTGGTGCAGAAGAGCTCGAGGGCCCGGCAGCATTGCGCGAGGCGTCGAGCGCGGCGAAGGGATTAGGAGGGCCAGCCATTGCAATGCACAATCATGGGCCTCGAGGTCGTCGGGTTAGGCTGTTGGTGTCGGGGATGAAGACGAAAGAGGCAGTTATTACTTTAGCTTCCAAGGTAATAAGGTGTGGTTGTTGGCGGCGTTGAGGGTTTTCTGGTGATGTCAACGCAGATGCAGCTAACCTTAGTGTTCCATACCTACCCAGACTTATCCATGCAGGTGCAAGTTGGAAGTAAGCTCGCGCCGCCAAAAGCTACCGACACAGGCACTGAATCTGTGAATCAGGACCTGACTCTGAGCTGGTATTGGAAAAGTCTGGCCACCCATCGACGAGGCGATTAATCTCAAAACTCAAGCCTGGACTTATGATGGGTTTGTTCCCAAGGAGGCTCCAGGAATCTAGTTCAAATCTATATTGTGTGGCTATTGCGGCGGGAGTTGTAGAATAAAGTATGGAAGACTCGATCATCGTCATACCCCGCCGAGATTGAAGAGGCGCAGACAGTTCAGGCTAGTTTGAACTTTGAACTTTGCAGACTTGCAGTGCCGCTGTGCCGTTACAAGAAAAAGCTACCCCTGCCCAGGACTGATAGACAGGGGCGTGCGACGTGGAGTAGATTTTATTAGAAGTAACCTCCAAGGGAATACTGTCGCGTGCTCCGAGGGCATTTCCGTCCAACTTGACCTACGGTGATACAATTGTAAAGACTAGGTACACAGTACTACGTGGCCTTCGTATGTATTCAACTCCTTCATCTGTATTACACAATTCACGTGGTATTCCGTTGTCACCGACAGAGTGCAGGTGGCATATGTACGCCCTGGGCTGTAAGCTTGAAGCAGCGTGCTTGGCCTCAAGCTACTTTGAAGGTGACACACATTCACATTTGCGTCATTCAAACTGAGCCGAAAAGTAGTCGTTGTCATCCTTCATAGATGAGTGAACTATCTTACTATAACTACTCTCTTCGGAGAGTTGACCAGCACCACAAATGAGTCTCTATCCGAGCTCCCGTGCGAGTTTATAGCTGCATGCATTTCCCACGGCCAATACCCGACCGTAAACGCCAGAACCACCCTGAACCTGAGAAGGTGACTGAAACATGAAGCATGCCCAGGTGGCCCATTCACCAATCCATCAACGACCCCTGGGTATATCACCGAAGCCAGATGTAGCAGGTGGGCGGGGGCGGAATCACACCAGCCTGTTCTTCCACACCCTGTCCAAGTTTGCCGTATATTCTTCAATGCCGAAGCTCTGGTGAGAGTATTCATTGTAGCCAATATCCTTAGCTCGAGGATGCCCCGACCAGAATAGCTGTGCTGATGGTGTCCATCAACGTCGTTGACCAGAAAAGGTCGCACGTAGGGCCATGATCTGCTGGCGTTCTGCCTCGGGTAACTGATCGATCGTCTCCTGCGGCAGGTTCATGACTGCCTGCATGAGCGAGTCCGGGTCTTGTTGCGCAGCGGGTGGATTGGCCGCAGGCGGCGCATAGCTGGCCTGTGGTGCCGATACCGCGGGCGGCGCATACGGCGTGGGCACAGGGGGTGTAGGGTTCGCAGGAGCTGCAAAGGCGGGCATCGCAGAGGGAGGATAGCCGGGAACGGGTTGCGCAATGACAGGGGGCGCAGCGCCGCCAGTCTCGATAACTGAGTGTATAGCGTCGGACGAGACGAGGCCCATCAGCAGCAGAGCCTGGAAGATGGCAAACGAGAGTTGCGGCGCCTGTGTAAGAAGCTCCGTTGCCCGTGTCGGGTCTGTTGTCGCAAGTTGTTTCATCTGGGAGAGGATGTCGAGAAGCTGGGCGGGAGGAAGGGTGTTGAGAGTGCGAGAGATGGCATCGGTAGCGCTGACTCCGGGAGGCAGCTCTTTGCCCGGCGGCAGGGGAGGTAGGGAGCCCGCTGTCGTCGGTTGAGGGACGAATTGTGATGCGCCGTTGGTAGCCTGCCCGTAACCGGATGACGAATTATTACTGTCGTCACCATCAACGCGGCCCTCTGTACTATAGTCGACTCGAAGCTTGCGACCCATAATTTCATAGTCGTTCAGATTACGGACGGCTGAAGCGGCGGAATCTGTCACGGGAAGGTGGTCAGTAGGTAGGTCGGCGGTTGGCACACTGTGAGTCTGGGGGCCCTACCTGCGTCAGGGTACTCGGCAAAGCCAAAGCCTTTCGGGCGTCCAGTTTCGCGATCGTAGACGAGTCGGAAGTTCAGAACCTTGCCAGCGGTGGTGAAGATATCGCTGATCTGTTCTTCGGAGAGGCCTACAATACACCCTTTGTCAGTTTTGTGAGGGCTGACCGAGTCCATGTTGGTACACACCATAGGGGATGTTGCCGACAAAGACCACCCGAGAGGGCGGCTTTGTGGACATGGTGGGCAATGTGGTGATGGAGTTGTTGGTTGCACGGAGCAGTCGTCGAAGTCGAGGATCGCGGCAGCGATACAATGGAATGTTAGGTAGCTGGAGGTTATGGGAAAAGTTCAGGTGGGCCTCGTGGGTCGCGGGTTCAGTGGAGACAAGGATGTGCGGCGTCACGGAGAGCTGCCAACTAATGAATGCAGCAAGCAAAGGCTGTCAATGCTTGGGTACTAACGCGAGAGGATTTCTACTTGGTTGTCTGCTCTCTAAGGTAGCTTCTTCTCTTGCCGGTTTGCTCTATCCTCTGTGATGCTGCTTTCAGTAGATACCTGAGGTGCTGGTGACCGGAGTCTGTTGTGGGATGGGTTGATGAATGAGAGATGGAAACACACGGGAGCTCCACATTGGCTTGTCTGCACTGAGCTCAGTAATTCAATATGTGCGCTAGGGGCATAAACCTTCATAAGCATTGCATATTCAGCTCAAGTCCTGCGGGCTCTGTCTCAAACAGACGACCATGACCACACTGTACCTATACCTACCTCAGCACACTGCACATTCTTGCTCTTCGTTGCACTTGTGCAGAAGCATCTCATTTCGACTGGGGATTTCGCTGTCTCTCGATCAGAGTTGCTCTGATGATATCAGACAATCTAGGGCATCAGCATCAAGCATATAACGCGCTTCATCGCGTCTTCCTCGCGTCAATCACGCTGTCACGTGGGTATAGCTTGAGTCAATCATCATGGAGGTGATTGACCTGACTTCAACTATGTCGGACAAGACATCATCGTACGTAATCTTCGCAAATACCCACGGGCTCGCTTTACCTACTACATATGCTGACCAAATGTGGAACTCAGGTTCCCTTTCCTTCAACTTCCTATTGAACTGCGTGACCAGATCTACGCACTTGCCGTCGAGCCAAAGGCGCCCTTCACACATATCGACAAAGATGAGCTAGACGAGGCGTGTCCTCAGATGCGTTACCCATACCTAGACGAATATGCGGTCAATAAGAATGATGAGAGGGTGTGGGGTCACAGAGACGAGTATAGCTGGTGCGCTGTCGGTCTTGGGAATACCGCCAGTTTTCCGCATACAACCCGCGACATAGCGACTGATGTACTTGGATACCGACTGTCAACATTCACACCCCTTCTGCTGGTATCAACCGCAGTGTCCTGCGAGGTCAAGCAAGTTGTTCGTCGCCTTACTCCTCGTCTGCACCTGTTGATCAGGCAGTCAATCAGAGGCGAGGTGATTGAACAGCCTGTGCATTCGAGAATGGTCGAGCTGTGGAGCAACAGCAGGCTCGAATTAAGTTCGAACGCCATAAGCTCCATGTCTTTTCTGAGGAGGCTCCCGGATGCTATACGTGCCCATACGCATTCCCTGGTGATTGGGCGCAATAATTTGTACCTCCATGTCGAGACATGTGCCCCAGCCTGGCGAGGTTGTCCCGGCGACTTCAGCGGCAAATGGACGCCGTTTTCCCTTCTGCTTCATCACGGACTTCCAGCCCTACACGAAGTCGCGCTATATGTGCCGCCCGACCACTCATACACCTCTTACTGCTACGCATGGCGTGAGATGAGCCAAATGCTCGCGGACGGCAGGATCGACGTTCTTCGCCTTCTCTACACAGTGAAGGGCAGGCGACGCGATGTCTTCGAGTGGAAGGCATACAAAGACGTACAATTTTCACTCGAGAGACATGACCCACTATCCAGGAGGTATAACCTCAGAATGAGTATGGGCAAGTCAGAAGCAGGGCAGTCGGCGATGGAGCAACGAGGACAGGCGGGGAGATTTGATGCAACGCTCGAGAACAACATGCAACCCAGCGAGTGGGCATCTGCCATGGAAGTGAGGAGGGTGCTGGCGTTGCGCAGACGATCTGTAGTCTGTATCGAGTAGGCCGGCTGAAGGCGTTCGCTCCACGGAAGGTCCGGTTTGCTCTTGAGTTGCTGCCGTTGAAAGCGGCTGACCTTCCAGCGGGTGGTATTAATTTGGAGTCCACCGTCATCTACAAGTTGCCCTGCACGATGATGAACGACCTGGTAGGGCTCTATTCACAAACTCAAACTCGAGCCGGATAGGCCGTCGTGAATACAATACTCGTGTTTGCTGGGAAGAATCCAACACATACCAGTCTCTAGGATGGTCGATCTCTTAAGAACATACACCCCAAAAGCGGCCAGGTTCCAAAGCACGTATTATATACCCTTCAAGCCTGCCTCCTAAGGATTACTCCCTGGGCAATGATGAAAGACATACACTGAACCCTCATAAGTCTCCGTACACCACCCGTGTCAGCAAACAACGGTAATATTATCGAATCGGAATAAGCATACCGGAATAAGCATTGAAAGTGGCGTATTAAAACACAGCTTCTTATTCCTGTATGCTTATTCCAGTATTTCGAAATTTCCACGGGTGATCTGGAGTCTGTCAATATGGCGCGTACAGAGACTTATGAGGGCCGAGTGTATCTGAATATGTGCTGAGAGGTGCTGCCCCTGAAGGAAGCCTGGAAAGGAAACCCTCTAGCTCACACTCACTCAGACCTGCACTATAAACTGATGCAGGCCATCCAGATTTGCTGTTGTCGTCTGAAGAAAGTGTTCATGGTCCTTGAATTTGTAAGATGGAACTCTTTCAACCCGGAACTCATCGCTGTTTCTCATTAGGGCCTGGGGCAAACCCAAACTGATGTCGGCGCACAGACCACCCCCAGAGCCAAGTGAAGGCTGACGGCCCCGGACGTGGACCTTCCTGTGGACCCACTCTGTGGCACTTACCCGGACCCGCAGCTGAAGCGTCCCAACTCCCAAGCAAAACGGATCATCACTAAAGTGAGCTTGTCAGAGAGCTCCTCTTCAGCTCTTTGCATCGCGTCGCCCATCTCCCGAAGCTGCATACACGCCCTCCCACACGAGAAGATGCCGCGCTCCCCCATGGACGAATATGTCGAGAAGATGAGGACCATGGTGCGCCAGAACCGTGGTAGCTTACCCGGTGGCGGTCGACCTCCTGCAGGACTCGGATTTGGAGTAGGCGCTCTGATGCTCCTCGGAGGCGGCGCTATCCTACTTCAGAACTCCCTGTTCAACGTCGACGGAGGTCACAGAGCCATCAAGTACAAGAGGACAAGCGGTGTCAGCAAGGAAATCTACACCGAAGGTCGGTCCGGTCCGTCCGACTGCATACTGAACTGTCTTACTGACCCGTTATTGCGCAGGAACTCACTTGGTGATCCCCTGGTTCGAGACGCCTGTAACCTACGATGTCCGCGCAAAGCCGAGAAACGTGTCTTCCCTCACCGGAACCAAGGATCTGCAGATGGTGAACATCACCTGCCGTGTGCTTTCCCGACCCGAGATCCAGGCACTACCGCAAATCTACAGAACACTGGGACAGGACTACGACGAACGTGTGCTGCCCTCGATCGTCAATGAGGTGCTCAAGAGCGTGGTGGCCCAGTTCAACGCTAGCCAGCTTATCACACAGCGTGAGATGGTTGCCAAACTTGTCCGGGAGAACCTGTCGAAACGAGCAGCACGGTTTAACATCGTACTTGATGATGTTTCTCTTACGGTATGTTCGGGCTGGCACTACATTTCTTACCATACCCTGCTAACAGCGAATGCCAGCACCTTGCCTTCTCCCCCGAGTTCACAGCAGCCGTAGAGGCGAAGCAAGTAGCGCAGCAAGAGGCACAGAGGGCTGCCTTCGTAGTCGACAAGGCGAGACAGGAGAAGCAGGCCATGGTTGTCAAGGCTCAGGGTGAGGCTCGATCGGCCGAGCTTATTGGAGATGCCATCAAGAAGAACAAGGCATATGTCGAGCTGAAGAAGATCGAGAACGCCCGATACATCGCCACCCAGCTCCAGGAGGCTGGTGGCAGGAATAAGCTGTTGCTTGACTCGGAAGGATTGGGTCTGAATGTGTTCAGTGACGACCACCAGAAGAAGGGATGAGTTGATGTTGGGAGGGTCAAAAATCTCCACTGTATGTCTATATAATCACCTGTACAATTACTGAAGCCTGCGTTGTTGGTCCGCATAGCATGCATGAAACTTGGCGATGCGAATGCAATAACTCTACTGATGGAATGGGAACGCCTCTCTACCTTCTGCTAGGCCAAAGAATCTCATCAACATAAAATACTTGCAGTGAAGCGGTTTGTTGCTTGACTTTTAGCTTGGTGACGCATTACAGATGTGTACCCAATCGGACTCAGTGATACAAGACAACCAGTGGAACACATGCACACCTGCAACAGTGTGATCAAGTCGCAAACACTTATCCACCAAACTGCTCAGTGATAGCAATTTGACAGCACCTTCAAGAATAATGCGTTGGTTGCGGACATCCATAGAGGTTTGAATTCCAAGTTGCTGTTACATGGGCATTATTAGGCATTTGGAGGCTCTTGAAGACCGGGCCCCGCCTGCCCGCCTCAGTAAAGCACACCCCACCATCAAGTTACGAGCTTCAGTCCTCCCAACTTGTCTCACCACCAACTACTCACAACCAAGCAACAAACACAGCCAACTTGAACCATTCTGCGCAGGACGAGACAACGCTCTTCCCTGTACCCATACCACCTCCGCGCCTCAACCACAGATCCCCAAACAGTCGCCAAGATGATGATCAAGTACGCCATTTTGATCCCGCCATCGTCCACATCCCAACCAACACCACTATCTTCCTATCCGCCTTGACAACGAGCTGACAGCCAAGCAGGGTGCGAACACTGACGGGGAAGCTGATCGAGTTCGACGTCGAGCCTAATGACACGGTACATCCATCCCTGGTCCCGACACCACAGCGTTGAAAGCCAAAGCCTGTCCACGCGCCGCGCAACGAGTGCTAATACAAGCGTTTACACACAGATCGAGGATGTCAAGAAGCGAGTCGAGGAGAAGGAGGGTATCTTGCCCGCGCAACAGCGCCTGATCTACTCCGGCAAGCAAATGTACGTTGTTCGCCCCCCACGCCTGCTTCCCTATGCGAACGGCCTGATGGTTGTCTTAATATCCACGAACCGACCGGTCATACCGTGCTCTATTACGCGGACAATCTTGCTGACAGTAGTGTTCTTAGGCATGACCAGGTCAAGCTGAGCGATGGTGGTGTCGTGGCCGATGCGACTCTACATCTTGTCCTAACGCTGCGAGGAGGCCGATGCTAGACGGCACCTCACGACAAACCAACCGACCCGACAAACCGAACCCAACCGACCATGCACACTTCCTTGTCTGTTCTTGTACATACGCATGAATACCGCATGCTGGCGTCTTGCGCTCACTGGGAGTTGGATTTGGTTATCCAAGATAGGGTCAGCCAGCTGCAGAACATGTCGAGGGCAGGACAGCTGAAGCAGAGGCGCCACAGGCGGATCAAAGTCAGGCCCTACCATGGGTTCTTGAGTTGGCGACCTGTGATTTTGCAGCAAGGAAGTAATAGAGATTTGCGACCCTCTAGACAGACAGACTCGGAGCCTGGGCACTGTCGACCCAATGCATTTTTATGAATGTTCCTGTTTCCTCCACCCGTTAGATTTGGTGGTAGCACTTCCTCTCTTGACCAGTACACTCTGTTATCGTGAGAATGCTTCTCGCGCGATCAGTAAACCAACCATCGAGTCACATGCACCACTACCACTCTCCATTACCACCGTTTGTGCGAGTGGGGTGTAGGTACGAGGCACAATCAAACATATTAAGAAAGCAAGCCCAGCAGAAAGCGATAGCGGTTTTACAGCTTGTCGTTGTGTGCTGACATCAAGACTATGGAAACCAACCCAACCGACCAAAGAAAAAGAATGTCAACCGCTAGAGGAATCGAAGCGCTGTGCCTAAGAATGTGCCTTGTGGTAGCGGTATCCAGAATAAGGACCAGGGTCACGAATGGTGGCTATTGGTCTGTATTCTGGAAGTTGGTTGATTGAAAGAAGGGATGGGTGGTGTCCCCATCCCAGAAGTAGCTATTATCCCAGTTGGGTACAAATCAGGTACAAACGGGTACCTGTTGGGCTCCAAGGTACCTTGTATCCTGGTCCGTGACCCATCCGTCATTGTGGCTGGAAAATGGGTTGAGGAGCCACAAGAATACCTCGTAAGAATACTTTGTAAGGATATTTCGCTAGGCCGTACCAACCCGGCTACTAAATAGACCTGATAAACTCTTTTATGTATCCTGTACCGGTCGTGGGTGCAGAGAGAAACGGGTGGTGGACATGTGCCAAAAGTGCGCAAGATGGCGTAACTCTATTTCCAGCTTGGGGACGGATTAAACGAATGGATTCTGCTCTTCCAGCCGGGAGGCTTGTCGAGAAGCTCATCGTAGTACGAAGCTCACCATTAGAACCAATGTTAGACACTCACGACTAGTCGCGCGGTCCCTGCATGGGCAGCTAGCCGACCAGAGGAATATCCTCGCGTCCATCCAAGCAGGTGGTAAAAGACTCCTGGGTGTGCCACGGTACTTCACCGACGGCATCGCATACAAAATAGACGTTTAAACAAGTACACTACGTTTATTAAACACACGAGGATATCACATAAGGGAATGCCACAAATAGAACGAGGTATACACTCACTAGTGCAGCTACACCTAGGCAAGAATAGTTGTTTGTTAATGAGTTCGGTGGTTTTATAAAGTTTAGTAGGAGTAGCAGTTAGAAATGGAAACTCCTACGGATTGGACGGGAAATGGCACAGAAAATAGTAGATAGCAGATGGCGATGGTGACCGCGAAATTACATAGCAAGACATATATAGCCAGGGGACCTACAACAGTGTAGCAATATATGTATATACTCATCGGTAAGATAACCTCAAAACAGCTACCCTGGAACCGTCCTCTGGCCAACATGGATAGGACTGAGCAGGTGGGCAGCTACGCACTACCCAATGTGAAACCTAGGATACTCCCATCAGCCACAAACCATGACATACACTACAGCATAGGTAGACCCTTCCGAGCCCAGTGCTGCTATTGTCTACGACGACACTTACCTAGGTAGGTAGGTAAGGTAGGTAAACAGCTTGGTTGAGCATTACATGTAGCAACGAGTGAGGGTCAGACACATCCACATCATCAATACCTGTCAAGATACCTGCTCAACGTGCTCAGTGACGTATCATGAACTACTATGAGCAGTATACTGGTCATACTATGTGATCACCTAATTAGGTAGCTGTTGAAGGTCACTTTCCTGGCTATTCAAGTAGGAAGATAACCCCTTTAGCTATCCTTCTTCTCTTCCAATACGGACTAATCTGAAATCTGTTCAACTTCCTGCCGAGGGACGACGGAGTGAGAGTGGCTTGGTCAGAGGTTCCCTGTTCCATGCTACCTAAACCACTGAACTTCTTAATCTTCATATCCAATGTCGACACACCAAGCCGTCAGACGTGGACGAATTCGAAGAATACAGCTGGCGTACTTGCTCATTAGCATCATCTCCAGACCCGCCAGTTTCCTTGTCCCGGATAAGTGCAAGTCACCTACCAGCCAAGCAAAGATCTTCACAGCCAGCAAGTCATAAGCAAATACAGGAAGATTGTCCTCGTTTAAATTACTACCTCGCAGCACCGCCGCTGTAGAAGCTACCTACCCCCCTGGAAATAATCACGCCTTGCCATGAAACCGTGCCATACTGAAATAGTACAGACAACCAATGCCCCCTAAAAAAAGCGTCAAGCTACCAAGCCGAAGGAACGGGTATCTCAAGATAGTCCCCTCAAGACCTAAACTTTGGTGAACTAGACGCCTGTAAACTCCTCTCAATCCTCAAATTCCATTACCGTTCCTAGACGCTTCCTATTTCCATGCCGAAAGCCGCTTCCGTGCCAAACAATTACGTGCAAAGCGAGCTATGAAGCATCTCATAATAAGCAGCCATATGGTAAACTGCAGTGTTAAAACTCCAGCATTCGAACACCAGTCGACCGAACTCTCTCAAGAATCACAACCTACTGCCGGCGCTGGACCTTGGGCCTCGGCCGCATGAAAATATCAACGGGCTTCCTCTTGCGCGGCATCGGCGGTCTCGGATTCGCCTCGGCGCTCGAAGACGGGGGCGAACCAGCAGGAGGGCTGGACGGGCCAAGTGGTTGTGGAGGCGACATGGACGGGGCCACAGGTCTTGCGGACGACGAGGGCTGAGCAGCGGGCTTCGCAGGAGATGCAGGGACGACTCTCCTGGCGGCAGGCGGTGCCGCCAGCGAAGACGGCAGCTTACGCGATAGGATGCCCGTCTTCATGGACGAATTTCGTGCCGGGGGCGAGGACTTCGGCTTTTCCTCCTCCTCGCCGTCATCATCAAAGAGGCCCTCCAGATCGTCGACGCTGAGCCCACCACCAACGGCGCCTCCATCCAGCTCGTCGTCGCCGCCGAGATCGGCTTCACCCTCGAGCTCGTCGTCGTCGATGACGTTGGCCTTGTCATCCTTGTCGTTCGCCTTCTTCATCTTGCGTAGCCGGGCCTCACGTTCCTGCAGCTCGCGACTCATAGTCTCGTGGTGCGGACGCGGCGCCGGCGGTCGGACGCCCCCTGCCGGCCGCGATTTGTTGATCATCTCCTGTACCCGGCCCGGGGGCGCTTTCATCATCTGACTACTCCGGGATGCCAGCTCGCCGCCGGGTGTGTTGAGTCGGTTCCGCGCGGTGATCTCCTTGGCCTCGCGCCGCGCCTTCTGGATGATGCTTTTGCCGGTGGTGAGCTTGGTGCGGGAACCGCCGGTGAACCGCAATCCGCTCGTGTCGTTGGGGCCGCCTCGTCTGCCGTTGGCCTTGCTGCGCGCGCCGGCCTGTCCCTTCAGATCCTGCGGGGTGCGCGGCAGTTTTCTGCGGTCGTAGTCGACGAGGGTGCTGACGTTCTCGGCCTTTTCTTTGTTGATGGTTTTGAAGGCGCTCTTTAGCTTCTCCTCGGCCTCCCGCTTCATGTCGGCCTCCATGCGCTGGTACTTGGCGTAGATCTTATACCACGAGGTCGGATTGCTTGGCTTGTAGTTCATCTTCCTGGAGAGTGTGGGGAAGTTGCGGTCGATGAGTCGCTTCCAGCACTCGGCATCGTCGCCCTCGAGATGCGGCGACGCTATCTCCAGCTGCCGCAGGTGGGCGGCACTGTCGATCTTGAGGAGGAGAGGACGGACGACGGAATAGGGCGTGCTGCCGATGTCGGCGATATCTTTAACGGGCACCATTGTGTCAGTGATTTGTGTGTACTTGTAGAACAGGATCGTGGTTGATTAGAGGCTGGGTGAATTGGGCGTACAATGTAGTACACAGAGGTGTGGATGGGAGAGAGGAGGGGGAGAAAGTTTGCAGAGCAACAGGATTGTCGAGGCTACAGGTAGAAGCTTCAAAAAGCTTGACTGGGTGATGCGTGGTGGTGGCGTGGTGGTGGCTTTTGGGCGGGTGAAATACCTCTCATGTTCTTGATACACACCGCAGTGCATATCTCGACAAGGGACTTGACCATTGTTCCAGGTGATCAGGTGCTCGACCACAGACAATGGCAGATGTACGAAGGACAGCCTTGGAAAGGCTGCTGCTGATCGAGTCGGTAACAATACGAGCTCTTCAACATTCACTGGCGAGGTTGTGGAGGTTATGTCAATCACCCAGGTGAATCGAGAACAAAGAGGCGAAGCAAAGATAAACCATAAAAGCTCGGACAATCGGCCGGCGTTTGAGGGTGAAGAATTAGGAGACCAAGACACCGCTCTCGGTCGATATCATCGAGTTTCTCCGAGAAAGAAGGCTCTACTGATCGCTGGGAGCACATGCACATTGTTCCAAAAGTATCACCAAGAGAAGATGAAGTCGGAGGGAGACTGACATCCATGTGGGGGTGAAGGTTACCTAAAGGTACATGCATGTACTTGGGTACACCCCTAATAATAGACGAGGCTGACAAGCAGAGCTCTAATGGAATGCTCACCACGTCCAGGGATACGAATCAACCACGCTTGCTGTTAACAGAGGCTGAATGCAAGACTATGCTACTACTATCACTACTACTACTCTGATGGTTGCTTTCCAAGGCGGCACTCGGAACCCGCATTGAACACATTACTCCGGAAAGGCGCTGTTGCCAAGCCACCTCCTGAACATCCAGTAGACCTACAGCAAACAGACTGTTCATCATCAATGCAGCCCACCCCTCTCGTGCCGAACGAATCCCATCGTGATTTTGACGAACATGTACCTGCCATCATGGTATCTCCCAACCCCGGCATTCCCGTACGCCGTAAACGCCATTTTCGTCGTTTGACGGTCTCCAACAAGTAAGTAATTTGTACAATAATCATCGCTTAGCCTTTCCAAGCTATGACACGCAATTAACCCAAATCGAGTATTGAGAATCGGCTCATGCAGCAGCAGCCACTGGCCGAGAAGAACTGGCTATCGCAGGTGGCGGTTGTCTGGCAGCCTCCTCTTGTGTGTCTTGTGTAGCGATCTCTCCACCAGCTTCTTTCTCGGCCCAGGCACCCCACAGTCCTCGTTTTCCACGCACTCGGATGGGGCCGCCAAGGGAGCCTTCCTTCTGCTCGACCTTGATAGCATCCTTGGTCGCGAGGACCAAGCATTCAAAGAACATCTTTGTGGCGTCCGCCTTCGTCGCCCTCATCTCAGGTAGGAGGTCCTGGAAAACCACTGACGAATTCTTCCGTTTCTCTTCGTCCTCCGCTGCCTCGGAGCCGAACAAATCTCTCAGTACGTGAACCGCATGCTTGGTACCTAGCGACACGGGGCCGCTCTCCTCGGGATGCACATACGGTATCGTCGTCTCATCGAAAGCCGGTATCGGGCTGGCGTCGCGCGGTTGGTGAATGTCGTCATCGTCGTTGTTGTTGATCACCACGCCGTCGTCTGCGGGAATCTCTAGAATGGTTCCTTCCGGGGCAACGCTTTGTTCACCTAGTCCTGCATCCGCCATCGCGAATGCGTCATCGTCTTCACCGGCATCAATGCGGGGTGATTTGGAATTGCCCTGCTCTTCCTCGCTACCCATGTCGGCCACTCCGCTGTCTCGTTTACGCTTCAGGTCGTTTGTCGGCCTGATGGTGTCAAGAGACAATAGTCCTCTCAGCTCGGGGGCCCAGGCCTTGCTACGGCCATCACCCATGATGCTGGAGACAAAGCTGCCGCTGTTCTTCAGCTCGACAAGGGCTAGGAAGTAAGGGTCTCGCGAAATGAAGCTGGGGGCTTTCAGGATATTATCGTGGTTTTGTTGCTGCTCCTTGATGTGTGTGCTGCTAAGCTGGGTCGAAGGATCGAGGCCGAACACCTTGCGCTTCTTGGACTTTTTCTGAGGTAATGGTTCAGGTTCTTCAGGCTCTTGACCCGGCTCATAGATGCTGGTGTTGTTCAGTCGCGTCCATTCCTCAACGTCTTTGGCCATGTTCTCGTCGATGTCGGACAGTGGCGACTCTGATATACGAGCACGGTCCATGTCGAGTGCAGCACCCATCTCTGGCATGGCCGACTGGTCGTCGATGTTGAACTGGAGATCATCATCCATGGGGATATCGCCATCTGCGTCCGCGATTACAACCCCGTCGTCTCCGAAGTCAAGGTTCATGGACGGTTCGCGATCCGCGCCCTTTGCCATAGGTCCCATATCCAGCTCGCTGAAGATGTCGTCCTCAACATCTCGGGCAGCAGGCGCGTCTCGACCCATTTCGATGCTTTGCTCTTTACGCGGCTGCTCGTCGAGATCCATACCGAAATCCAATTCCAAGTCCAAGTCGTCCATGGGCGCAAGCGCGAGTTCATCATCCACCATAGAATCCCCTTGTAAGAACTGGCTGTTGTTAAAATCCTCCTGCAGGTTGATATCGCGATTGCTGGGCCTGCCCCGGCCACGCGTGCCGGAACTGGTTTGTGTCGCATTTACATCATCCATTTGACTGAGAAGCCAGTTGGCGTCTGGCGGTGGCAAGATGTTCAGGTTATCGGCTGGCGTGATTCGATCAGGCATCATAAGAGCCTCTCGGTTCGGCATGGCCAAGTTCTCTGGGATATCGTTATTGCCCGTGGAGCGGAAAGCCTAGTCAGGGGTTAGTGAAGCCCAGGCGCAGCGTTCGGAAGCCGTGACGCACCATTTTGATCTTGAGTAAAGCCTCATTGCAATCATCTAGCAGGTAGCGGGCCTTGCGACTGTAAATTCTGACGACGCCGAGCAGCAGCTGACCACTCAGTCGCAGCGCCATGGGGGCTTGGTTCGGGGTGATGATCTGATCAATGCTGTCGGTCAAGTTTGACTGGAGGATATGGGTTTTGGAAAGCTTCTTCTCCAGGTTGGCGGACAGCCAGATCCGGGCCAGAGGCCCGGTCTTCTGCAGCAAGGTCTCCGAATAGAACATCGCGAGAGCGACGGCGGAAAGTTTCGGAAGAGCAGTAGGTTGCGCGAGCTATAACAGGGCAGCTTTACTACAAAGTATTATAGCATCAAGATGATGATGCAATTCGCGAAGCGCGATAACGCGATTATATTCCAAGCCAGAGGGATGGCGGTGGTGGTGGAAGTGGTGGTGGGTGGTTGGGTGTAAACAAGAGGCGAGAAGACCGCGTTGTTTTGAGGTGCAGGACCGCGTTAGACCACCAGCTCTCCCAGCCAGTTCAATCGGCGCGCGGGATGCGAAGCAGTACAACTATGGCGCAACAACAATATCGGTAGCGAGAGTGACAGTGACGGCAATAGCAAGGCGATTGCGATCTGTCGTGGTCGCAGTCGCAGTCGCAGAGCGGGCGGAGAGAACAGGTGGATTGAACAGACGTATGATGGATGAAGAATTAATGAGGTGGAGGGAGATGCGATGCGAACTTCGAAGGTTGCGAAGCGCGCTGGCTGTGGACCGCCAGTGTCTTGCCGGGCCTTCAATTGAAGGGGCAACAGCCCGCCAACCCTGATAAAATCCAAGAGGCTGGGGCTGCCACTACGGGGACCCACTGGGACGGTCTCTTGAGGGCGTTGATTGGGCTAATGGGGAAAGCTAGCATCAATGATGTGGCTGGTGCATTCCGACATTCTCACTGCACGCTGAGCCTCCTTGTCGAGGAATGAACCCATTGCGAGCATGAGCTCGCAGGTCAAACAAACATTGCCATCGAACAGATTGGTCACAACATGATAGTGATGGTACACCTACAGATATAGATGGACATTTCCCTACAATTACCTTGCTTATGTATGTACAAATCTACCCAAGGCCTTGATGATGACCACCTCCATCCGTAACCATCAGGTCTGATACCAGTAATCTCCACCAGTATCAGACAAGAACACCCACACATGATGGCTCCTCCTGCTCGTCTTCACCAGTCGCCTAAATAATGCCCTCAAGATCATCCCCTCCCGCCTCGTAGCAGAAGCCCGCTCCAAGAACTACAAGTGCAGTCGAGTGCAGTCAGTATTCAGACTGTACTTGCGACAGACCAATACGTGTAGCTCCCCAAAGTCAATTTCCCCGCAAAAAGGATGCAGGGTATCATGTTCTCCAGTAACGCCAGGCAGAAATCCCAAGGGAAGGTGATGATGGACATCATACGAAAAAGCGAGGGTCGGGCTATATACTCGTCGAGCATGCCAGCAACGCGGCCTCTGCGAGGGCTGGCGCAGGGTATCACGGTTCAGTGAACCTCCTGACCACATAGCAGACAGTGGACAGGTTCTGTCCACGTCTTCTCGCCCCCGGTGATGTTCTCTCGGAGGTCTGTGATCTCAATGGTAGGGGGGTTGAGGTCATTTTTGATGACGGCCTCGAATAGGCCCTCGTATGGTCTCGCAGTACCAGGGTCATTCGGCTCTGACTTGCGAGGGCGACCTCTTCGTTTCGGCTCCGAGGCAGAGATGACCGAGGCGTTCGAAGTGTCTTCGGGTTTGACCTTGGGAAGCGCGTTCTCGACGTCGGCAAGCTTGATGGTCTGTTGGTCCTCTGGCTTCACGTCGATCGATTGTTGAGCAGTCTGGGCCGCCCCGGTTTCGCTTGGACTGAGTGGTCTTTTGGCGCCCTCGCCGTCCTCCTCGTTTTTCACCGGCACTGCTGGCTTATGGGGTTTGTCGGTACCTAGGCGTGCGTGCGTCTTCAGGAGCGCGTCGTGGATCAAGCAATCGTCGTGCATCCATCTCTTGCATTCGTCGTTCGTGCAACCTATCAGCCGCTTATCGGGGTTCTCGGGGCGGTTGCATTTGCACCGCAGCTCAGCAGACTATTGTCCATTAGCCAGGGAAACCATAAGCCCAAGACTGGGTTGACCTACCGAGAGCTCCATGCTACGGACATCAAAAGCCTGGCGCCAATACAGCGCTTGTTGAACTTCCTCTTCATTCGTCTCGTCCCATTGGTTCACTGTGGCGGAGGCAGTGACACTGACGACATTGATAACGTCCACTGTAGTAACATGTTAGTCGTGCTGTACTCGTCTAGAGGGGAAGGTGGTCTGCGTACTGTGGTTGGACGCGATCAACTCATTCTGGCCATGGTATGACTGTCTGCCCTGGACAAATCTCTTCCCATCTTGTGACCCGGGCGGCAATTCGTCTGGCCAATACATCCAATACACCCGGGCGTACACGTGGTGCTCATCGCTCGCGCGGATCTCCAAAATCCTTGCTACCCAGTCGTCGTCTGACTTCTTCCTAGGTTGTACAGGTTCGCCGGGGTTCTTCTGGCGCTCGATGGTGGAGTTGTTGGCGACAAATATGAAACCCTCGCTCCAATACTTGACACCGTTTACTATATTGTCTGTCAGCACGTTCACCGCCAGGCGCATGGGTGGTACAAAGGGAAGCGACATACAAACAAAGCTGTTGTAGCGGGTCATCTCCATCCACCTGCGGTATGGCTGGACCTGGTAATGGCGGTCCATGGTATTGTTGGCATCCTTGAACTTGCCCAAAGGCGAAAAGGGAGACGCCTGGAGGAGGATCTTGGGGGGCTGCGACTGTTGTTGACTGTCGACCGACTCTTGTCGTCTGCGCTTTGCTTTCTTGTCCTTCTCGTTTGGATCCGGGTGTGTCACGACGAAGGGACATTCTGCCTGGCTTTCCTCGACGTCGGGCCTGGCGCGTTTCCGTGAGGACGCCATGGTTGCTGGTTCAGGGTTGAGCTCTGGTATCGAGAATTGAGTTGACAGGTTGCTTCAGAAGAACGAAAGGACGAAAAGGAACCAAGGAATGTCTGGGTGAGGCACGGCTGACGATTGCGCGTGGGAAACTGTTGGCTTGTCGCAATCGGTGGCGGGGATGGGGGGAAACGGCACAGGTTGCACTGGGCTGCAAGCTTGGCGCGTTCCTGCTATTGTAGGAGCACTGGAGCAGTGGAACCGACAAGCTCCAGCTCCAACTCGCAGAGCTCGGGGCCGACAGCGAAGTCTTATTGAAGCAAGAGATGGGCGCTCGGTGTTGGAGTTGAGAGAATATATTGTGAGATTTACTAAGTAGGTAGTCTAGGTTCTAGCCTTCTAGGTTCCCGACGCTGAATTGTCCAGGTGCGATGGCGCGTTGCGATTTTAGCCACAGTCCCCACCTGCATCGTTTATTTGGGGAAGACAGCACATGATTGGAAGGCAGGGAGGGAGACGAGGGAAGGTCCAACTGTTCCGAGGTTGAGCGGGCAACTGGAGAAATCCATGCTAGGCGGCTAGGACGGCGAGCGGGAGCCTAGAATAGTAAGACTGCCGTGTCCGTTTATCTCCAGGCCTCAAGGCCACAACAGCGGTAATAACTCCAGGTGTCCTCAGCTTGTTTTAGAGGCTGGCCCTTTTCATCATACTCTTCCCAGCTGTTGAAGTTCTAATAATAAGCCTGAATGAGACAAAGCCATCTTCTATCCTACGAGACAGCATGGCCTACTTGTCATGAGTCAGTCAGTGTAAAGCTAAGACATACGATACCTACTCGCAATATCTCTTGGTGTGTGTATGTAAGGAAGTACAATAACTACTGGGTATTGCCACTTTGGCTTTGCATGCCTTTCAAGGCCGGCCAAGTGACAGAAACCAACAGCCATAGCCATAGTATCACAGAGTAGTTTGGGGGGTTTCCGAAGAGCTGGGTACATGCCAACGCAAGTCGTTCAAGTAGGTATCACTGGTTGCTCGCTGGCATGTGCACATATTACATCGAACTTCGGCGAACGGAGTATGACTATATGGTTGGGTTTCCAAGAATAGCCAAATATGATAGCCAACACCTACGCTATGCAACATATTCAAAGTCCGTCACCGACCCGAAGAACCGGGTATGCTCAAGATTGTCGCTCCTCCTCATCCCCGTCGTATGCAGCCAGCATTCCTTGGCTCTCCTCGCCCGAGTGAGATGCACCATTGCCGACGTCATCGCCGCTCTTAAATCCTTCGATTACCTCGGCCAGCTTCTCTCCCTCGAACTTCCCACGTTGGACATCGACGAAGTATATGAGGGGGGCAGGCAGAGCGACTAATACTGCTAGGAACCAGAACGCCGGCCGGATTTCTCCAGTTGCATCGATGATGGCGCCGACAATGACAGGCCCAAAGACACTGGAGCCCTTGTCCGTGATGGCATACAGTGCATAGAAGGCAGCCTCGGATCCTGGGGGTATGAGTTCGCCATATAATGATCGGCAATAAGAGCCCAGACCTCCAAGGACAAACCCGTATACGGCAGCCAGGGGAAACATCTCCCATTTCTGCTGAAGACCGATGACTCCCCATCGACGAACAAAAGGCAGGTAGCCTAGCAGTCCATACAATGGTATAATCTCAAACAGTGCAATGCACCCTAGCAGCGTCTGGTGCGGCTTCAGCTTGAAGTACCTCGAAATGAACGCCCAGCTAAGGGCACCTATTACGCCTGTCGTGGTCGATATGACGTTGATCATCCCCAGCATCCATGTCTCCATGCCCAGATGTGTCTTGGCGAACAATATTGCCGTTCCAGACGTCGTAGCGATTGCGTCTGAAATCAGAAACCAGCTGGCCAGGAACAAGACGATATCAACTAGCCGACGGGCCAGCTTGATCGTCCTGAATAGGTTCTTCCATGAGTATGCGAAGTAAGCCAGCCATGCTCTCACACCTCTCTTGCCGTTGTCTGCGAGGGGAGGGCCAGGTCTTGGTCTAAGCCAGATAGCGGCAGGAATCGTGAAGATGGCCCACCACGCTCCGATGAAGAGCAGCACAACGCGTTGCGCCCAGGTTGAGTTTGAGTCTCCCATCGCAAGCAAAATCATGACAGAAACGCACTGTACGAACAGGGCGGCGCCATAGCCGATACCGAGGCCCTTGGCAGATATCTGTGTCGATAGTTGAAGCTGTATGGACGTAAGTTCTTCATGTGTTGGTGTGCGCTGCAAATCGTGAAACTCGGAGTTCGTATCGTCGGGTGGCAACAACGCTGAAGTTGAAGTGCTCAACGGGTCTTCTGCAACAATTGGCGACGTCTCATGGGATTGCGGATCGTCGACGGTATCTTGGAAGCCCGGCGACACGGGAATGGCCGAAGCTGCTTCCTGTACTCTAGGATGGTGGCGGACCAGCAGCGGCAGGAAAGAGTTTAGCAGTACAAAAGAGGCGCCAAAGGAGGTGTTCGAGACGATGGCCAGTACTGCGCCGAGGATGTATACCTCCTTAGAGATGAAGATATAGCATACGACACAGAAGCTCCCGATCCAGGCAAATGTCAACAGCAGGCGCTTTCGATAGTTGCCGTGGTCGGCTGCACAGCTGATGCTAACCACAAGCAGGGCCTGTATGAGAACAGAGACACTGAATGTGTACATGGCGAAACTCGCTGTGTTGATCTCGACTCCCAGGATATTGACGACGCATTGCCCGTCACCGTGCGGTTTGCAAGGGGTTTTGCGATCGGAAAGCAGGACGCCATTTTCCCTTGCCAGACTGTCTAATAGGATCGGTATGAATGAAGCTGGTCGATATGGGTAAGCTCGGGACGGCTAACGACGCGGCATGGTTTTGCGATGGCTCCAGAGCTGGGGTACCTAAGGTAGTAGTCACTTACAGATAGCTGTTCAACATCAGTACTGCATGCGCAAGAGATAGATACAGCAAAAGGCATTGAACTGGAGAATGGGAGAGACTTACCACATATCACATAGGTCTCGGCCGCAAAACCATAAGAGTACCACCCAGCCAACTCCTTCCTGCTCGTCGGGCGCGTATCCTCGCCATGGTATCGACCAGATGGCAGGCCAGTCTGAAAGCTGTCTCGCGGACTCATACTGGCGGACTCGGTGCTGGTTGATCGTTCATCGTCGGCTAAGGAAGATGAGTGCGAGCGGAAGGAGTACTTGGAAACGAAGGATTGCACGGAGAGTAAGCGTGGGTTGGGAGGCGGGCGCCGTATGTACTCCTCGTTCCGAGGCACCATAACTAACTGGTGGGCGGCGGGCAGACGTCCAGTGGTGAACCGACGGGAGACAGCTGGAGCTGGAGCTGGAGCTGGAGACGGCCTAACCAGCTCACCAACGCACCGCTAACGGGGTGGTAACTTTAGCCGCCTGTAGCCTCAACTGTCGCCCTGACAGCTCGAGGCTGCTAAAGAGATGGACCCTTATTAGTGGCAAGTCAAATCCAACCGTTGACAACTCCAGATCTCAAGTGCTGTCAATATTCATCAGTGTTCCTCCTCTTTCCGGACCTATCGTCTGTCGTTCATTGTACAATCAGCCCCCTGTACCTGTCAACCTGGTAACGAGCGTCGAACGGTACGGTCTGTCAGGATGCGGTGACGTCGGTGTCCAATAAACAGATGCACAAATCTCCGATAACCGATTCCTGGCGTCATTCACGAACACAGTTGCGACTTGCACGTTGGACAATCACTCTGCTAGAATAGGGACTGAGAAGTAGTTGAAGAGGAGAGAAGCAGAATCTCCTGGCGGTTATCTCTCCTGCAACGAAAAAATGGACCAAGCCATTTCACTTACCTACTCCGTACCCTCCCTCCCTGCCTCCTTCTCTTCCTCCTACCGGTATTGTACGTCAACCCCTCGTTCGCTCCAACGGCCGGATGCAAGAAGTATGGGGTCAGGAGGGTCCCAATCTGATGAGTTGACTGGTCAGCTGCCGGCGTCGCATTGGATGAGTCTGCGGGGAAGCAAAGCTGAACAATCAACAATCATCGTCAACCTCACTTTCCATGAGCATCGACATGTCCTCCTTGCGCAGCTCTGTCCAGATCTTTGCTGGTTGACTTCTCTTCATTGACAGTCAAATATAACTACATGCTGGGTGACATATGATATTATGCGGCCCACTCAGGGGCTTCACGGAATCAAACACACGTAGTCTGCCAGACCAAATACATGAGGACTCGCAACACATGTTATGCCGGAACATCACTCCAGGTAAACATACAACCTCAAACCGAGTGTCCGTCCGCCTTGTGCGATCTGATCAGTGAGTAGCACACCCCTGAAAGCTACCATGGGGCTTGGCTTTGAGCGTACGAAGCCCTTGGATGCCCAGTGTCAGAGAGCGATGCTATGATGGTGTCGCCTCAAATTTGACTGCTATAAGCGAAACTCACTCCAGTATCATCATCGCCATTGAAGACCCTGCGGCCATATTAAGTTGTCGTTGATATCTCTTTACACCCATTCCAGTCTTGACACTTCCGTCTAGTGGCCAAGAATAGATCACACAAGTCACAGCTGTAGTGTTGTTTGCTCCGCAGCACGTCAACTCCTTCATTTGGTCTTGACAGACGCGACACCAAGGGCATGATTCTCTCATGCCCGTTGCCTGAGTCTGGTCGCTTATATGACCGCCAATGGCGACCAAGTCTTGTGGGTGTACGTCGCCTGACATATCCAGATCACAGTCGCGCATCGCCCGCTGATCCCTTTAGCATAAGTCCAAATGGGCGAGTGTTCCACTGCCATACCTGCATATGAAGTCCCTCAGTATCTTGGTATCTACCCCCAGAGGGAAACACCAAGCCACTTCAATTTAGTCGTGATATATGCGGACCTTGGCCCTCTACGCCACGTGGGGAGCCGTACTTGTGCAATGCAACCTGGAAAGTGTTTCCCAACCGTCGTCAGCGACTCTGACTATACTGTGTTGGAAGCTCAGAAAGCACCCGGTGAGATGTACGGCAACCTTGCAGGCGGCTGGTCTCATGCAGGTAGCAGCAGCCACTGGGTATAGTGACATGCTTGATGATGGCCATGGATATACGACAGAGGAAGCTTCTCTGCCAACAAGGTACGTTCTGGCCCAGTCCGCTCTACTTGCGGACCTAACCCGTTTCTACCCAGCATTCAAGTATAGGAGAGTGCCCGGAAGTAAGCGCAACAATTCAACCGCCCATGATGCGATGTCTGGCCCGGACCAATATTTGCACTACTGGTCCCGATTAAGGGGTCGTCAATATAGGGATGAGCCCATACTATCTTGGCGACCTATCATCTCAGGTACCGGCAATGACTTCAGGCTATTATGCTTCCGCAATTCCCCATCATGCCCTCCACAGCGGCAGTAGGCAATAGGCTTGAGGCTTTTGAGCCTCCGGTGGGTGTCAATGTGAGATCAACACCATGTCGCCGCCTTTTGCCGCTGTACCTGGTTGAGCTCAGGCCGTGGGATCTGACCATGGAGCCAAGGCCTAGGTTCATATACCCCGGGTAATCTCTTCCGTTTCTGGGAGGCGGCGATTATAAAACCTCGAGGCTCACCAGCTTACTCTGTGTTTCTGGCTCATGCAAGTACAGCAATACCGGTACCTCGCTACTCGTCATCATCCACGAGACAGACAGGCAATCATGAAGTCTACTCTCCTGCTCCTTCTGGCGCCGTTGGCAGCATGGGCCGCGCCGGCCGACCTTTCCGAAAGACAGGCGGCGGACAGCATCAACACGCTATTCCAGGCGAAAGGGAAGAAGTACTTCGGGACATGCACCGACCAGGGTCGCCTGACGAGCGGCAGCTCTGCCGCGGTCATCCAAGCTGACTTTGGACAGGTCACACCGGAGAACAGTAGTGAGTAGCATTGAGTTCCTTGATATCTTTCGTGTGTGTTGTGAGGTTTGGCTATGCTTCTAGCAAGTCCATGGACGGCTTCGCTTAGTCTACAACCAGGGAACCTTCTTTACCTAAAATCTTCCACATACCTCCTGACTAACAGTGGTCTGCAGTGAAGTGGGACGCGACTGAACCCAGCAAGGGCAGCTTCAACTTCGCCGGGGCTGACTACCTCGTCGACTGGGCCGTGCAGAACAACAAGGTCATCCGGGGACACACGCTGTGCTGGCACTCGCAGCTGCCGAGCTGGGTCAGCAGCATCACCGACAAGGCGACGCTCACCTCGGTGCTGCAGAACCACGTGACGACGCTGGTGACGCGGTACAAGGGCAAGGTCTACGCGTGGGACGTCGTCAACGAGATCTTCAACGAGGACGGGTCGATGCGGTCGTCGGTCTTTTACAACGTCCTCGGCGAGGACTTTGTGCGCATCGCCTTCGAGGCTGCGCGCGCCGCCGATCCTGATGTTAAGCTCTACATCAACGACTACAATTTGGATCAGCCGACTGCCGCAAAGTTGACCACCGGCATGGTCGCCCACGTCAAGAAGTGGATCGCCGCCGGCGTCCCCATCGACGGCATCGGCTCGCAGGCCCATCTGACCGCCGGCCTGGCCTCGCAGGCCGCCGCCTCGATAAAGGCACTTGCCGCGTCTGGTGTTAGCGAGGTCGCATTCACCGAGGTCGACATCGTGAACGCCGCGGCGGCCGACTACGTTGCCGTCACCAATGCCTGCTTGGGCGAGCCCAAGTGCATCGGCATAACGGTCTGGGGTGTTCGGGACCCGGTAAAATCTTCCCCTTTCGAGATATAAACCCCCAAGTACCTACCTGCTTTGTATGGGCGTATATGCTGACGTTTTTATACCGCAGGATTCCTGGAGGGCGAGCTCGAACCCCCTGCTGTTCGATAGCAACTTCAGCCCCAAGGCTGCGTACACGGCCATTGTCAACGCTCTTAAGTAGGGCATGTATAGCTGTCGCTGGTGTCGGGACAGAAACGACTGGCCATCACTTGCTGGACTGAGTCTGATATATATATATGAGAACTTGTACATATGCACTGCAGGACTTCTTTGCACAATACATTGCTTCCCTTCATCGAGCCGATGATCTCTGTATATACTCGAAAGCTTCATATCTGCCCGTTCGATGATAGAAGCCAGAGCGAACGAATCAAAGTCATACACCCCAGCGTTCGGCTGCTAGTAGCTGGTTCCCGGGATCGTAGCCGTATCTTACCTATACACAATGGTCACCTGCAGTTTGGGGGACGTGAGTGGTGGACAAATCCGCGGAACAACGGCAGGATATCGAATTAAATAACGCAGTACGCAAAGAAGAGCCCGCAGTCGCAAGGACTGCGGACAGGATATAAACGAAGTGAAGACAATCCTGCAAACGTGCATGTTCCATCACGGTTCCGTCTGCATCTCAAGCCGGGGGTGCAGTCGTTCAATCGTCCATGAGAGGTAATCATGCGCCCAGCAAGGTGATCCGAACCTCCATCACCACAGCTCTCGTTCTCTCTACCTCCCTCGCGCATCTTGCATCTCCACCTCGCGTCGTCGCATCTTATTTCTTGAACACGCCCATCATCTTGTTCTTCAGCTTATCGGCCAAGCCTTGCTTGCCGTGGGTGGTCGCGCTCGGCTGCGCCGCGTCCGTCACTTTCGAATGCTTCTGGTGCTCGGGCCCCAGGTGCACGTTCGCAGCGCCGCCGCGGCCCGTGTGGAAGTCGCCCTCGGCCGACGGCCGCGTCGCCTCCTGGGGGATCACTTCCTCGTCGGCGCGCATGGGCGCGGGGGGCTTGTCGGCGTCGGCTATGTTGGCTGCGCCTGTAGTGTGCGATCGAAGCTGATCAGCTTGGGCTTTGTGGGGTCTGCTTGGACGGAACTCACCTCCTCGCCCGGTGCTGAAGGCGCCGTCGCCGTGCGATCCCGGCGTGCCCTGGCGCAAGATCTCGCCGTCGACGTATTGGGTGTTGTCCGGCGTTATATTACCGGCGCCGCCGCGGCCGTGGGACACGTCTAGCATCGTCATTGTTTCGCGGTTGGATGATGGTAGGTAGTGAGGTGTCAAGTCTAGCTTTGCGTGTTAGTTCTGACTCTGGTTTGTATCTGTTATCTATTGAACAATGATAGGGTCGAGGCAGGCATCTGTCGAAGCAGGTCAAGCGAAGTCGGCGCGCATCAGAGATATACGCCTACCCGACCCCAGCACCGCATCATACGATCAGGAATAGGCACGTACCTTATTGTGTATAAGTGCTGCGACGTTGAAGCTTGGGGTCAAAGTCACGATGTGAAGTTGTGGTTTTAGGTTTTGGGAAGATAGATAATATGTCGGCCAGGACGCCAATTAATGTCAGATCGCAACATTGACATTGATATGCAAGATCCCGTCCCGAGATGTCACCAGCTTCAAGGCTCAATGGGAAGTGCAGCCAATCATGCCTTGGCTTCTTCTGTTTCTCGTCATTCTAGAAGCCCTTAATCATCATCGTGGAGGTTCTATCGTTCGAATTCCCAGGCTGGCGGTTGGCTTGACGTAATTCCAGCTTCTCATCTGGAGATAAGATGCAGTGCTGTAAGTGGTCGGCTCTTGACCCCGCGGTCTAGCTGCTAAAATAGTGTCGGAGCTCTCAGCGATAGATGATAGGGGGGAGCGCGAACGTGGTCTAAGCTCTAGTGGCTCTTTCAAGCAGGTGTTCCTTATGAGCTTCGATGAAGAATTCCCCCTAACATTCATCAAGAAAGCGGCTCCCGTATACCAAACATTATACCTGGCATCTTCAGCACCCATACCTATATACAAGTGTGACTTGGGGACACCAATGATTCATGCTGTATTCATGCTGCACGGTGTCTCCGTGCAGCACAGATCGCCGACAATTGGCCGGCATACATACGAGCGTATTGCTCATCCCGAATCTGTCGACCTTCTGAGCTTCTCTCGCCTGACGTTCTCGTTCCACATAGACGCTATCAACGTGCACCTGTTCGTGGATTTCTTCAGTAAGTTTATGTTTTCCTCTGAACTGCCTTCTCCTGGCAGGATTCTATCGGCAGACTCTCAGCACGTCTATCATCTGAGGTTTGAGACTCGCCCAAGACAAGTGTCCAGCTGCGAGTCTGGAAACCTCTTTAACCTTTATCATTTCCGATTCTGAAAAGGTAGGGTGTGAGGTTGAAGGGTCTTCCCATGGCAAAGGCACAATATAACTCTATATATACAGTACCCGACCTCTGTGATTATCCCAAGGGGAGCTTTCAATGGGCTGACTTCCCTACCTAGCTCAGTCTTCCCGAAAGTATAGTTCTGTCCAGATGAAGCTTCCCCTGACTCTATTTAGCCATCCCCTATCCGCGGGATACACAACATACCGTCGTCACACGGGACCAAACAGTAGCTGGGCGTCCTGTCGGTCGGAACTGTCACGTTGTTAAGCAATAAGATTGGTGTCGGGTCCCTGCTGCGGACCGGAACGTGGCGTCTGCAAGCCGCCTTGCCATATTAGACGACCAATCAACAGTGATACTCGTCCCTTTCGGGAGATTCAGCTCTCGTATCATGTCTGCAACGACTTGCTGAAGCAGCCAGTATCCTATCCTGTACCATTCAGAGGTAAGTGCAGTGTGTCTGGACGATTGCTGGAACAGACGAGACTCGGAGGCCATCGCTTCAGTCTTGGTCTCGACATATCTAGGGCCTGAGATGATGTCCATGCCGACTACATCCAACCTCAGAAACAACCCGTTAGTGCTTACCTCCCCAGTGAGGGGTTACCGCAGGCCGATCTGCTGACGCCTTGACCTGTCCACCAACAACGTTCAACAACATCGTCCCATGATCAACCACCAACCCCCCTAGAGAGACAAGCGGATACATGTAAGCTTGCTGGTGGTTCGCTGTTTGCGGGCCTTGAGCACAGCGATATCTTGTTGTTGTTGGCGAAGCCCTGGCAAGTCCTAGCGACTAGCCAATTGGGAGGTGCCTGGAGGTTGCCGCCGACGTGATATCGACACGAGGCCCACAATCGGACATCAAATGGGCACAAGACACGAGATGGGAACGTAAAAGGCGGTCCGACATGGAAACCCTGTCGGGCTACACGGCAATCACCTGCAGTGCCGGGACTAGTGACGCCAACTTAGCCAACCATGCAGCCACGTCCAGGAAGCTCCCCCCCTTATTGATCATTCCCCAGATATGATCCGCAGACCCATGTGGGGAAACGGGTTGTGTGGCAGTGGCGCCCGCGAATTGTAACATGGGGTTTTGGAGAAGGCCATCTCATTCGACTAAGTACCTTATCAGATTAAGTGACGGCCAGTTGGGATTCTCGGGGTTGACATCGTCTTGGAGAACGAGGAGTAGAGAAAATCCCAAGTCAAATACATTACAGGTCAGAGAAGCGAAGCTTCGCCGCGACAACGATTTCCTTCCGTCGCAAGACACCTTCACCGCTTCCCTATCAACCCAAAACGTCTACTTACAACCGGTGCGGGAGACGGCTCCCCCACTTCGTGACGGTCACGGGTGAGATCGCCAAGGGGCGCAGTGACCGCGAAGATTTGGGGGGAAGAGATGCACAACCATGGAGAGCATCGGTCAAGGTGGATCATGCTGCTCCTTACATGTATGTCGTTACATGTATGCATGCGCGTGACGGAAGATGCGGTATAGGTGCGCTGGTCGTGTTTTAAGGGGCAGGCCGTCTTACAGAACCGGTGGCAAGCAGCGCAAGCAGCGCACAGATTACATGTAGGTAGGCTCCTTGCTTACATATAATAGCGAAACCCCGGGATGAAAAAACTGGGAAGGGGCTTGCCGTGTGCACGCCTTCTCACACAGTCTCCACGCCTTCCTCCTCGGTTGGCACGAGTCCTCTAAGTGGTAAACTTTGCTTACCGTCAGACACGTGGGGACATCCGTGGCCGAACTTACAAAGCCAACACCACCTAAACAGCATCATTACTAGTTGCTATTGTGGCTTACCTTCAAATCTTGAGTTTTACATCCTCACCCCCCACAGGTAGACACTGCGATGTCTGTGTCGTCCATTGCGAGGGCCTTCACGGCGGCCCTGGCTCTGCTGTGTACCACCATCCCAGCCCACCCTCAGGCTCTGTACCCACAGACTGTGAAAGCCAGAGATGATGCTAAACGTGAGTATAATGCCACTTGGCGTAGAACCGTGGACTGACGCATCGTTAGTTGTACAGCCAATCTACCAGTCCTTGCCCCTTGGGTCCATCAAACCCGGAGGATGGCTCAAAGACCAGATCGAAACAGAAGCTTCCGGTCTTGCAGGCAACCTATTCGACTTCTACCGCTACGTTCAGGATTCAATGTGGATTGGAGGCCATACAGAGTATTCACCTCTTCACGAGTCAGCCCCGTATTGGTTCAACGGTCTTGTGCCTCTAGCCTTTGGGCTCGATGACGCGAGACTCCGGGGCCAAGTGACGGCCTTTGTGGACTACGTATTGGATCATCAACAAAGCGATGGCTGGATTGGTCCTGAAACAACGCCAGAGAGTCGAGGCTTGTGGGCGCGTTGCTATATCTTACTAGGACTCATGGTACGTACGTCTTCGCCTCAGCGAGGCTTCTCTTATGATCTCCACCACATCGTCACGATGACTGAGAAACATTTGATTCGGGCGTCAATGTTGAACGACTTCCTTCGCGGATAGTCACCTTCATGAAGAGATGTGACTGCAGCGAATCACTAAGACTAACTCTCGTCAGCAATATGCCCAAGCGGATCCTTCCCAGGCTGACAGGATCGTGGATGCTATGCATCGATACGTCAATCTGGCCCATAGCATGCTCCAAAACAACTTTACCGGGTTGCTTCCAAAGGCAAACGATTCATTCGATGGTGACGGTTTCGGACCTGCAAGAGCTCATGAGATGCACATACCATTGCAGTGGCTGTACGAAAGGTACCCCCGGAACAACTCGCAAGTGATATGGGAAACAATGGAGCTTATGATCGAAGGAAGTACGGTAGTAAGTGTACTCCAGCATAGCGATTGATGTCGCGCCTGTCTTTTCTCCTAATAGCGACGACTGACCCTGTAAAACACAGTTCGGTGTTGACTGGAGGAACTTCTGGGTCCCAGGAGTATACCCAGAGGTTACGTACACTCCGAGAGAACAACCGTACACATGGCTCTTCAACCACGGAGTAAATATGGCTGAAGGTAATCCCTGACTCTTGCTCCAATGGATGTCAAGCATCATCTGCTGACTTCTAAGGTCTTCGCTTCCCATTATCAATCTATCGTATGTCTCACGACGAAGCCCTGCGGACGCAGACGCGGACGGCACTAGACCTTTTAAGTCAGTGGCACAAGTCCCTAGCTGGTACGATCATTGGCGATGAGTTCGTTACGGATCTCAACCCAAGCAGAGGTGCAGAACTGTGTACTTCGACCGAGATGATGTTCTCTACGGCCTATATATACCAGTACCTCGGCGACAATGACCTCGCAGACTGGACAGAGCTTACAGCATTCAATGCATTCCCCGGACAATTATCCCCGGATTGGTGGTCACATCAATACGTACAGCAAGAGAACCAGGTGTGTTATATACCTACCTGTACGCCACACAGACAACAAGTGCTAACAGAAACAGCCCTGGTCACGAACGCTCAACGAGTATCCCCAGATGTGGCAGAACGTTGGTGTCCGTGGTAATGTGTTTGGACTGGAGCCCAACTATGTGAGCTCCCGTCGTCACTGTACATCGCCCTTAACTAATCAACGCGGTATAGCCCTGCTGCACGGTCAACCACCCTCAAGCATACCCGAAGTTCCTCGCTAATTCTTTCGTAATCACTGAGGATGGTGGCATTGCTCACGTGCTGCTGTCACCAGGCAGCGTCACTGCCAAGGGTGCGACAATCTTGGCCGACACAACCTACCCCTTTGGCATGGATTTGCAATACTCTATCACAACCGAGACAGAGTTCACTTTCTATGTCCGCATCCCAGCCTGGGCAAGTTCATCAAGCACAGCTACTGGACCTTCCAGTGATGTCAGCACACAAATTTCTCCAACGGACCAAGGGCTACAGGCGTTTACTGTTCCTAAGGGTGAAAGTTCTGTCACCGTAAACCTCCAGGCAGAACCACGCGTAGTAACGAGGGCCAACAACTCCGCTGCGGTCTACTACGGGGCGCTGTTATACACCTTGGCAATCGACTTCAACGAAAGTGCGATACAACCATGGTCTTGGGACGGGGGTTCCGTCTTGAATAGCTCAGATACAACCCCGCAAACCCATGACCACATCATCGAACCCACGAGCCCCTGGAACATCGCCTTCGACCCGTCGCAGATCAAGGTAGTCCAGGCCAACGCGTCGACACTGCCAAACCCCATCTGGGATTACGGTGCTCCACCGGTCGAGCTTCGCGTCGCAGCCGTTGAGATCGACTGGCCTCTCAAGTTCGACACGCCTGAAGACCCCCCTAGCGAGCCTCTCGTGACCGGCAAGCCCTTCAGCGCGCGATTCGTCCCCTTCGGCAGCGCCAAGGTACACATGGCCCATCTACCAGTCGTCCAACTCCCAGAGGTCGATCTGGACGCGAGTACTTAGAGAGAATCAAAGGGAGTGAGAGATGCTTCAAAGAGCAGGAGCTGGGGTTAATTCTTTTGCTCGGAGTGTTGGGTTGATTCTTCTGCTTGGAGGCTTGTATTAATACTGTCGCTTGGAGGGACGGGGTCTTTGCTTGGTTCGAAAGCCACGTGCACCTGTTTGCAGTATAGGATACCATAGCATTACCTTGTATTAGTACTTCATGTTTATACGGACATGGTTATACCCTCAGAAACAACATCGTCACTGATGCCACCCCAAATGTGAATGGCTGAAGTGAATGGGAGGAACCAAGTCTATTGTGCTGAATGCCTCTGTCTATGTCTAACAATCAAATTCCCAAGTCTATCAATTCCGACTCCCGGGCAATATCCCAATTAGGTGAGCTTCCCGCCCTGACATTTCAACCCATGAATGTAAGAAATGCCAGTGTATCTGTCTATCCGAACTTCCAAACTCCAAAACAAAGTGGTTTCAATCTCGTGTTGATGTGGTGGGACACGCAGACGAAGATGATTCGTGCAAGGGGAAAGCCAGCGGAACGAGATGTGAATAGGGGCCAGGGGGCTTAGGGAGATTTCAGCAGTGCTTGCTAAAGGACGTCAAAGCTGACTTTCAAGTCCGGTTTATTTCTTCCCAATGATCTCATTTCATACCGTTGATGTGTGGGAGGACAGCTTTCAGCGAGCGCCCTCACGATGATGGCATCGTGCAAAGACTTAGGACGGCCCGGCGCCTTCGGCATTGTCTCACAGCTACTCCGGAGGAGGAGAAGGAGGGGCGGCGCCATTCTCATCGTCCTCTTCGTCGCCGTCGTGATTCTCGGCCCGCTCGTATTTTCTGTCGTCCGTCGCCCGCTCTTCCTTGCGTTTGGTCTGAGCGACGAGCTTGTCCTCCGCTTCCAGCTGCTTGTGCTTCAGGTCAGGCTTGACGAGGACCTTGTGGTGCTCCGTCAGGCGGATGAGATGTCGCTCCGCGAACCTGCCGCCTCGCAGCCTTTGGTACTGCTTCCTCTCTGCCGGGCAGAGCAATCTCGTGGTGTCCAGTCCCAGCTCCCGCGCGCTCTTGCTGGTGACGCTGCCCGGGCAATCGTCGGCCAGGAGCTTCCGCATGACGGGGTCCCAGCGGCGCATCTCGGACAGCACGAGCCGATGGAGCATGAGGAACACGGGGCCGTGCTCGTCGGTCGGGACGCCCGTCGTGTTGAGCTTGTCCTTGTCGCAGACGTCGCAGTTGCAGCCGAACACCAGGAACCAGGTGTGCACCATCTCGTGCATCAGATTGCCCAGGATTGTGTACAGGTCGTACAGCTTGTCCTTGGCGCCGAGCTCTATCTCGAGGCGCACGTACTGCGTTTTGCGTCGAGTGCAGGGGACTGACTCCGACTGATACAAGGAGTCGCTCAGGTTCAGATCCAGACCGGTGTGCAGCTCGATGTGCTCTTCCAGGCTTCCGAAGAAGAAGAAGTTGTCTAGGTGTCCCATGAAGCTTCTGACATCCCTGTTATAGGGAACGATGGATTTGACGCCCTCGACGTCTTGGCCGTAGTGCGCCTTGCGGGTCTTGAAGATGCTGACGATCTTGTCTTTAGCTTCTTCCTGCTTGTCGCTGAGGTCTTCGGGACGTCTCTCGTAGAATGACTTGGCGCAGAAGTTCAGGATGTCTCGCGGCTTGTAGAAGCTCTGTTGGAGCTCGGGGGCCATGTACTTTCCGAACGGGGCGTAGACAGGGGGGACCTGGTGAACGGGCTCCTCTTCATCGCCTTCCGCCTTAGCGACCTTTCTCTTCGTTCCACGCATAGATGTCATGTTGGCTGAGGCTTAGGCTTGGGAAGGGGATATTGCTCGGGGAGAGGAAAGACGTCAATACTGAGTTACCGAATGGTAGATGGTCGTAGTTGAGAACTGGTTGTTGGTGACCCGATGGTGTGTTGGTTGAGAGTTGGATTATTTCTGTGATAGTGGCAGCAACAGTACTTGGGTTATATAGTTGAAGAACGAGTTTGAGGCACACCACAGCCTTTTCTTGTACCTTCTAGTGGCCGACATTCCAACACTCGAGCGCCCAAGGCTCAAGACATTTTCCTTTGAGCGGAAAAAGTCTAGAATTTCACAGTAAGTCAGGGTTGCCTAGCTTATAACGTTAAGCATGATCCTGAAGCCCTTTCAGCATAACTTCCAAACAGACTAAATCGGTCTGGATGAATTTAGAGTCTTGGATCCTTTCCACGGCTGTACAGTCGCTTCGGTAAACCACTAAATATCGCCATCACAGCCTAGATCCGCCTAAGGGGTATGTGGTCTCGACGGACGGCAGATCGCCGGAGGATTGATATGGCATGGCTAGCGACAAAGTGAGCGTGGGCTCGTGAACAGTTTTAAGGTATCAGGAGGCGAGGAGGCTTGCGACGGTATTTGAAAGGTTACTCAAGAATCAAACTCATGTAAATATAACAAACCAAATAGGCGACAAGTCAACTGCGAATCCCGATCAGACACGGACAGGGGGGCTGCTCATGACACCCACGGTATGCATGTTTGGCGTCCTCTCGATTTCATTTGAAGCGCGCAAAACACGTAGCAACAACCCTTTAATGGCTCTCTCTCAGTGAGAACATTGTCATTCGTTACTTTCTCATGGCCAATCACTCTACAAAAAGCTCCGAGCAAGCCTCCGGCCACTCGCTACATACCTCTCACTCCCATCCTGCCACCGATCGCCAAACCGCGCATAAACAACCTCGATCTCTCCCTCAAACTTCTTCTCCGTTTCCCCCCTCGCAACACTCCCCTTAGGCGTCCGCACGAACTCCCCTGCCGCAACAGGCAGCACATGCGTCTCCGCGACCCGTCCATGCGCCGGCACCCTAGCATTCAGCGGCCGTATGACAGCCTTCCAAATCTCCGAGATAGCTTCCGGGGAGACGCCCGGCGCGAGTTCGATGAGCGCTAGGGGTTGCTGGCGACGATTGCCGATGACGAGCGCGGCACCCACCGACTCGTGCGCCGCGAGCGCGCTCTCCATCGGGGCGGGGCGGAGGTTGATGGCCGTCGAGAAGGTAATCAGGTCGTCGAGGCGGCCGGCGAAGCGCCATGCGTAGCGCGCCTTTTTCGGATCCGGGTGGGGCGTCCAGAGGTCCCCGACCGCGATCTCAGAAGCTGAGGGTGTCGAATTAGAATCGAGCGTTATGCCGTTCCGGGCGTGCCAGGGTGAGAACAGGGCGGATTTGGGCGTTAGTGTGATGACCATTTCGTACAGCGTCTCCGTGGATGAAGATGAGGAAGTTGAGGAGTAGCTGTCTACTTGGACGGCGCGGAACTCGAGACCCCCGCGCTCGACGTCGAAGAAGACGTAGGCGTGGTCGCCGGGGTCGGCTTCCAGCTGGGGAGGGCTGAGGAACTCGGTCCCGGCCCAGAAGTTCTGGATTTTTGTGTGTTGGGCCCAGATGCGGCTGGCGGATGGCGAGAGTGCGGCTGCAGAAGGATTCTCGGTTATCATTAAGAAGGAAAAGGGGCTGAAAAGGGGTGCAGTTGTGGGTTCCTACTCACCTCCACCAAAACACACAACCTCCAAACTCTCGATATAATCCCGCGCATCAGGCCTCCTCGCAACCTCCTCCATCATCCACGGCACCAGAACCGCCTTCGTCGCACCGCAGTGCGTCAAAACATCGCAGATCTCGCTCGGCTCGACGGCCCGATGTCGAAGTCCAGGCACGAATACAGCGCCGCCAAAGACGCTCGAACACAAGGACCCCATAGAACACAAAGCATGGAACGGCGCAGAGGGAACCAGGAACCGCACCCCCTTCCCCAGTTTTGACAGCAGGAAATGGGTCCAGCCCTCGACGTCCGGCAGCAGGTTCTGCCGCTCGACCGTCGCGACGGCGGCGTGGTTGATGACGACGGGTTTCGAGTCGCCCGTCGTGCCGCTGGAGTGGAGCACGAGATAGGGGTCCTGCGCCGCCTGCGCGAAGGTCTTGGTGTAGGGGTAGTGGTCAGCGATGTCGTCCATGCACAGCAAGTCGTCGAGTTCCGGGATGAGCGCGTGGAGCATTGGTCTCCCCTCCAAAATATCGTCTACATCAACTCCTGAGGCTGTCAACAGCGCCTGGCAGCGCGTCTGCTCCATCAGAGATACGTGGATATGGAGACTGTTAAGGTGAGAGGAGAACAGGACCTTGTGGCCTGTTTTACACGCGGCCATCTGCATCATTTGGTACCGCACGTCTGATGGGCCCATGTAGGCTATGGTGGCGAATGAGGTGGACCGCCCGATGGTTGCCTCGACGAGCCATGACAGCTTGTTGATGGCGTTGGCGAAGGCGGCGTAGCTGATGTCTTCGTAGCCTTGGGTCAGGTCATTGTCGTCGAGGGGTAGGGAGGCCCAGGGGCGCTGGGGTTCATCGCGGGCGAGCTCGTCGATTACGACGGGCAGGAGGCGCTGGCCGTAGTTGATTTGGGCTGGTTTGGTGGCCATCGTGTGTTGGACGTCCTACGTGGTACGTCAAATCTTTCTCAGAATTTGTCCTGGCGCTGCCGACTTGTGGAAGCGGATGAAAAGGGAGTTCTCGCCAACTTCTCCTACACGAGGTACGGAAATCTGATATACAAACGAAGAGTGTTTTCCGAAGAACATGGCCTCGTTGATTTACGGCAATAGAGAAGAAACCTTAAATGGCTCGCTCAGTGAATGTCACTAATCTCGCCGTGCCACGATGACGCCGTCATTCAATTCACTCTTGTCCCCAGGTGTGACTGGAAGCATGTGACATACACGAGTCCTAGTAAGGACATAAACCAGACAGTCACGACTACATAAGAGCGCGTTTGCGGGCAGTGATATGCAAGGCACTTTGGTCACAGCCGAGACATCTCAGGCCGCAAACAGTCAAACGATCCCAGCGGAGAGGACATCGCTCAAACGGCGCCTCGAGAGATATCTCCGATCGAACCACCCAGACAAGGCAAATTTCTCCACACTGTTGGTATCTAGTCGGGGTAGGTGCTTTCTTGGAAGTGCCACTGCGTCTGTTTATGAACCGTGACTGGCTGTGGTGTAGGACTTGGGATGAGGCTATTCCCAAACGGAGCCTCTTCGTGCGGCCAACTTATGCTACCTGCGGCTAGGTGCATGCATGTGACACGAAGTGAATGCGCCTGTTGGGTAGCCAATTCGTCAGTCCAGAGTCATCACCAACAGTCGCGGACATACTGCCTCATCCATGCCCACCCAGCCGCTAACCCCGGCATACATTCCTTCAAGAGCTGAGAGTGAATTCAAACGGCCCATCCAGACCCCAGGGACCGTCCCGAGTGACTGGTTCATCCCAGCCAAGAACAGTCACGCTCTCAACCGCGGCGTTGGTACCATAGTCAAAAGTGCCGTCGGCAGTAAAGGTCGTCCCGTCCCACGCGAAGCTGATATCCGAGTACGCCCCAGCCACGTCCAGACTCTCCCCGTCATCCAGGTACAACGACCCCGCCGCGCTGCCGTCCACGCCCGGCGCAACGACGAGCGTGAAGTTGTTCTGCCGCAGCAGCGTCGTCGTGTTGGCCGACTCGGTGCGCATCGGCAGAACAGTGCCGCCGCGTATGTGGACAGGGATATCGGTCCAGTCCACATCCTCCACAGTGACGTTGGCGGCCTCGCCCCTGACCGGTTCGAGCGTCCAGAAATCGTAGAAGATGTCGTTGGGGAGGTAGAACGTGACGGACGTCGCATTGTTTTCAACCACAGGGGAGACAAGCACGGCGTCGCCGTAGAACCACTGCATGTCGATACCGAACGTGCTGGTGTCGTTGGGATAGACGAAGAACAGCGGGTTTACGATCGGCGACCCCGTAGCGCTCGCGCGGTACATGGCCGTGTAGATATAGTCCATTAGCCGATAGCGTGCCTCGATCCCCTTCCTGGCAGCCTCCGAGACCGACTCCCAAAGGTAGAACTCCTGCGGCGGCGCTGAGATATCGGCGTGGTTGCGGTAGAACGGCATGAAGGCCCCGAGCAACGCCCAGCGCGCGCACATGTGCTCCTCGGCGGGGCTGTTGAACCCGCACACGTCGCTTCCGACCATCGGCATCTGGTGCACGGTTGCGAAGGCCAGCAGCTGCGCGATCGAGGCCCGGTAGTCGTCCCATGTTGACGCGTTGTCGCCGAACCAGTGTGCGGCTTTGGCGCCGGCGCCTGCGAAGGTTGAGCGCGTTAGTACGAACGGCCGGATACCCGGGCGGCGCGAGAGGAGTGCCTTGCGGGTGCTGCTGAGCATTGTGGTGCCGTAGAGGTTGTGTGTATCATACTGTGATGTACCATCGCTGTTGGTGATGTTGGTCCAGAGCGTGTAGTCGCTGAGCTCGCCGCGGTGGTTGTTAATATGGTAGGCAGGGGTGAAGAGGTCGCGGCCGGAGAGGCCCTTCATGGCTCCCCCGGAATCTGGCCTTGCTTGGATCAACCTGGACTGCTGAGACGAGGCTGGTTGAAAGTCTACCGGAAATCCGGGGATCGGTCGCCCGGTGTTGTTACGTGGAGCGTTGGTTGGCTGCGGTGGGTCGTTACCGTCTATCGCCGCCTGAGCCGGATCACAGGTGACGTCGCCACAGAAGTTGCTGCCTTCGTTCATGTCATTCCAGGCCCCGTCTATGTCAATGCCCGTTTCTGGGTCAAAGAACATGGCAAGTTCATTCGTCCACCAGTCTTGAGCGTTGACAGAGAGCCAGTCCGGCCAGACCACCTCCCCTGCCCACTGCACACCGCGATATCCAGATCCGTCATCAGCTTGCAGGAAGGCTCCTGCCTCGCTGCCTCTGGTGTAGCTTGAGTAGTTCTCCACCCTGTGGATTCCAGGGTCCAGCATCATGATGTAGTGCTGGTCCCGTTGATGCAGTGTATCAACGAGCTCGCGCATCTTGTGCAAGGGGAATCGCTCCGGGTCTGTGGTGAAATCCTGTCGAAGGTTCATGTAGTCGATATCGCCCCATAGTGTCTCCAGAGGTATGTTTGCCGTGGAGTAGTTTCCTACAACTTCAGCGGCGTAGTTGACGTCCCAGTATCCGTACTTGCATTGGTGGAAGCCGAATGTCCAGTAGGGCATCATAGCCGGCAAGCCAACGACCTCGGCGTACTGCTTGCTGACATCGGAAGGAGTGGGCCCAGCTAGGAAGTAAAAGTCGAGAATTCCACCAATTGCATTGTACTCGAGGAACTGATCGCCAGACTCAGTCTGTTTTATGTTGATGTTCATTCCATTCGAGTTCAGGAGGAAGACGCCGTGGGAACCCGCCTCGCCACGATGGTCGAGGTAGTTCGGATGGCTTCCGTACAGATTGGATAGGCGAGGAATTAAGGGAGACTCAGAGTTCCACAGCACACGCTGGTAGTCATTCGTCGGAAGTCGAAACGAGTCCGAGTGCTCTCCCAGTCCGTATATGTTGGGGTCATCTGGCAGCTGAGTTTTGAGGTATAGGTACTGGGATTCGAACACGAGCTGGCTGCCATTCGTGTTGAACAAGACTTCCCCTGAGCTGGTTCGCGAGATGGAGAAGGAGAAGGGTTCTTCTATCAGCGAGAACTGTATGGCGGCATCTGACGAGAGCACATCCTGGCTTGACGGGCGTGGCAGGACAGCTTCCTGAACCTGGTACACGTCGAGGCCGGCGTCGTAGATTTTCACATGAAGTCGGGATTCTGAATACTGGTCAGTGTCTCGAGGAATGGCCACATGTACTGGTGATAGAGAACGCACCGGTCTGATATTCGACGAGCAACTTGAGATCAGCCAAATCCGTCCCATAGATGTCGCAGGCAGTGCCCGAGAGTGTCAGCTCTGCAGTGATAGTACCGTTGCCGTCGACGACATTAGATGCCGTGTACCCAGGGCAGTCGGCGACAGAGGCGGCGAGAGTTCTAGCAGCAATAGCCAATACAGTGACTCCTTGAAACTTCATCTCGACTGCTGTGACTTCACTGAGACATCGTCAAGCGTGGGTGAAGGACGCAGAACGCTACCAAACACCCCGCGTACTTCCATCTTATCAATACCGTATTCAGGGCAGGGTGAATTATACTGGTGCCTGGAAAAGCTATGCCTGTCTTTGGCGTGCTTCCTGTTTCGGGCAGGTGTGATGTGGATCGTGGAGGCTGTTAAGATGAATTATACGAAACGCGCATAGAGCAGCATTGGGATGCGGGGAAAGTGAGGGGTGTACATAAGGGGTGCCCAATGGACATAAACCCACTTGCACAATATACTCAGGCCGGTCACCGATTGGGGGCATTCGGGGTTGAAGTTATAATTAGATGAAGTCATCCGGCGACGCACCGGCATCATTCCGGACAACCAGGTCACTGTAGGTCTTGTGATCGAGTCGACCAGACATCGCGATAGTCCAAACCACAGCCACAACAAGAAGATAGAGCAGACAGCAGACAAACCCATACATATGTCTAAACCCCGACGAACTTTAGCTGATGCTGGGCTGTGTGTGACTCCGTTGCAGCATGAAGTGATCCGGACATCGCTTCAAGTATAAAAGCTCCTTATTCGACCTAAAATTATTGTTTATTTACTTTATTTTGGTTTTTCTATTTGCAGTCTTGTTCGCTGGCATCTCCTCGTCGCTCCGTAATGGTAACGTTACGGTACCAGCTTCCATCCTGCCGGTTTTGGGCATGCGCGGCAGACATCTTTACCATGCCCATGACCTACCCACCCTCATCGTGTCAATTACATACAGCCAATGGAACCAGTACAGAGCTTCACAAAAGCTGGCGCGGCAGTGGCGCCGGAAAGCCAAAAAAAAAAAAAAAAAAAGAAAAAAGAAAAAAAGACGCGAGCAGTGAACTCTGTAAGTTACGGCTCTGGTCTTCTGTTGCTACCGTGGTCGTTCCTGACAGGGTGAGAACGTACCCGGCAATGTCACGTGTAGTGGCAGACTCCTGTTCGTCTACCCTTGGAATGTCCCGGCTTGAATTTGTCGTCATCCGAACACCACCGGACACTCTCATGTCGAGACCGAGTGTGGTGGTCCACTCTACGTCGCGGTCCTCGGCCTTGACCACGTCGGATGTCCATGACCTGACCTGGAACTCAACAGGAGAATGCTGAAACCCTATAATTCGGACCTAGCATGCACGTGTTCAGGCATCTATCGGTCGATAGCCTATCGGTGTCTAGGTCGGAGGAGTGTACCTCTCGCTGTTGAATATCGACAGGATATTCGAACTGAGGGAGTTTTCTATGCTCGCAGATGTTTGATGTTTGAGTCTTTGAGTTATTATGGAGCACGGAGTCCACGAAGTCCACGGGGTCCACGGCAAGCATCATTTCTTGCGTCATGGCCGCATTTGCCTCCGCTCGAAGGCTAATCGTCACTAACAGCTTAATAATGATGCGCCCTGAGGTTATTACAAAGACAGCCGAAGCTATGAAGCAAATCTTCATCCGGACAACTACCTACGTCGCGCACACTTGGAGCTGAACAAGACCAACAAAACACACGATACTCAAGGACACCTTCTGAATCCTATATAAACACATCAAACCGATCAAGATGTCAAGCAACCAAGGAGCATGGCTAGACGGCAAGGACAAGAAGCTGAGAGTCGACTCTTCTGAGATGCCAAAGGCTGGCGCCGACCAAATCGTGGTCAAGAACCATGCCGTTGCCGTCAATCCGGTCGACTGTGAGAGACACCGAAGAAGAATCGTTGCAAGTAATGACTACTGACTTCGACTGTGCTTGACAGGGAAGATCCAGGACAGTGGCATGTATATCCAGAAGTGGCCAATGATCCTAGGCTGTGACGTGGCCGGCGAAGTCACCGAGGTTGGCGACAACGTGAAGCGGTTCAAGAAGGGTGACCGCGTTGCTGGGTATGCTGCATCTCCCACCTTACATGGTCGAGTATTTAACTTACTGACATGGTCTGTAGTCACGCCGTCAGCCTTGCATCCGGGGCATCGGAGGATGGCGGGTTCCAGCTCTACTCTAGAATCACCGCCGGCAAGGCCGCGATAATCCCATCAAAGATCTCCTACGCCGCCGGCTCTGTCTTGCCATTGGCCATCGACACAGCAACAGTCGGTCTTTACTCCTCGTCCTCTGAAGGCAAAGGCCTGGGTCTGCCCATGCCGTCGCTCAACCCGAAGCCGGCCGGCAAGACCATCGTTGTCTGGGGAGGCAGCTCGTCCGTCGGTGCTCTCGCCACCCAACTCGCAGTCGCTTCTGGAGCGAAGGTCATCGCCACAGCCAGTAGCCACAACTTCGACTTCTGCATGTCGAACGGCGCCACCGATGTCGTGGATTACAAGTCGTCCTCCGTCGTCGAGGATGTTGTCAAGGCTGTCAAGTCGGCTGGCGGCGACTTCGTTGGGACCTACGATGCCATCTCCCTGCCGGAGCAGTCCCTCAAGCACACCGTTCCAATCACCGACAAGTTGGGCGGCGGTGTGCTGTCCATCGTCCTCCAGGCACCGGAGAACCCCCCATCAAGCGTGAAGGTGGCTCATGTGTTTGGCATCAACGAGATGACCCATCCCATCTGGGAGAACTATGTCACGCAGGCGCTGAAGGACGGTAAGCTCAAGGCTGTGCCAGAGCCCCTTGTGATTGGAAAGGGCCTTGAATCGGTCCAGAAGGGTCTTGACAAGAACAAGGAAGGCGTCAGTGCTAAGAAGGTCGTCATTGAGCTTAGCTAGATGTGCCTTGCGCCGCCATCACTGGGGCAAGTGAGTAGTACAACCATGTAGATAAGACTTCGAAGCAGGTTATATACTCGTGAGGACTCGTAACGTTCTCATTTAACAAGCAATGTTCCACATACAGCTGGCTGGCCGTAGCAGAGACTATCGTCGGTAGGTGTGGGATGAGCCCGTAGGCAGAAAACAACCAGTGCTCCCAGTTCCGAATAGCCAGGCGTTTGGCGGTTCGGTTGGAGTCCGTCCGACGAAGCCAACCAACTGGTTCCCTCGCCATTGGCGACTGTCATCTGAAATACCTCTTCTCGACCAGGGACCTTTCCATATGCAACGCCCGCGCCAGCACAAATGACAATCTATCCCCGAAGCTCCTCACTCTCTGCTATATGATTAGCGATAGTAACCTTGGGAAGTTGTTTCCGAGGCTGCTCAGACGCAAGAGTAGGGATACGAACATTTCAGCCTTACATACCGCCATGAACCCCTTCTCCTTCATACTGCTCCTCCGATAATCTTCATCCATGCTTGGGCTGTACATCTCATCTTCGGGGCAGCACTCCGACTCGTCGATTGTAATTTCTTCAATTGCACCATTGGCCAGGAATACCCGTTTCCATCTGCACACGGAACGACTTCTGACGTTTCGTGACCGCATATCCATCTTCTGGTGTATACGTGACACATTGTGACCGAGAAACCAGGGTAACGATGGATTGAGTGAATGGAAGTTGAGGAGGCCTTCTTGGAAGAGATCAAGGTCCCATATGAATACGCTCTCCTCATATGCTGGGCCTCGGTCTGACCAGCTCGGTGACCACACGTTTTGCTGCATTCCTTAACATACATGGACTCCAAGCGCGGGCGGTCGAAGACTAAGGGGAGCTGGGCGTCCTTCACCGCAGCGTTTGAGCATGACAGTGATCTCGAAAGTCTCTTGCTGGGAGGTACTTCTGACAACAATGTTCTCATGATCATTCAGTCTGCTGCGGCGGGGTCACTACTGGGCGTGGTGGACACACCCAGATTAAGTCTTCCAGTCAAAAGTGCTGCCCCTAGAGCCGTGCGTGTCAACACCTTACCACCATAGTTGACTGGAGCATGCCTCTGCGTTTCCCCAATTCAATCCTAATCGTACATAACTCTCCAGCAACTCAGGGACCCGCGCAGTGGTGTCGACGCCCCTTAAAAGCGTACCCAGATCCCACTAACTCCTAGACGCCGAGAGATGGGGATTCGAATCCAACACCACCGGGTCGATATCGTCCGCCGAAAGAGGAACCCAGCTGCTCACGTTATGCGCGACCAGCAGCCCGTCCCTGCCGCCCTTCCACATGAACCACGAGTAGTGCCCCTCGAACGCAACCACCACGGGGAAGTCATCCCCGCCCGGATTCAGATCCCATATCCTCTGCGGCGGCTTCGGCGGAACGGCATCCTTGTACAGAGATTGAAGCTTGTCGAGGTTGCGGGCTAGACGCGCCATGATGGCCGAGAACTGGTCGTCCTCCGGTGTAGGGTGTCCAGAACCCTCAGATAGCCTTTCCATCATCTCCTGGACTACGCCCAGGCGGAGGGTGGTTGCCACCCATACCAGAGACAGCTGGCCCTGCATGGTCTCGATGTAGAGGCGAGCCTGGTCGTCAGCAAGGCTATCTGTGGTTTTCAAAGGGTTGCGTAGCGGCCCTAGACCTCAGCCGTTGGAGCCAGCGACGCCGAACATCTTTGCTATGCCGCCGAAGGTCGCGCCCCTCAGGTCCTTCTTGGCCTTGTTGAAGTTTGCTTTACCGATTGCCGGCTGGCGGCGAAATGCGTCTGCAATTTTCGTGTATACCTCGGTCTGCCATGGTGGTTTGCTCTTGTCGCTGAGATCGAGTGGTTTGTAGGTGAAGGGAAACTTGGCGGATGGGTTTGGATGAGCCCCATGGTCATTCGCGAACTTGAGTTTCTGGGGATCGTACACCACCCTGGGGCGCTGGTATTCTGGCAGTTCGACGAGGCCCAGGTGTTCGGCCATGCTTTTTTCGATGTCCCTCTTCTTCTTCCTCGTCTTCATCTTCTCTACTCGCGCCCCATTATGTTCTTCTTTTCCCTCGAGACGTATCGTTGTGGAGTCGCGGCTCCGCTTATTTGCAACGGAGCGTGGTAAGACCGCGTCTTGATGAAGGCCGCAGAAGAGACGAGGTCCCCAGGAAGGGAATGCCTTTGCCGTTTGTAGACTGGCAAAGCCTAGTATATTTTGAGGCATCAGGTGTCGCGCAGCAAACACAGTGGCTTATGACCGGTTGTCATGCATCAGTGAATGGACGCGCTTCTAGCGCTGTCTTGACTGGATCGGAACCTGAACATGGGGAATCCGAGTGAGAAGACGAGAATTAATACTCCAGGTCCCATGTGAATACCAACCGATGAATATATGAGTGGACGGGGCCTATTTAGAGAGTGACTGGCTCATGGGAAGGGTCTTGTCGCAGTTGGTCGGTGCCAGGACAAAACCTGGATCTGTAAAGTGAGTTCTATGGTGTGGCTTGACGGCTGTGGCGAGTGTCCTCAGCACAGCCTCACCCATGAAGTATACATGTAGGAGAATCAAATGGCAGCTGCATCAATCCATCCGAAGAGCCTATTCTTTGCACAGCAGAGCGGGCTTAACCCCCTTCACAGGCGACACTGGGCTGCTTGTACCTCTTATAAGTTTTCGGCACAACATTCCTGGGGAGGTACGATTTGTAGCAAACAGATGCCGGAACACCATAATACACCGGGAGAAAGCGGACATTGATAACCACAAGGTCTTCAGAGGTTGGCAACTTGGAAAAATTGCAATTGCAAGGGTGGTATTAGGTATCGACACAAAGAGAATTATGTGGCCCGCGTGTAACATGATCACGCTTCCCCTTGGAGCCACCGTGCCGAATTACTCCTCCTTGTCCCATCCATATGTTGAGTTCGTACCCTATGTGGGCGTGCCCTCCCTACTCGTGCTCGGCCTAGGCTTGCCCAAGAAGCTCTTCCTTATCCCGGAGCCTGGTTTCACGCTGCGAGGGCTGTCCGAGATAGCTTCCACAAAACTACTCTTCAAGACAACCGTCCCACTTCCAACCTTCAGCTCCTTTTCCCCCGTGCCACTCTCGTCAACAAAATACAAAGCGTCGCCTAGATCGTCATCACTACCAAACGTGTGATGGCCCTTGACCTCGACGCGGAATTGCGTGTCGGCTGTGCAGGTATACTTGAATGTTTCGTTGAACTCAATCGTGTCGACCCCTTCGTGATGCTTAGTCTTCCCCACAGTCTTCTCCTTGGGGGTCAATTGCCGGATTAGGACATAAACGTCCGACGAAGGGGGAAATCCCGACGCCGACAAGACCGTAAATGTAGCTGCTCCATGGCCGGGACCACCAGGCGCCATACTGCGAACGGACATGGCGCCCATGCTGGACGTTCGCGCATGTGATCTCCCATTCGGTGTCGCTGGTGGAGCGGTCTCGCCATCGACGCCCAGTCCGGTGGAACGCTTGAGCCCAGAACCGGGTACAGGTGCGTCGGAACTACTGGTCACGATTGATGGGATGTCGGAATTGCTTGGTGACGGGGCAGAACCGTTGACCTCGTCCTCTTTCTTGCCCCGGAAGCCGCGCTTGATAAAGCTCGCCCCCTTCCCGACACCGTGTCCGACAACGCCAGCTACCGCCGCGCCACCTTTCACGGGTGCACCAACGACGCCCGTGACAATCCTGCCCGGGCCGCCAAACGTTCCAGAAAATGTACCAGTGCCCAGTCGTGATCGGGTGACGTAATCAGGTCGGAAAAGAAGTCGTAATCTGATCGACCCGGACTTCCCATCAAGGAGTAACTTGACTTCCTGAGCTTTGAATGGGTCAAGCTGCTCAAGGTTTATGTCTGCGCCGCCCAAGAAATCTGGCTTATCTGCGAAGTCGTAGTCGTAGACCTTGAGGTGGAACTTGGCCGCCGTTCGTGATGGCACGGCAACCTCAAAGAACTCGTTCCAAACCGGATTCAGCGTCTTCTTCTGGGTTTTCGTCTTGAACACGTCTTGGCCGTTGAGCTCGAATTTGCAGTAGGGGTCGCTCTTTCCGTTGGAATCTGCTGAGGGCAGATCTGCAGCATCCAATACGTCGACACGAAGGTTGCCCATGTTGTTGATGCTCTCACTTGGGTCGAGCTGCATCTTGACTGGAATATACTTGAGGCTGACCTTGACAGTGGCCGTTCTGTTTTCTTCGTCCTTGAGCTTCAAGACGGTCGGGTTATTCTGCTAGCATTAGTGCCATCTCTCAGTCGCAAGTAGGGTGCGAAGACTTACCAGACATTGTTTGAGGGTGTCTAGAGTGTTGCCCGTCAGACGAGCCACGGTATGATCCTCATCTCGCTCTTCACCTGGCTTCTCCCGCTTCTCCCTCACCTTGAGGGTGAGCCGTGAGAAATCTAATTCGCGGATGAAGCAATCGCCTATCTCATCGAATTTGAAGCTCCTCTTCTTTGCCGTGCCCGAGATGTAGGAAGGATACAACATGTCGTCCACGTAAATTTCGAGATGCGTTCCATGTTTGGGCATTTCGCCCTCGAGGAGCTTGAAAACGAGAAAGCCGGACTCGTGCTTCAATAAATCCTGAGGCGAAAGATGTACCTTGGGCGGTTCCCTCGGGGCATCACGAGATTTCCGGCCTGACAGTGCTGAGCTCGGAGAGACAGGCGACTTGGGCATGGTCGGCGATGTCGGGGTGGTCGGTTCATTACGACTGTCTATCCTCTCAAGCGTAGCAGAAAACTTGCCAGCCTCTACAGATCGAGGGACATCGAGAGTTTGTGTCGGCGCCTCGGAGGCCGCCTCCTCTTCTTGGGCTTCTTCGTCGTCCTCTGGATCAGCTATGTTCAAGCAAGGGTAGAAAGACGCGGTGTATGTCAAAGTGCCTTTTGCGATGCCCTTGCCGTGTAGCCGCAGGCCTTCTTGGTGTGTTTTCTTTTGATCGTTGACAAGCCACTCCCCACTGTCGTCCTGTTCCATATAGTTACCGGCAAAGATCTCGACCAGTCCTAGGCTACGATCTTTGCCCATCTTTTCAGCGTCCATGACCTCCAACGAGAGACGGTCTCGAGGAGAGTGCATGGGGATATAAACGACCTCGTCCCATTCGGGATGCAGAGTGTTGCGATGCGTTACAGTCCGGCCTCTCTCAATGCCCGAGAGGAGCACACGGACATATGGATCTGACTTACCCATCGTTTCGAAGTTGCGTAGGTCATGGGCATTCTTGAAATGCAGACGCATAACGCCAATAGGAGATTGGTAACCGCCGCTTCCTGCCAGAACCCCGGACAATGCCACTGGCTTCCACTGCGCAGTAAGCTTTGCCTTCCCAGTTTGGGCTCCAGACAGGTTGTACCAATCGTGACCCTTCTCCATCATCTCGAGCATGTCATCTAGCTTGATTTGGTAGGTACCGATGAGCTGGTCGCCAGCAAGCTCCCGTTCGTCTTTGATAGCAAGACCCAATTTCGCATTCTTGCGGTCGGTGATGAGAATTTCCTTGGATCCGTTATCCCAAATGGGATTGTTGGTGCGCTTGAGCTTTTTGGTTTGGTGAATTTCCTTGCCATTCAATAGCAAATTGGCATATGGGCTGAGCTGGCCGACCAGACTCTTGGTACCGTCAAGATCTTTTGCTTGCTCAATAGTGTATCGCAGAATACCGGTGTTAGACTCCGGCGGTGGCTCTAGACCACCTTCAACCTGGGTTGGTTCCAGGACAGGGAAGAAGCGAATGTCGGCGTTGATTACACCACGAGCCTTGCCGTGTGCCAGGACCTCCAGGCGCTCGTTCTCGTGCACATTCAGCTCCTCTACTCTTTCAAGTGGAAAGGAGGCCACGCCGAGCTCCTTGTCCTTGCGGTAGTCGTTGTAGTCGTAGACCATTAGGTCAAGAGAATCGGTGAAAGAAGTGATGATAACATAATGCGTCTCATTCCATCGCGGGTTGGGGGTGTCCTTGATAGTCTTGGTCTGGGCCAGAGGCGCGCGTTTGCTCAAGGTGACAACGGCATAGGGATCGGGGTTACCAGCGAAATTGTCGGGGTTCTTGAGGCCTTGCGCACCGTGGAGAGTGACCGCAATCACGCCGATGGCTTGATCGACGGGCGAGCCAGCAAGCATCTTTGCAACCTCAATTGGGAAGACATTGGGGGCGTACATCATCGGAGCCAAGTTACCATGTATCTGTTCCAGAATGAAACTCTCTAAGCCCGGTATGAAGTTGATGTCAAAGCCGAAAGTATCACCGCCGAGGGGTTTGCAGACGTAGTCAATAGTAGGGCGCTCCAAGAAGCACATCTCCACTTTCTCGATGTGAGGGAACGGGAACTGGAGCTTGACCTTGAGACGCATGATGCCGGAGAATGCCATGTCAGCAACAATGACATCCAGTCCCTTACTGATCATGGCTTTACCGATTCGGATCTCGAGAACGATCTTGGGATTTATCTTGTTGGTTAACTGGCGGGCGGTCATGTCGGCAGTATCATTGGGGGTGAAGCTAAACTTCCAGTCCATGACGACGGTATCGTCCTCGGCCTTTGGGTAAGTTTTGACATGGTCCATTCTCGGGGGTTTGGATCCCAAAGTGAATGTCTTGAGCTTCAGACTGTCGAGGAAGCCTGGGGTGGCAGAACTTAGGACCTGATCAACCGAGTTGATGATAGTCTGTGCGAGGACTGGTTGGTAGATGGGCCAGAACTTGACCAAAAACGAGTTGATCCATTCCAGAGATTCATGATCGGTATCCAACTTCTTCAGAGCCATCTCGCGGGTAATCTCGTCACGGAAGTTCCGTCGGACTCGCCTGATAGATGTTCGGTAGTAGGTTGAGCAGCATGCCATGATTATGATGACCCAACCCAAGCCACCCCCAAGCACAGCAACCAGCCAAGAAGAGAGGCAGGCAAAGCCAATTATAGCGGCGTTGTGGTACCAGTCTGTAGAGTTGACGTCAATCAGCGGATGTCAGCAAGCACAGGGAAACGAATGGACTGACCGCCGAAGAACTTGTCGGGTACCTGGCCTTCCAACCAGGTGGTATGATCCAGCATACTGTCGCCAGCCGTGACACTGTCGACAGGCCAACCATAGCGCTGGGTCCATCCGACCTTTGCAGCCAAGTCCTCCTCCTCCACAGCCGTATTGCCGCCGGGTATGAGCTTCCCATCCTTGTCGTGTTCGAATTCGACGACGCCTGCTTTGGAGGGTGGCGGAAGGTCGTAGGCAGCCTTGCTGCCATCGTCGACGTCGGTAGCAATGGCGACTCCCTTTGGCCTGTGTGGGCGGCGCAATTCGTCGGGCATGGCCTAGGAAGAAGCTGGGTCAGCACACTTGGCGCATCGGGTTGGCTGAACACCTGAACAGTCTGACAACGTACAGCTTTAGCCTGAGCCTTCTTCTCCTCCGGACTCGCGTCTGGGTCGAATGTGAAAGCGGCCACGCCCGCGTTCCTGCTCTCCTCCACCAGCTTCCTCTGGGCATCGTTCGCCGTGACTGAGGATTCGGGGTCGCGAGCAGCATCAACGGCGCCCTGCTGCTTCAGCTCGCTCGCTTGCTGAGCGGTAGCCATAGGGACGGAGGACAGTGCTGCCGCGGCAGCTCGAGTGTAGGGCGTGTCAGGTTCACTGGTGGATCATAGAAAAGCTATATGAACAAGAACCTGGCGTCGCGTTCGCAGGGAGGTCGGTTAAGGAAGAGGAAGGAATCTATAGGTATCTGTCTAGGTTGCATGTGACGGCAGGGAGGGATCTGTCCGCCTGTCTGGGCATGCAATTGCACTAGAAGCTACTAGGTACTAGGTAGGCAAAAGAAGGCCAACGAAAGGAGAGGAGTGAAGTGGTTAATTGTTGGTTGAGAAGGTAAAGAAAGTTGGCGACGGCTGTCAAAGAAGCATGGCTTGGTTGGTTGGACGGACGGACTGTGACTGGACTCTCTGAACTTGGAAGACAATAGTTCATAGCATGATGCGCCGTAGCGAGCAAGCTTGGGCGCTTGGCAGGCGATGGATGCCCCAGCGACCCCAGCTGGAGCTGGAGGCCGCCAGGGAGTCGGGATACAGTACAGCTACAGGGTCCGTGGTATCCTTGAACCTTCAAGGGTCGGACCAGGTGGTTTTCACAGGGCTCCTCACCAGCCACAACCGGACAATTGCTGTCTTTCATCAAGGTTAAGCTCATATCTCATCTGCTCGCAACTCCCCTCCAGTCCCCATCTCCGTCCAGAACCAAAGTAAGATCTCGCAGACTCACATGACGAACTCCGTGGTCCCAACAATCATTCTATCTGTTTGCGTCCCCTTACATTCGTCATTGACTCAACATCCATCACCTGTCATTCATGTAGACAGGTAGGTGAAGGTCATGGCAGGCGCAGCAACAGTACCACGACACTCCCATCGGGCCGGAAGAAATGAATCTGCTCTTCGCGTCGATAGTCTGCTATCTGGGCGCTGTACTAAACAAAGGTACCTGTACCCCCTTAGATCATCATAGAGGCAATTGCCACCATGACGTGTCAATGGACGAAAAGATCTCTTGCGATAAAGTCAGTGTCTTGATTGAACTGGAGCGAGAAGCCAAAAGGCTCGCTCGGAGGCTACTCGACTAGACGAGGACCTGGCTATTTTCCCTTCACGATACAATGAAGTCCTGCCCTCATTAGTCCTGTTGTTGGTCATTGTCGAGTTGAGAGGCAGAGTAGCTAGGTCAAGACGACCGGCACCTTACTATCATCCTGTCAAGGAGCTTGAGCTTGCTTAACTGATGGTGCCCAATTGATGTCAGTCTCATCACACTTGAAGGTCAAGGAGTACGTCGCATACTGGCGTATCGATCATAAGACCCGTCTAAGAGGGCGGGTCAAATGGGCCCCAAAGGTTGCCAGCCTCGTCGACGCCAACACCCGCCGTCAACCATGGCACATGGGAGAGATTGTTGGCCGGTGGTGGGGTCCACGGAATGGTTTGTTCGCCGTGGACCAGACGTTCACGAACCGTCCGTTCTACCACGGCCGGGATGATCCGGGTCACACTCTCTGACTTCGTTTTTTCGTTTGAGACCAAGTTCGACCGCTATCCCCGTCAGCTCTCGCAGGGGGTGTCCCGGCAATGTCACTTTCGATGAGAGGAAGAATTCGTGCCATGGCGTAATGGCCGAAGAAAACCGCGAAGGGCCACCCTGCGCGAAGTCACGAAGGAAAGTCACGAAGGAACTCTGGCAACATGACCTTGGCACGGTTATTCAAGGCCAAGTCGGGGAGGGCTACGGATTCGACTTTGAGGAAAGGGAGATCATCCGGTGATTGCGTGGGTCGTCTCTAATTGACACCGCAGCAGATGGTTTCCCATTGTGACGTTCAGTGCTTGCTATATCCTGGTTTGCAGAGTTGACTGATACTGGTCCTTCCCAGCCGCATTTGGAGGTTCACGTAAGGGGCGATGGTAACCACAAACTACTTGGTTTGAACAACGTGAGCGATCAGATCAGGGTTCATTGATCATCGCGTTCACGGGCAAGCAGGCCTTCTAACAATCACCTATACTCCAGCATCCCAGCTTATTGGTCGCTCACTCGCTGCCCACCACATGCAGTGGAGCTCGAGAACGGCTTCAGCGATTCGGAGGACCCGCGCTGAGCCGCGAGGTCCGACTTCCGCGCCGGCGCTGGCATATTCGGGCCCCACGCTGTCGAGGTCAAGGTCCAGATGCTGTGCGCTGAGCAGGTCACCAATTAGTTCCTGGTGGACGCCGATGGGTTTAAAGTGGCCAGAGTCTCGAACCCGGGAATCTGGGAAACCCTGGTGGACTTGTTTGTGTCGGAGATGCGGAGGTGCGGTTTGTTTTGGGAACTGACGATGTGCCTGGTGGTGTGTTCAAAGATATGCTTACTTGGGCCGGAAGGCTTCGGGAGATGATCTGAGACCAATCGAAAGTTTCACTGCTGCGATATCAGCCATGGCAATGATCATTATATGTGGCAAATACGGGGTTCCCGGCTCACATCTTCAGTGCCGCAGTCGATCGAATTTGGTAGCTGAATTGTTCCACGCAAAGGGATCAGCCGCTGTTTGGGTGTTCTGGGGATGTCGGTGTCAGATCCAGTGAATAAAAAGTACTTACGTCAAGCTGTGCTATTAAAAATCGGGGGATACTAAAAAAAACGCAGTTCAGGATTGTTACCATGGTAAGAGCGTACATAGTATGTAGGTGTCCAGGATGGAGTTACGAAACCATACAGGGGGTTAACCACATCGGCATCCTTCGCCTTGAACCTGAATAGATTAAAATAACAAAGCACCACGTATCGATCCTGGCGCACTCATCGCTTCCAAGTCCCGTGGCAAGAGAGTCCTCTCATCCTACGATGACGATAATATAGACAAAAATAGGGCTGGCTTTCCATTCCGTCCCGTGTCATCGACAGGTCCACCACTTCAGCAGTCACAACTCATAAGGATTATAAGTGACCCCCGTCTCGCACTCCGGCGCTTTGTAAAAGCAATTCCCTTCGGATCTCAACTTCTTCAGGTTCCTCGAACGTTTACGTTTATGCATTGTCCAAAATGCGCGTCATCTACCTGCTGGCATCGTTGATCCCAGTCCTCGCCCATGCGGAGGATTCGATGGGCGACCCATATCCTACCCTGACTGCTGGTCCGAAGACAACGAACCCTCGGCCAATGACTGCCAGGAAGCCATCAATTCCCTGTTGGGGTTTGGCGGTGGAAGCGACAGTACCGCGAAAGTGGTACAGACAGAAAAAGGCGACAGTGGAATAACGCGTATGGTTACCCCAACAGAGCCCGCGAGAAGCCAATCGCACAATACTGACGTTTAGAACAGTCAGTGTCGCGGGAGACTGCGCCGTGACTCTCTACAATGCCATCTTGGGCTCCGAGACCACCGGCAAGATCTCGCGCGGCTCCGCCGGGGTGATGGCCCAGACCGTGCTATCCATCTGCTCACCAGGCGGAAACCGGATCTTCCGGTCGATGAGCTGCGACGAGGGCGAGAACGGAATCGTGCTAGTCGAATTATCTCGAAAAGAAAAAGGATCCTTGTTTTCCAAGCGCAGACCCCACGGCCGCCGCCATAATCCTGAGAGTCGCGGTGGCGAGGGACCACGTCATGGAGTAGAGCGCGGCACTGCAAGGCATGACCGGGGAGGAATACCAGGTCACGACGAGGAAAGATTCCCGTATCTCTCAAAGCCGTTTGAGGAAGTACCACTGGATCACGATACCTGTGATCGTATGGGAGACCTAATGGAGCAGACGCTGCTGGATGGGTCCAACTCCCATAAGCAGTGGTTTCATACGCACTCTACTCTCCCCAACACCGGTGGTTGGATGTATGTTTTTGAGTACAGTGCTATACCCGGCCGCACCCTCAAAGACATACGTGCCCTGAGGTCGATCAGGGTCGTGACCTACGTGCGTGACATCATTCAGTCTTTCAAAAACGACCCTCTTGGTGTACACGGCACTGGGGTTGCGCACGAAGGACAGAGATTGGGCTTGTTTGTTTTCTGGGCCATCCCGCCCGGTCGACCGCGCCAACAGGGCGCATCCAGCACCAATCCGTCTACAGATCACACTAAGTCGATTTTCAATGAGATGTGGGCTGGTTCACGGGGACCATACGAATCGCAGTATGTACAGGCCACGCCAGAATGGTCCGTTGGAAGCAGTGGTGAAAGAAGGTTAGTTTATGAGTTTCGGCCGAAGCCCAGGCCGAAACCCAGGCCGGAAGGGGGGCGGGAAAACATGCCTTCGCTCAGGGAGCAACACGGACCAGAGGTACAGTTTGGCTGAAGTCCGGTGGGCAAAAAAAACCGAAGTGATTAAATGAACGACAGGCCCTATTGTAAAGTAACCCAAAAGAACCCCTTCCATGCCCGAGTTAGGTACATATGGCCTCGAAGCCTAAGTACGGGGTCGTCCCCAAGCCAGGTTCGCATAGATAAGAGGCTCAACGCCACTACTCGTACGAGTCCACCGGTAAATCAGTCATGATACGAATCCTCCCCAAATAATAGTGCAATATACTTTACCTTTACAACATGTCCCCTCGCTGTAGGCTCATGCCCGAGTTTAGTGGGACTTGGCTTCGTCCTTGAGTCTATCCTCGTCCTTTTCAAACTGGTCTTTCCCCACCTCATCTTCCGCATCGTCCTTCTTCGACTTCCAGTCGGACTGCAATAGTGTATGTTAGCAATTGCCTGTGCGGTAGAGAAAGAGACGGGATTCCTGATACGTTTGAAGGGGGCATGGTATGTGTAAGGGCGCTACTTACCCAGTTGACAGCCGACCCGAGCGGCTTGTCGCCCTTCTTCCAGATCGGTTTGGGCTGCTTGTCCATCTCATCGTCATTGTATCGCAGGATCTCCTCCACGTTGGTACCCTCTTTGGTCAATTCGTACGCCTTGAACGTGGCCCAGTAGCTGCCGTCCACGAGGTCGTCCCTGTCCTTCAAGGTCAGGAAGCGGATTATGCCGCCGGCCTCGGCAGCGCGCTGGGCACCGCGCCAGCTGGTAGCAGATTAGAGTCAGTAATTAATCCTTTTCAACGAGAAACAAAGAATCGGAATGCGTGTCTCGGGAGCCAGGGCTCTTGACACAGGCTGGAAGAGAAATTTCGCCCCTGAGACACGGCCAGAAGGGGCATTAAGAGACTCGAAATGTACATACGAGAACATGGCGATCGGCATCGCGCCGACCTTCTCGAGCGCGTCGTCGTCGTAGTCAACGTCATCTAACCAGTCTGTCTGGGCCTTCTGGATGCCCTTGTCCCCATCGGCATCCGGGTACACGGTGCCGGGGATGGTGATCTCCTTGGGGTACTGAGGTGTGATGCCCTCGTGGTGCTTCTTGTCTTTGTTGAACTCATCCACGAATTTGCCGATCGACTGATGCGTTTTATCTCCTGAGAAGAACGCCCAGTAGTTGTCCTAGTAGCAGAACGACTTTGTCAGACAGATCTCCATTATTCCATATGTGCACAGATGCTGATGGAGACATACCAATCCCTTGCTATCGCCGACCTTGTCCTTCCCGTAATTGAGGAACGCGTCGTAGAACTTCTCTCGTTGGAGCCTTGCTTCAGGCCGTAGCCCTCCAAGGCACCCTCGTCGGTGACGAGGTTTGGGAGTTCACGAGCCTGGATGCGGCTTGATCTCGCCTCCTGGCGGCGGCTGGAAATGGGCGTGGCTCTGGCGGCGACTGGGCTCGCAATGGCCAGCAACGACTAGGCGATGATGTCTTTCAGCTGCATGTTGAAACGAGGTTTCTGATGTTTGAGTACGGAAGATGGTAGGAGATGTGTAAGTTATTGGTCTTGGATCGAAAATACTTGTAGATTGTGATGCTGTTAAGCTCTTGTTGAGTGTCGAGGGAAGAGCCGTTATGGCAGAAACTCGCGTGGTACTTATACAACTCTTGACGTCGTCGTGACTGAAGCAGTGGACAGCGACATCAACCTGTGCTTGCTGTATGTCAACGAAGTGAGGATGACACTCAACGTAGGCCAAGCCCTGAATGGATCGATACTGTCATCAACTTGAATCCCTTCAAGGCAAAATCTGCTGCATCGATTTGGTGATCGTGAAATCGTCGTCAGCCTCATCACGCCGTGCTTTGTACATGCTGAGGCGCTTCGCGGCCCTGTGCTGCCGGCCCCTCCATCACATCGCTAATAATAGCACAGGACCAAGCAGTTCCACATGGAGCGAGGCCATTGGGATGGCAATGTTTTGTCGAAATGAAGTGGCTACCAGGTTGGATATGACCGTGATTACATGCTGGTGTCAGCATTCGCCATGATGCTATCGTGCCCACAATCCTCCATTTCAGAAAACGTCATGTTTCCAAAGAAAGAATATTGGCAGCGTTTCAGAGAATTTCGTTCTCGTTGAGAGACTGATCCAGGTGTATCTGGTTAATAATATCTGTCAGCGCTATCCGCGGTGCGGTATGCATCGGGTTAGCCTCGCAGACGTGGTGGTCAGCTTTTGCGAGTCTAGAGGCTGTTGCGGTATAGGAAGTACCTTGGCTCAAGGGCTGATGCTGACTGTAGATGCAAAGCCTTGCGGGTCCGTCAGTGTATCTCGCACATGCACCCCGTATTACTTCGCCTTGTGTGGTATGAAAAGCGCTACTATATAAAGCCATGTAAGTGGTAGCTATACGAAGGCCTTCTCAAGGGGCTGACTCATCTAAAAAGCCCCTTTTAGGTAAATATTAGCAACAGGAGTCACAATTACGAGGCTTTATCAAAGCTTGTAATACAGGCCTTTCCTACTATTAATTGTCTTTAAAGGTTTACGGTAAGAGGCAGGCACACCGGTCAAGTTACATGTACGTCATCGGCCACGTACCTGGGATGGAGATTGGTATATCGCTAGATTAGAATCTCCTCACCCCAAGACACTCCAAGCGTACACTACCAACTACCGGTATATGCCCAACGCCAGCCCTCCTCATTGCATACACCCCCAATATGGCCGGAACTATCGTGTCTGATCTCGAAGAAATTACCTTCAAGGCGCCTCTCCCAGGCCACTTCGTCGGCCAATTCCTCCCCGCCAGCAACACAATTGCAGAGTCACCCACCAGAACCCCCATCACCACCTCGCCGTCAACGCCCGCCAGCCGAATCGAGTCCTTACCGTATGAGATTAAGCTGCAAATAGTGTCGCTACTTGATGTCTGCGTCGTCAACGACTTGCGGCTCGTTTGCTCGTCTCTCCGAGAGCTCGTAGACGCGCACCTCGACTTCCAGCTTGTCCAGGCCCTGCCCAAGCTCATGCGTGCGGTTTGCCATTTGGGATGTCGCTACTACACCCTAGCAACCCTAGCGGCCGCCGTTCGCGACAATCGCTGCAGTTGCTGCCAGAACTACGGGGATTACCTGTATCTCCTGACGGCTGAACGCCTCTGCTACCACTGCTTCCGCGAGCAGCCTGACTACGTACCCAAAGCTATCAAGGCGCCATCACCGTCGCTGCTCGCTGCACTCGAGTCAAAGGCGCCTCTTGCTACGGTTCCTCCAGGCGCCTACGGTTTATTTGGCAAAGCCCGCCTAGAACGGCCCCAGTTGGTCATAGATAGATGGGCTCTCGCACATCTCAGCGCACAAGAGCGGCAACAGCTAGGGGGTGACAACGACTCCCTCGGTGACTCGGAACCGGAAACGGAAAGACAGGGCTATCTGAGCCAGACAAGCCTCAACCACTCATCTCCGTGGGCAACAGCCCTGCTCCCAGCAAGGTATACCGTCGTACTGCCGGCGCCGTACTGGGAGCAGGAAACGCAGACGTTCCACGCGGGGGTATTTTGCCGCGCTTGCGCGATGAGCGCCGAGACGCAGAGTCACCCGCCACGCTGCCTGCCCAGATCTCTGTTCTGGGATTACCCGTACCGACGGTACACTGAGAAGGAGGGGATGCGGAGACACATGGAGGAGTGTGGTCCGGTGCGGAAGGTTGTCACCGCTGATGGTACTGGCGCCAAGTATGTCCATGACTCGGCTCCGGGTAAGGCATTCGTCAGGCCGGATGAGTTGTGTCGTTCTGCTGCTCCTTCAAATGGATTTCGAGACAATTGAGGCTCGATTCTTGTCAAGCCTGGGCAGCTGACCTGGGAGAAGACATTAACAGGGGGGAGGACGACAAGTATTTTTGGTCGCCAACACGTGGTCCTTTGAAGGGGCAGCAATAGGCTACTAGTAGGGCTCATAGTCAGACCGATTCCGTTCATTTGTCATGTCAATCCAAGGGTAGAGGTACACTCCCCGGCCAGAAGTCTCCGAGCCCACTTTTTAAGCAGACCTCAACGCCTACACCCTCCAACTTTCAGCATTCACAACGCACCCATTTCTCACTGTAATGATATGGAAAAAATTGTATTGTGTAGGTCATTTAATAGTGTGTGTATCAGCTACCTACTCTTTTTACTGCGGCGATTCGGTTGCTGAGCGATTCGATGAGAACGCGTACGTCCTCAGGATCGATCTCTGACCACGCCCTTTTAATTAACTCTCTGGCATATGCCTTATGGGTAATATTAGCCTTCAAATTAGCGAAACCAGGCTCGATTCTCTATATCTGCTTCTTCAGAAGTGCCTAAATGTGCTCGATCGGGCTCAAATCATTGATTGTATTTATCGTAGGTGCAGTCCCTCCATAGGGCAAACCACGCCTCCCAGAACCATTGCATCGTAAGGTTGTAGAGGTGTCAGTCTAGATACATTCAGATCCGCGCACGAGCCTATCCTCGCTGTAGCGGTACCAACCTGGAGTGACCAGATGGTTTTAGTCAATACCCAAGCACGATTCCGTCAGAAAAACCTCCTATCCAGTGACAAAGCGACCCAGTGAACCTCAGTCCTCTGGCGTACATATCGTTCCAGTAGCCGTTCGATATATGTCGCATTGGTGGGTGAAATAAGTATTTGTTATCTGCTGGCAAGAGAAACCACAAGGGGAAAAACCTCACAGGAGTGGGTATTGTGGAGACAAGCTGTTTGGTTATCGGGCTCTGCGATAAGGGGCCTCTCTACTGTCGTGTGCTGGTTGTCGACTCGCACAAGCCGGGTCAGAAGGGGGCCATAGCAGGATTCGAACCCACTTGTTCTCGTCGCCCACCGCACAAACGAGAACACAACCAGGCGCATTTGACCATTGCGCCATACGGCCGGGGTTCAAATCAGGGCTGTGAATAGGCCAGTCGATCGACCAGATGCCGTGCTCCTCTAGCCACTCTGGAGTGCCTCCAAATCGATGGATGTGAGCATTATATTGCATAAAAGGATCCCCAACCTCGTAGAACAGAAGGAGCCCTTCCTCGAGGACATCTTGGTATGAAGCTGAAGATACTCCTCTGCGAGGAGCATCCTTATCGGCTCGCAAAAAATGATTTTGCCTAGGCCACCTTCTCTGCCGCGTAACCAAATTAAAGCCCAATACATAATGGAGATACAGGGTCTCTCATGGCTCTGAGGGTTCATAAGATCCTGCCTGTAACGTTCAGAAGAGAGGTGGATCACCCAATCGCCCGGATTATCGGGTGAATTCTGGACCATGACTTTGTCTGAGAAGAGCGTTCGCATCAGCTCCTCCAGAGCCTCCGGAGAGTCGTATTTATTACAAAAAGCGAGCCTCTCTCGTGCGTCATCTTCCATAAGCTCGATCTGCTTCACTGCCTTCTATTTGTGAAGCCCATAAGCACGAAGAACGCGCTTAATAATGGTATAGGAATAGAGGACCCTGCTCTCTTTCTTGAGCTTTTTGTAGATAATCTTAGGGTACTTTTGTGCCATTTTAACTAGCTGAGTTTCTTTACGCTTGTTTAGAGTCTTTGTGGCTCCCTCTCGAGGTCGAGAGACCGTGGTATTATGCTCTCTAGTAGTGTTGATAATGTCGGTCACGATTTGAGGCTGATCCAGATGGAACGTGCTCGCGACATTGTCGCGCCTTGCGCCTGCCGCCCTGCCAGCCATAATAGCTGTACGAGCTTCGGAAGTAAATTCCTGGTTTGGCCCGCGATTTGAGGTCAGAATTCTACTAACTTTTTTAAAATCAATCGTTTTGGTATTGAGTAAATAAAATATGAAAAAGGAAGGGGGTCGCGAGCGCGTAGACACGTTCTGAAACTAGCGTGATGGATGCTCGGAGACTTTTGGAGGGTCAGTGTAGCTGTGAGATTTCAAGCCGTTCTGGTATTGAAAGGAAAAGAGAAGAAGATCTCTGGGGGAGAAGCCCCCATATATATGTACAGGTGTGCCATCAGAGTGACCAGATCATCATACGATAATGGTGCCAGAATCCTGGTGGCCTGAGGGTCGGCTGACTGCCCTCAAACCAAACCCATTAGCGCATTCAGCCCCGAAGGCCTCGTCTGGACCTGCTATGATATCCAACAGTAGCAACGGCCGTATGGCGCAATGGTCAAATGCGCCTGGTTGTGTTCTCGTTTGTGCGGTGGGCGACGAGAACAAGTGGGTTCGAATCTTGCTATGGCCCCCTTCTGACCCGGCTTGTGCGAGTCGACAACCAGCATACGACAGTGGAGAGGCCCCTTATTACAGAGCCCGATAGCCAAGCAGCTTGTCTCCATAATACCTACTCCTGCGAGGTTTTCCCCCTTGTGGTTTCCCTCGCCAGCAGATAACAAACACCTATTTCACCCACCAATGTGACATGTATCGAACGGCTATTGGAACGATATGTACACCAGAGAACTGAGGTTCACTGGGTTGCTTTGTCACTAGATAGGAGGTTTTTCTGACGGAATCGTGCTTGGGTATTGACTAAAACTATCTGAACACTCCAGATTGGTACCGCTACAGCGAGGATAGGCTTGTGCGCGGATCTGAATGTATCTAATTTGACACCTCTACAACCTTACGATGCAATGGCTCTGGGAGGCGTGGTTTGCACTACTGAGGAGCTACCCCCCACGTTAAATACAAAACAAACAAACAAACAACAACAGTAGCTACATAGAAGCATGACCGCTTAGTTACCTGAATCCTAGGTGTAACCAGTCGGTCGATTAAAGTCATGTTTTTGAGAGAGGCAAGCTCATCAGCGCCAGGACTGGAAGCTGTACGTCTGCGATAGAAAAGGCATCTCCATCAAGTACCTGCACGCCGACCAGCTTGACCGGACGAACAAGAACTCCAAAGCATCCAAGCCAGCCCTACGGTCCACAAAGGCAAACTTACAAGCTCACGATGCCCTGCCCACTCACGCATATGTCGCGAACATCTTTACGCTCTTCCCGACCCTCTCGTACACGACTGATGTCTTGCCCTGCAGTCCACGCCAAGAGTTCTGCCCCGCACCACGCTGATACAGCACAAAGTCTGAGGAGTTCTTCGCGGTATCATACTCCAGATGACAGTACGGCGCGAAATCCGGCCCCGTAATCGCCAGACCGAGCAAATCGCCCTTGCCGACCGTAGCATTCGATGTGATAGGCACACTGGTGGTGTTAAAGACGAAGCTGAGAGTGCTGCCGGTGTAGGAAACGTTGCCCATCGCGGTGTACTTGTACTCAGGAGCGATCAAGTCGGCGTAGCTGTCGAATTTGAAGACTGTGAGGGTAAGGGGCACGGCTTGGATGCCGGCGCCGGCAATGTTCACAGAGACATTGGTGAGGGTGCCGGATTGGCTGGCGGTCCAGGTCTGGAAGAGGTCGAAGGAGTCTGAGTCGCAGACGGGTGTGTACTGCATTACGAAACCTGTCAGCGAGAGAAAACTTCACGTCGTGGGCCTTTGGACGGGTGTCTTACAGCTGCGTCCAACGGCGTCTTATCCCCAGCCATTGTAGCAGCGCCCGTAGCTACCTCCTGCGTCCCCTCCTGGAAGTTGACCTCGAACTTCGCAGTCGCCGCGCAATCCAAATCCTCCACCGAGCCATCCGAGTTAAACGTCAGGGGCTGGAAGATATGTCCACCGAATCCCACCCTCGGTCCACCGGGAACTGATGTGGAATGCCACACCTCCGTCACCTCACCCGACGTCGGGTCCGTCAACGGCAGCACGCCCTCCAATTGCCCGTTGCATGAGTATCCCGCAATGATCTGGCGCTCCCACGGGCCCTGGATGCTCGAAGAGCGGTACACGAGACCTACAGTGCCGTTGCAGTATCCGCAGGTATTGCCCGCACCAACGTAGACCATGCCGTCACGCATGAAGATGTCCTGGCTCTCCGGTTCCTGATCAATGAGATCCGTGGCATTTGAACTAATGGGGTAGCTGACTTGCGTTGTGTTCGTGAAGTCGGCCGTCAACTCGCTGATATGCATCGTCTGGAAAATCGGCGGCCAGATGCTCCCTGCCCTTGGATCCACGAAGTTGAGAGCGGAGAAGACGATATAGGCTTGATCGCCAAAAGACTCTACGGCGAAGTCGGCGGGCTGCAGGCCGGTGAACTGCGGGTCTATGGCCGCCGTGTCCGGGAGGAAGGTGAAGGGGCCTGCCGGTTGGGAGGAGGTGGCGACTTGGTAGCCATTGCTGCCGGCGTTGGCCCAAAGCACATAGGTCTGGGTAGCGTTGTTGTAGACGATGTGCGGCCTTCCGCAGGCGCCGGGCTGGTTGCAAGGACTATTAGAGCTGTAGGGATCGAACAGGAAGCCTTCGTACTTCCTGTGAAGGGCTTAGCAGGTGGTGAGAAGATGCAAGGCTCTTGGGCTCGCGTACCAATGCTCCAGGTCAACAGAGGAGTATGATTTGATGCCGAATGCTACGCCAGTGGTCGAGAACGAGTTCCCGTAGAAGTAGTAAGAGCCATTGAAGTCTAGGCTATGTCAGCTAACAGATACAGCCCTTGAGCTTTCAGAAATTCAGAGCTTACAGTTGATCTTGGCTCCATAGAGATCAAGCTGGTTCCCATCCACATCGAACAAGAGCCTCCCCGTATTCGTGAACGTCTGCGACGCAGCATTCGCCGCAGCCGCCAAAGCAAGCGACAGCAGTACCGTGAGCTTCATACTTCCGTCTGTAAGTCTGCAACAATTAGGTAGCACTGCAGAATGAGAGCGCAACACAAGAAGATGCCGACCACGCAGAGAAGCAACCAGGACGCAAGTACAGAGACAAAGGAAAAGCCTTCACGCTACCGGACGCTAATACCTATATTTATACATCTTTCCCGAACAGTCGTGTCAACGATCCGCATCTAAAAGAATGCGAGGTATTAGTCCAAGCCCCAGGTCGCCAGACTAGTTTCGAAGCGGAGAGCGGCACGCAGACCTATGTCAACAGCTCGATCTGGTATGGTTTGCGCAAGTGGACATGCTTGGCAACGTAGCTCGACGCAGGTCCCAGGTTGGAGAATGCGGGGGATCTCAATATAGGGCGTTCATATAGACCGGGAGTCATGTGATGTAATGTATGTTGGAGATGTTGGAGACGGTGCCGGCAGTGCGAGCGGCAGTGATGCATTCGGTATCTGCAGGGCCCTGACTCGGGCACCAAAAGGTCTCATCCTCCTGAGAGCGTAAGGGCGAACCAAGACTATAAGTTGCGGGACACTGGTCGTCCAAATCGACCTATCTTTCGTGCGGCGTCACGGGGAATCATGCTTCTCCAGTGCTCCAAGCGATCCAGGAACTCATCTACCATGCTATCGGGAATGTCCGAGTCTTGGTCGACCCGGCATATATTCAGCTGAACAGTTATCAGACTCGATTCGGCGAATTCTGAGGACCTGTATATGCAAAGACATGGAAGTGCTGGCCTCAGGGGCTGAGTTGTACCCGCGAAGCTCGGGCATGACAGCCAACTCTTTTGCTGTCGCTGCTTCATCGATGTCTCTGCCGGTGCTGGCGAATGGCCGACCCAGCGGTATCGATACCTGCCGGTCGAAAGCATGTGTTTCCCAGAATAGACGCTTGCGTATCTCACTATCCATGTTTTGGTGCTTTATGATGCTGATCTTGCGGTGAAGTCCGAAGGCGATAGCAACCATTATCGCGAGTCGGCCATACGTCCAGGAACCAGGTCCAACCGGGTTTCGGAGGCAATACATTGCCATGAGCATCAGTGCAGACACGGATCGCTGATCGTCGTAGTCGAGGATTGTGTCCAGATGCCTCACTGCGGCAGCATAGTGTCTCTTGCCGTATAATGCACCAGACTCTGCGGCAGTCTCGAGGCAACGACCGCCACATGCATGGACAAGGTGGGTAAATGTGCACTCGTGGATATTCTTGGGAAATTTTGCCGCGCATAGATTCTTTGAGGACAGACAGAGTACAAGACTGGAAAGCGTGTGCCGGTATGCTTGAAGTACCCCTTGATGAGTCAATCACCCACGCCAATCGCTACTTCCATAACCTCGATGAGTTCGGCATAATTCTCGACGTCAGGGTGGTCTCTCGGTCGCATAGTCACGGAGCCCAGACGAACTTGAGGAGATGGGCTTCCTGATGTTCGTCGATGTCTTCCCAGGAAACTGAACAGTTTCCCCATGATGACGTGGCCCATGTAGCCCTCTCGGTTGGCATCTTAAGAGAAGCTGCGGAGCACAGAGACAAGATTGTCTATCCCTTCCTGCCAGTCGAAGGACTGGAATCATCCGTATGTGAACTGATCTGATGTCCTTGAGGTCAGCTATTTCCTTTTCAACGCTCGATGAGGTTATATTGCTGGCGACACGAGTTTGTCTTGGCTTAGTTCCGGCATGCTTTGCGTCGCCAAACCGGTCTCCGACTCAGCGACGCGCGTCTCGATGATGTACTTCTTCTTGTCAAAGGGCATAGGCTTCTGAGGGATGACATGCTCACAAAAAACGGCGAGAGAGGAGTAACTCGAGCACGCATTGGAACCGTTACACTGGGAGGCAAGTCAGTAAAGTATTTATATTCTAGCTTTTTATCTACATACTCGATTTCTGCTTTCTGGTCTTGCACCGCTGGCATGCTCTTTGCTCGGCAACAGTCAGCATGAATGGGTAGAGCTGATGCCAGGGAAGAGATGCATGACATGGCGCGGGCCTCTGGAGGGGGCGGGAGGGGACGGGTGAACTGGAGACGCAAGGCATGGACGTATTAAATGTTTGTGCAAGTACATGCGGCTCGTATACACGTCGTACAAAACGAAAGCAAATTAGAGGGTTGAGAGTAGTAGCATTGGCGGCCAGAACTCACTTGCCTTTGCCTTGGCCCTTGGTAGCACAGATTGTGCTCCAATATTGCAACGTCGGTGAGTGCTTCAAGCGTCCAGCACCAGGTTGCAACAAGGCTTTCAAACTTCTCCAAACGCACCTGTACCTGTCGTATGCATGAAACATCGGTTCGGCCGTCCCGTCATCCTCCTCACGTCATACATCACCTGTCACACCAGCGGCCCAGCAAGGCTACGTATATTTGCTAGACACCATCTCAACATTGAATATAGTATCGTAGCACCGACTCAGCATTGTCGTTGCTACCGTCATCTCTATGCTATGCTGCCATTGGCCTAAGCCACGATCCTAGGATAGCTGGAATGTGACACTGTCTTTGCAAGATAGCTTTGAAGCCATTGCAACAAAACACCAACCACATCCGAGACGCGTCGCATTGGTGAAGTTGTCCACTCGGAAGCTCCCAACCGATAGACACATCGAGATTGCGATGTTTCCTCTCGCCGGCAGGTGGGTTGAGACGTAGATATAAATTATGGTCTTTATGATCCCTGAGCATCACTGACGGGAGTGAGTCAATTTACTAGCAGCATCACGGCTTTCTTGGTCAATTGCAGCGGCTCTTTCAGGTTTCCACACCGCTTCTTCATCGCCCATCACGATGCATTTTCTATGCTTGCACGGAATGGGAACGAATAGCAAGGTGATTCTCTCCTCTCGTCCCCAATCCCGAAACCCGCGGCACCAGACTATCGCTGCAGAATTCTCAACCTGACCGCTGAGAAGATATTCGAGATGCAAACAGGTAGGCATCCACACTCTTTTCAGACCCTTCAATGCAACCGTAACCCGCCTTTACGGGTCATGTTGAACAAGGCTGATCTCCGGGCTCCCCAAGCCGCTATTCGCTACGGTCTGGGTGGTCAGCATACGTATGAGTTCGTTGATGGCCCTTTGCCAGCGCCGATGGCTCCCGGTGAGTAAGCAACATTGATCCCCACACCCACCGCCTTTGTGCCTACAGCCTACATACAGGCTACACCGAACGAAGCGGCCCCCACCCCCACACGCCAACATTGGTCGTGCAGTGCTTATGGGGTGGCATTTCAGGTATTGAATCAATTGCCGACCTGAATGAGGAGTTCTTCCAATACACCCACAAGGGTCCCTTGACTTGCGCGTCAAGACTCTGCACGATCTCGAGCGTCTTGTGGATGAGGAAGGGCCGTTTGATGGTGTGATGGCCTTCTCACAGGGCGCAGGCTTAGCAGCCTCGCTATAGTGCATAGGCTGCAGAAAACAACCTGCCCCCGCAGTGAGGGCAGTGAGGGGCAACGACCCCCGGGCGTTTTTCGCTGCGCCGTATTCTTCTGCGGCAGCGTACCCGAAGATCCTTCGGCTGCCGAGATGGGCAGGCAGCGGGAGTTGGGTTTCGAGGCTGATGGCGAGCCAATCGGGATTCCCACTGCTCACATCTGGGGCGCCAACGACAACCTGTACCCCACTTTCGGACCAGGGCTGAGCAAGCTCTGCCGCTCGGATCTGAGAGACGTTTTCATCCACGATGGGGGCCACGAGATACCGGGGCCCAAAGACCAGCAGGCTGTCTTGGAAGCCGTCCAGATTATCAACAGAGCCATTGAAAGGGCTACTGCACTTCAGTACATGTAGCATTGAGAGCAGGATTTGATGGCAGGGTACTTGTATACCAAGACAAAACCAGACACCATAACATCAATACAACCTCCTGCTTGGTCAATTCGAGTTTCACAGATTACCTAAGGGAAGCTTGTACCTAATCTAATGATTTTGCCGATTGCGCAACTGCCAACCAATTACTAGCCCCACATCACCCCATATCACCCTACCAGTGCCTGCAGGTGTTAGATTCAAGCGAGTTCAGATTATTTAGGTTGTCAAGTGTGTTTGTTCTGTTCTTCTTCTTGTTCTGCTCTGCTTCTTCAGCCTACAGAGATTGATCACCTGTCTTCTTGTTGGGTCAGATGCCCTGTGCGTCTCTGCCCCACTGGAGGTCTTCCGGTGTCTATTTCCGGCTCCCATTCAACAGCAGGTGGCCCTGAAAACTTGGAAAGGGGCAGAGGGGAAACGCCACCTGCTGCCATTGCTGCCACCTGCAAGCAGCCAAGTCGGCCCCAACGTCGCAGCGCCTCGTTCAGATCCTGATCTGGTCCCTCTGCCACATCAAAATCGAAGCAGGCAGCTGTCCAGCCGCCAGTCCACTCAATATCTTCATCTGCCGCGTGTAGCCTGCTGCGAACGTGACTCGAATAGCTTCTTGAACATCTGCGGGGAAGGTAGCAGTCATGCCGGGAGATTGTAACACCATGGTAAGCTCTTGCGGGGATAACAACTCTCCCAGTTGCTGCCGAACTAAGCCGTAGAAAGCTGCAGTGACTATCGAAAGTCCAATCACGCCACCCATAACTCGAAACTGTGAGACGGTTCCCATGGCGACGGCTATACCCATGTCAGTTGTGTCTTGGGTGATGGGATCAAGGACAATACCTTTGTCTCTTTCCTGCACGCAAAATGGCGTGAGCAGCAAGGTCAGTGTAATGTTCGCGCCGCTACCAAAGCCTGCGAGAACTTGATAGCCATATTGAGCGGCGACGACCGTCTTCGAGCTGGCCAATGTTGAAAGAAGCGCAAAACCGATGACCTGAAATACAGCAGCAATCATAATGGATAGATCGGCGGCACTTTGGCGACCTTGGCTATTGCAGGGCTAATGGGTGAACCAAATGGAGCTGCCAACGTGAAGGGAAGGAATCTGATGCCTGCTTGGATGGGTGGGAGGCCGTTGACTACCTGGAACCGCTGCGGGAGCTGGAACGTCGTGCAAAAGAAAGCGGCTCCGATGAAACTCGTATTCCTACGAGATGTGAGCATCATTCACGCAGGAATCGAGAATGAGAATAGCGTACAGTAGCAAGCCAATGTACACTCGGTTCTGAGCAAATCGCCAAGGAAACACCGGCTCCTGCAGCGTCGACCCTAGGGTGACGCTCCGCTCCCAGATCAGAAACGCGATCCAGCCCAGGCCTGAGATAGTGCACAGAGCTATGACGAACCCCGATTTCCAGGGATATCGGAGTCCCCCTTCTTGTAGCGCGGCTACAAGCAGCACGGTGGATATCAGCAGCAGTATCGTACCCGTGATATCAATGCGCTGAGCAGCTTGTTTCGAGAAGAATGGCACAGCGTTGGGTCGTTCGCTACGAGGCCTCCCATGGAACGGAAACCCGTCGGGTATACTGAAGAAGATAATGACCGCCGATACGAACGCCACGGGCACACTGCGGCAAGGACCAGCTTATCAGCCATAGGCTCGAGTATAGTCGACTGGAAGTAGTCACTCACTTGATCAGGAATACCCATCTCCAGGTGGTGTATTGACTGATTGCCCCCCCTAGGATTGGTCCAAGTGCTAGGGATAAGGAGTAGATCGCCGCGGTAGAGCTTGTATACAAGGCGTACTTGTGGGATGGAACAAGCTCAATGAAGATCACGGAACACAGCGCAAAATTGCCCGCGCCGCCAATACCTTGGAACGAACGAAAGACTATCCTATAAACTCCAATGTTTAGCTCGGGAGCAATATTCAAGAACGAGTAGAATTACTGACAGCTGTTCGACAGACTGAGCTGCTCCGCAGGCGGCAGAGAAGATGGTAAAAATGAGCACAACAACCAGCAAGATGAACTTCCTCCCAAAAACATCGCTGAGTTTGGAGAATATGACAAGTACGCCCGTTGAGGAGGAGAGGGTTCAGCGTCCTGATGCGTTCAATGGCCCGGATTAGCTTACCAGTGTATCCAAGCATATATGCCGATATGCCCCAACTAGCCTTGTCGAAGCCCCCGAGCTCGCCTGTGATGCCCACCAAAGCCGTCGTCACGATAGGAATCTCGATATTGGTGATGAGTGGACATGTACAGAGACTGTGAATTGATTAGTCAGATGCGACGGAAACTGAAGTATGGGGGGCGGTCACGCGACTGTGATCAGATAGAGCTTTGCGCCCTGGAGATACGACTGCGTTTCCTCGTATTCGGTGCTCGTAGCGCCCACATCCTGTCGGAGGGCAGGTAACGGTTGACTCGCTGCTTCCACCTTGCTGGAAGAGACAGCTGACTCGCTGTGGGCTTTCGACATTGTAGTGCAGATGGCGAAGGTGCGATCAGACTTCTGGTTCAATATTCTGGCTTCTGGCGCTTTTGAACGATACAAAGCTCGACGGTCACTTTTAGACGATATTCCGAGGACTGCTGGGACGTGGAATCTGTTCTTCGTTTGCCAAAAGTGCCATACATGGATGCTGGCCGCGACTTTAATGCAGTTGGCTACGGGGAACATAGCCATAAAGTGGGGATGGCGTTCGTCTTCACAGGGCAAGGTGCCCAATACCGACACATGGCCATGGAACTAATGGGTCATGCCGGCTTCGAAGCTTCGATCAAGCTTTTCGATCAAGCAATTGCCGCTTTAGGTGCTACCTGGTCGGTAGCTGACAAGCTCAGTGCGGAAGGATACACCGAAATCGATGACCCTGAATTCAGTCACCCAATGACAACTGCTTTACAGATTGCGCTGTATGAGCTCGTACAAGATACCAACCTTTCCCCGACAGTTGTGGTGGGTCATTCCTCCGGTGAAATAGCCGCGGCATATGCTGCTGGCGCTTTGTCGTTCCACTCCGCTTGCAAGGTGTCATACTTCAGGGGCAAATGCGCGAGTGCTTTGAAGAAGTCGACAAAAACCGCGGGGGCTATGATGTCTGTCGATCTTTCAGAGGATGAAACGCGAGACTTTATCTGCAAGCATCCGCAATACGAGGGCGGAATTCACCTAGGCTGTGTCAACAGTCCATACAACGTCACCCTTTCTGGTGATGAGGGGGAGATCGATTCAATCCAGTCAAGGTTGGACGCCGTTGGCATCCGTACTCGCAAACTCAACACTGGGGTCGCGTACCATTCACAACACATGAATGCTGTATCGACGCAGTACAGAGACAGCATTGGGAACCTTGAACGGGGTGCCAAGCTCGGGAGGCAGCCATACATGGTCTCATCGGTAACTGGAAAGCTTGTGCAGAACCTTGATAAGGTATGCGTGCCGGATTATTGGGTCACCAATATGGTATCACCAGTAGCGTTCTCCAAGGCTATGCTGCACATTTTCCATACGATGTGTAAAAAGCTGCCACGGAAGCTAGGGGGTCTCAAAGTCGATTGCATCCAGGACATAATCGAAATTGGGCCGCATGCTGCATTACGCCGGCCCATAACAGAATGCATCCGACATAGCATGCCCAGTTCTGGTCTACGGTACCACACAGTCTTGGAACGAGGTTCTGACGCAACTCGAACCACCCTCCGACTCTTTGGCGAAGCATTCGCACTTGGATATGATGTAGATGTCCCGACTATCATCAACATGCGTGAACCTCTGGGAAAGCCGCATCTCCCAGTGGAGTTACCCCCGTACCCTTTCAATCATACCAGGCAGTACTGGCACGAGTCTGCAGTCAGTAGACACTCTCGGCTCCGAAAAGCTCCAAAGCATGAGCTCCTGGGCACCCCAGTACCGGACTGGTACCCTTTACAACCAAGATGGCGAAAGTTCTTTGACTTAACTGAAACTCCTTGGGTCGATCACCACACGGTGAACGGGAGGACAATCTATCCTGCAACTGGCATGGTCGCCATGGCCATCGAGGGTTCAACTCAAACCGCTGATCCTCACCGAAGGACATCTCAATATTTAATCCGAGATGCTGTGTTCCCTGCTCCAATCACCGTGGGTGAACAAGGCGTTAGCGAAGTGCAACTCCACATGCGACCGCATCCCCAATCCGACAACAGCTCGAGTTCCTTCGACTACAGTATCATCTCAATCAGTCATGGGCAGTGGATGACCAACTGCCACGGAACGATTGAAGTGAACTACGAAAGAGAAGCATCCCCAGCTGAACACAGCCAAAGTCTTTACTATCGCGAACAGTACCAGGAAGCTTTGCGGGCATGCAATCAGAAGGTCCCGACGCGTGACATGTACGAGAACTTCGAGGCCAACGGGCTCGGCTATGGGGACGCGTTTCTAGTCATTGATGACTTGGCGTGGGACGGGGCACATCGCGCTGTAGGAAAGCTGCACTGCTTCAAATGGGCACCAGAGCACTCACAACACGGCCGACAGCAGCACGTCGCACACCCCACAACCATGGATGGTGCCGGGCAGCTTATCTGGGTTGCCCTTACCAGAGGAGCTCAGGACCTCCTGGCAAAAGGAATTGCTGTCACTCGCATTCGAAGTGCATGGGTGGCAGCCTCGGGGTTTCATACCCAGAGACCACACACCTCCTTGCCGCGTGCACCACAAGCTTGAAAGGACTGCGCGGTACCGACTCAACGATATATGCCCTGGATCCCGGAGGTGACTTGAAGCTGATAATGTCCCACTTGGAGACCACTTCCATCGAGGGAAACGAGGTACAATCCGTTGACAATGCTCCAAGGCAGATATCCTATAGGATGAGCTACCAACCTGATCTCGACCTAATGACTGGACACCAGCAGACTGCTTTAATCGACGTCAGCCTGCAGTGCGACGCCGAACCAGTTGCTTTCTACGCAGACCTCGAGCTGGCTAATCTATACTTCGTGTCAATGGCCCTCAACGCACAGGAGACAGAAAGGACGCCAGCTGCCAACATGAAGCCTCATATCGCAAGGTATGTTAGCTGGCTGCGTCGTCAACTGGATAAGTATCGGACAGGGGAGCTGCGGCATCGTCAGCCGGACTGGGTCGCTCGCATCGAAGACACAAGCGCCATGGAGGAGCTCATCCATCGTATTGATACAACGAATGATGAGGGGCAGTTGTTTGTTCGCATCGGTCGTCATCTCGGTCCAATAATCCAAGGTCAGACCGATCCTCTTGAGCTCATGTTCCGATACGGCCACAGTGAGCGGTTCTATCAGTCGGCCTGTGACAAGATCATGGAACGGATTCAACTTGAAAAATAGTTGGATGCGTTTTCTCACAAGCGACCGCATCTGAAGATCCTTGAAGTGGGAGCCGGGACAGGCTCCTTCACGAAACATGTCCTCGGCGCGCTGCACTCAAGACCTGAGAGTCTAGGTCATTATGACTACACTGTGACGAGCCGTCTAACCTATAAGGCTAAAGGGTTCTATAGGGTTTATGTTCTGAGGTAAGTCAACACAAAAGACGATAGAGGCTTCTGTCAACTAGAAGACACTCAGATGCTGGGGCTTGGTCTGAACTGGGTTCACTGAATAGTCGAGTCGTCAGGAGATTTCTCCCACCTTAGGGTTGGCTAAGATGCTTATATTGATCACTGAGGTAGAGACTGTCTATCTGTCTAGCTAGGAAATGTCCATCCTTATATATCCAATCTCTCCCTCACTGATGGGGTGGATATGTTGGATAACCTTGTTATCCAAGCTATCCTGGATATGTTGGATAACCTCGCTATCCAAGCTATCCATCACGTGATGTCTTGATCACGTGACCTAGACGTTTCCTTGGCCTGTGCGTTCTCCCGGGTTCTTCCAGTTACTGTCCATCTTGTTGGGCCTGCCAGCGGGCCTCATTCCCTGTACGCCTCGTTGGTTCGTAACATACACGGACATCTCTGAAAGCTTCTTCGAGCATGCTAGAGAGAACTTCTCTGCCACTGGCTCCAAAATCAACTTCAAAATTATCAATATAGAGAACGATCTTGCCACTCAAGGGTTTCAGCCCGGAAGCTACGATGTCATCGTAGCGGGCTGGGTACTTCACGCGACGCAGCATCTCTCTGAGACGGGTGCGCAACGTACGGCGGCTTCTAAAACCACATGGGAGACTGATACTACTGGAGCTCACCGAGCCAAATATCCTTCGCTCCGGTGTCATTTTTGGCACTCTTCCGGGTTGGTGGCTGGCTAAAGAGGAAGATCGAGACTGGAGCCCTTGTGTGACGGAAACGCAATGGAAGCAGCTTCTCGAGACGCATGGCTTTTGCAATGTCGACCTCGTGCTTCCAGATTACAAGAGCGCTATATGCCATGAACACAGCATCTTGATTGCGACAGCGGCAGGTTCTCCTTCTACGATAGAACAGTCCCCCATCACGTTTGTTTGTTTTGTTTGTTTGTTTGTTTTGTATTTAACGTGGGGGGTAGCTCCTCAGTAGTGCAGACCACGCCTCCCAGAGCCTCTGCATCGCAGGGTTGTGGAGGTCTCAAGAAAATAAGTACAGTCAGTCCCGCTCACGGGCCCATCCCCGTTGTTGCGGCGGTATGACCTTGGGGTCATCCATCTGGTCCTTCAAGAACAGCTATCTATCGGAGACAGATTGTTGAAAAGAACTTGCTCTTCTCCACGAATTTTGCCCATTCTGTGCTCCTCTCCCCTAAGTATTGTAAACAGGCTGTCCTAGGCGAGTACCTAGGCAACAACCGATTTTTTCCTAGCCTCTTACAAAAGAAAATATGTTGTGGTGTTTCACGTTGCTGCTCAATCCCGATTCCAAGTTGCAATCAGTTGTCTCGGAAGCACTTCGAAACCTGTTGGAGGCCGCTTCTGGTGATATTTGCAGGGTCGTGCCGTACACAGACTCTCCAGTCGGCCATTCAGATACCAAAGCAACTCTCGTATTTCTCGTCGAGCTTGACGAGGCTTACCTGTCTGTTTTGGATGAATCTTCGTTCGCAATACTGCAGAATCGTCTGTGCTCAGCACGGAATGTTATCTGGGTCGTGGCCTCGCACGAGACTGAAGCAGTGTCAGCAGACCTTCATATGGTCAGGGGTCTTGCTCGTGTCCTCTCAACCGAGAAACCCAGCATGACTTTCATTACGATCAACTTCGATAGTTGGCACTTGAATCCAGATGACATCTCGCGGCGCATAGACCAAGTCGTCTCGGCAACTTTGTCCAGACAGTCGCCCACGTGCGAGCTGGAATATGTCGAGAACGATGGTGTTCTAATGATAAATAGGGTTTTTGGGGAGGCGGAGCTGGATAATGAAATCCACTCCAAGGCTCAACGCACCATGAAGAACCAGGAATTGCGCCAATGTCCGCCTCTTGCCCTAACGGTTCCCAATGCTGGTGTCCTTGGCACACTTCGCTTCGAAGAGGATCCAAGGTACACCCTTGAACTAGCTGCAGACGAAATCAAGATTCGAGTGCAGGCCACGGAGATCAACTTCAGAGATCTACTTGTGGTACTTGGTAGACTCGGTGCCAGTACAGTGGGTTGCGAATGCGCCGGTGTGGTGACAAGGCTTGGGGCGGACTGCACGACAGTCCGGCTTGGGGACCGTGTGTGCGCCGTAAGTCTTGGATGCATCAACACATACGCGCGCTGTCACTATCAGTTGGCGGTGAAGATACCGGACAACATTTCTGTCGCCGAGGCCGCCTCGCTTCCAATCACAGGATCCACGGCATACTACTCACTCCGAACGCTTGCGAACCTGCAGCATGGCGAGTCGATCTTGATCCACTGTGCAGCGGGTGGCACAGGACAGATGGCTGTGCAGGTTACGCAGTTGGTTGGGGCCGAGGTGTACGTGACCGTAGGGACCGAAGAGAAGAGGCAGCTCATGCGCGATGTCTACGACATCCCTGATACTCATATCTTCTACAGCCGGGATACAGCATTTGCAAATGATATATTCCGCGCGACCAATGGGAAGGGGGTGGACGTTGTCCCCATCTCGTTAGCTGGGGATTCTCTTGTGGCTTCCTGGGAGTGTATTGCACCCTCTCGGCCGCTTCATTGAGCTTGGGAAGTCTGACATCGAAAGCAACTCCAAGTTGCCGATGTTCCGCTTTGACAAGAACGTTTCTTTCTTCGCAGTATCCGTGGACTTCCTTTCCATCCAACGACCTAGCCTGCTTGGAGCCATCTTGCAGTTCGTTGTGGACATGATTGCTGAGAAGCGCATGAAAGTGGCCTCGCCTCTCCACGTGCAACCAATTACCGAGATAGAGGCCGCCTTCCGGGCAATGCAGTCTGGTAGGAATAAGGGGAAGTTCGTATTAGCATGGAACCCAAGTGATGTGCTTCCGGTAAGTTATACATCCTCATCCGGCACACAAGGTGCATACAAGTCTAACCGGCTCAGAATTTTCTAGGGCCTAAGCACACTTGCTTACTCGACGGAAACGCAACATATCTCATCAGAGGCGGTCTCGGAGGCTTGGGGCGGAGTGCAGCTCGATGGATGGCAAACAGAGGGGCGAGGAACCTGATCCTACTTTCCCGTTCAGCGCCACAGTCAGATGCCGCTGTTGAGCTTCTGAGGGAACTCCGCGCGTTAAACGTCACGGTACGGACACCGATATGTGATGTATCCTCTTCCGAGTCTCTCTCTGCAGCCTTGAGACTATGCTCGGATATGCCATCGATCAAGGGCTGTTTGCAGGCAACGATGGTACTTCAGGTAGGAGCATACCCGGAAGGAGCCATGTTACGCCCAAACACATGAACTGACGAAGTATGCAGGATGCCCTGTTTGAAAACATGCGTTGGGACCAGTGGTCAACCACTATGAAATCCAAAGTCACGAGCACATGGAATTTGCACAACCAGCTACCGCAGGGTCTCGACTTTTTCATCATGCTGTCCTCTGTTAACGCGATCAATGGTTGGATAGGCCAAGCCAACTACGCAGCGGGCAACACGCACCAGGACGCGCTCGCGGCACATCGACTAGCAATAGGCGAGAGAGCCGTGTCAATCAACCTGGGCTGGATGGGTAAAGTCGGCATCGGAGCCGAGCTTGCGAACGTTACTTGGGCCCACGACGAAGTGGCCGAGGCCGTGAAGCTATCCGAGTCCGATTTCCTGGCACTTCTCGACCGCTATTGCGACGCTGCTGTCAATAGTCGCTGTCGAGATAAGGCGCAGTCCATTGTGGGCTTGATAACACCAGCAGCTCTTAGGCGCAGTGGGATCGAGCCTCCAGACTGGTTGCTTGACCGTCCCCTTCTCAGTGGCCTGCCGCTACATGACGTTGGGGATGGAGAAGCATTTGATCCAGGTAGCCGGGACGTGGCTAAGGGGGCCCGAGACTGGGCCAGAGACTTCGTGCAGGCGGCTTCTGAAGAAGATTCAACTCGTGTCGTGATCGAAGCCCTCGTACAGAAGTTGTCTAAGGCCACTTCCATCGCCCGTGAAGATATTGACCGCGACCGACCTTTGCACGTGTATGGGGTAGATTCGCTCCTCGCTGTTGAGTTGAGGAACTGGTTCGCCAAGTTACTCAAGGCAGATGTTCCAATATTCGACATTACCGGACAGGAGAGTCTGGCACGGATCGCGGAGGGGGCGGCTCGACGGAGTGGGCTGCAGAGACGAGGGGACCATGGTACCAATGCGAACGCAGCTTGAGTTGAGGTCACCGTCCCACACTGTTCTCTGTTCTCTCTTGAGGTCATGTCTCTTGTAGGACTCAATATAATGGATCTGGTCAAGGTTGTGTTCCAGGTTGCCAAGGTATATACGGTATGTGTACATTCGCTCCAACCCAGAAGCGTTCTCTTTCATACAAGCCAGTTTGCCTTTGCAAACCTATCTCTTCTCGGTGATGTCTGCTTGGGTGACGCCACACTAATGATGTACCACGACATGCGCGTGAGCATGAGGGTGGTGGGTGAGAGCGGCATAGATGATGCAGTAGACCAGCCGAGCAGCTGGAGTACCTATGGCTGGACACTGATACTGGCCACAGGGATGATGACGGCACAGGGGCTGAAAAGGTGTCTCGGGTGACATGCATGTCAGCGGTCCAGCAGCGGTTCGGCACATGCAGTGGAACGGCCAAACGATGCGAACGGTGCGGTGAGAAGGGTCTGCATACCTAGGTAGTCATACGTTCATATGTCGTCACCATGGCTGGCGACCCCCGGGTCTGAAGCAAAAGCAAAACATTGATATCAATGACCACGGCGCCTCTGTTTCGGCAGCCCGGCTCACTACCTATCTCGACTGTGATTGCGAGGTCGCGTGTGAGTTTGAAGTTGTAGGGAAGTTGTGAGAGATAGACTCAGCAGGATTCGGCCGTGTAGTGGACCTCATACGACTTACAACGGGCTAAACACCAACTGTCTTCCCACCTTTCCCTGGTGTGCCCGCACGACGATCGTTGATGGCACGGATTGATGGATGACAACTGTGAGATACTGCGACGATCAATCATAAATCATAAATCATATTGGGATTTTCCCATCTGCCTTCCCAGAGGACTACCGGTATTTCACCGCCTCGAGTGTTGCACGGAAGTCCGACCGCTTGATCTGCACGCGTCTGTGAATCAAAAGCTCGTCACCGAATGAGTTGGTAGATCGTCATCCGTTTCAACGGCGCTCATCCAGGCCTACTCAACTCAAGTTCGAGTTGTCTTCGCGGGTGCCGTCTTCCAGGCATAACCAGATGAGATAGATACCCCGTCAATGGGTCGCATGGATGAAGGTGATACCTTACTGTACAGCCTGACACGACAGGCCGTTAGAATGGACCTCTCGCGACAGGAATGAGAGGGAAAACGGTGATTGGCAGCGCGGGTGCGCGCGGATGGATGCACGAGACAGCTGCAGGTGGAGGCGTTGATCTTCGCTGATGACATCACTCCGGCTGTTTGCGAGGGTGCCCGGCATGGAGGCGGAGAACTGAGACCACCTGTAACTTCCATCCTTGTATTCGGTTACGTACCCGGCCCTTCTAAGTCCAGGTGCAATCCGTACTGTGCTGCCAGCCCTGGAGGTCCATGTCAGCCACCCGGGCAGCTGCCTAGCTCTGTCAATGGTTCTCCAGTTCTCCAGGCGGCAAGCCAGCCTGGAGGTCAACCCAACTCAACTTGAATCCCATCCATTGAGTTTTTCAGTTTTTCGTATTCCACTCGTCCCACTGCCAAAGCCCGAAGAAACACCCAAAGCCCGCGACTCTGAAGCCAGCCTCACCCGCCCAAAGGGATCAGCGGCGACTTCAGGTCTAAAAAGTTCACGAGATGTTCTTCGCCACACACTTCGTCTCGTGATCACGGAAAAGGCGGCGGCTGACGGGATGGCGATACGTGGCCAACTCGGTTGGTCGGCCACGATGACATCTACGAAATCCCATTGTGGGAATACTGTCATCCCATGGACTACCATATGGATTTTGAGGGATGGCAATTCTCACGCCATCCTGCAGGCCGGCAGGGCGCCGAGCGACGGCTCAGCGACGGCTCTTCCAGGTTTTTTAGGGGTCTTTCCCCCCCCCCCCCCCCCCCCACCCCCCCATAATTCACAATAAGGTAGTCGTCCTCGGCTAGGATTTGACTCTTGACCTCCTACAGTCTACTGCAACCAGTCAGCCCAGTGAACTGAATCAAGTTTAGTACGAGAGCGGCACATGCGCCAGAAGCACCAACGAACCCGGGATACTATTCATAGCAACTTGCAAGTGCTGATTGATGGATTGGAAGTGCTCAAGGCATCCATCCGTATGTCTTCCGAACATGACGATGGTTCCGTCTCACTTGTCCTTGGGATCACATTGTGTCTCAATCACTTGCCCGAACAGTTCAGGTGAAAGCAACAAAGTCCCCAGGGATCACCGCTCTCTCCCCGGCAGCTGCCTCGCCTCCTCTGGCAACTGGCAGAGAACAGGCCCAGCTCCGAGTTGCCGCGCGTGGGTTGGACGGGAACGGGGTAATTGGATAGCATTGGGCATTGGCAATAAGCATCGGGTCAAGTATCCACAGCCAAGGCTTACTAGGATCCGTACAAATCCCATTCCCCCGTCGTCCCAAGATTCCCCATCCAGGGGTCCACATAGTATCAGACTTTCTGCCAATCACAAGCGACTCGCTCAGTCTCGCTGGCGTCACTAGTGACGATCTGCGCGACTTTCGGGCGCAAAGTTTGTGTGCTGCACTGTGCTCCCCGACACAAATGTGGCATTATTATGGACATAAATGTGGCATTATTATGGACTGAAGCCTGGCAGTCCGGCTGTCGGACGACGATGATGGCAGCGGCGGTTCGCGGCGGTTCGTCAATACGGAGCACAGCCAACCTAGAACTGGGCCTTCCTGGCAGGAATGGATACGATGATGGACATTGAGGCTTGAGCATTACGAGGCAGCACACGAGGCATCACGGGATTTCCTTGTGTACCACTCGACACGAACAGTGTATTATCGGTAATTATCTCTCCAGGCGAAGAATGATAGCTGGGAATTCGGGGCACTTAGACACCTGCATTCGGTGAAAACAGCAGTCCGGCAGCTGTCGGTCTGCAGACGCCTACCTAATGCAGGAGCTGCCCTCGGCTGCTACTGAGACAGCCGGGACAGCCTGGTGGCTCGATGCGGTTAGCTTCTCATGGCTGTGCCGCTATAGCGGGTAGACTAGTGACGAATCGGGCATGAGGGCACGGCGTAATGACCGAATGGCCCATGATACGTCAGATGAGTCCCGGCCATGCTCCGCACTGTGCTCGAGCTCCGCGGGTGTCATTGTCCCCTGCGTTCCTTGCCTGCCCGCTTATTCTTAATCTCGACGGGACCACCTGGCATGACCCTTGACAAGCAGCCTGTCCGCCTGTCCCTCCTTTTCCTAACCTGGCACCCCGTCGCATCAAGTCAAGAGACCAAGAGACCTGACAAGGCAAACGTCGTCCCGCTATTCTGTCAACCTTTTTCGCGCTGATCGACGGCGACCCACGGCCTCTCGCTGCTTGCTGGCCATACAAACACCATCATCATCATCATCACCAACCGCGCTGAGCCTGAACACCCCCGTCGAGCCACCCAGGGCCTGAAGCTAGACTGACGATCCCTTCTGCTCGGAAACGTACGGTGACGGCAGGTACCCTACCGGGCCTGAGGTTGCACACAGGACCCTGCGCATTTGGTCATTACCGCCACGAGCCTCTGACTCTCCGTATCCCTTTCTACCCAAGCCACCCCATCCATCCCGACATTCTCATCCCACCTTCCACCTGCACTTCACACATTCCACGACCGCATCGTGAACAGCCCTGAATGCATACTAAGTTGTCCAGTTAGCCAAGGCGTCACCCCCTCGACGATCACTTGTCTCTTCTGCACCTTGTTGCACAACCAGCCGACGGCAGTATCCAACCGACTCATCGTCGTTGCGACCACCCGCGGATGATTGCACCACTCGAGGATCAAGAAACCACAGGGGGAGATAGCCACTATCTCGACATCGGACCGCAGCCCTTGTCTTTTCTAATACATCAAGGGTTGACCTTATCTTCACATACAACAATAATACATACATCGACCCGAGTCGCGGCACCTCACACCGTTCAATAAATCATAACTCTTACCACTAAGCTTATACATCACAATGGACAACTCACCATATCCATTGACGTCGAAACCTGGCCTTCCTGACCGCTCGGACTCGTCATCCTCGTCGTCAGTGGACCATCAAGAGATGGAGATACACACGCCCGTCCCAACTCGCCCGCGTCTGCACAGTCGGAAGAGCAGTGGCACTCTCATAGTCCCCCGTGACTCTTTTCTAGTTGGGCCCTCAGAACCCGATTGGGAGCCTGACGACGTTCGAGCCATGAGTCCGCGGAGGACAAGTGAGGATTTGGAGAATCTGGGCCGTGAGGCACGAGAGGAGCTTCAGAGGTGAGCCGGCACGCAAGTTGGGAATCCTTTCGGAGTTCTATGCTTACAAGGTCCACAGACACGCATCGGCGCTACAAGACTCCCTTCTGATGATATTTCACCGGATAGAAGCCGTCAAGGAGGAACACGACAAGCTGGACAACAACAATAAGTTTCTGCAGAAGTATATTGGCGACTTGATGAGCACAAGTAAGATCACCGCCACAGGAAGCCGAGGAAGGAAATGAGTTGCTCCATCTTAGTGGTGCCGCGCGCATTGGGGTCACGCTTACGCTGGCTCCTGAGACGAGGCGCTGTTTGCCAAATGGACACGAGCAATGAAATACAACCTAGACAACGGAGTCTGCGAACCCAGGCCGTCAATTTTTCGTTTCGATATCTCCACCCGACTATCCAGCCACCCAACATGCGATAGTCGGCTGTGAGTATACCGCCACCGATCGTCCCAAGAGTGGGCGAGGGTGGCACTTTCAGTGTGTTTATACCACCTAGACATGGTTCCGGTGTTGAAAAAGAGCTTATACCACTGCGGAATCATGAATTTCGACAACATTTCGGGATACCGGGTAGTGGAACGGGGGCTTGCATGGCCAAACGGCGTTTCACTCGGAATTGATTTTGGGCTGTCGGTGAAGAGGTGGTTCGGGGCCACTTGACACATGTACCTAGGCCGTGCTTGTCATTGGGCATTATGATGTTTACGACGAATGCTACATGTTCGTCTCGACCATCCAATAATCTGCATGTGACGATGGATAGACTGTCGTGACACCCACCGACACGTACAACCCCGACGGTTGGGCTGTCATGTCGACCAGGCCCTTCTTGCTATGTTATCTTCATGAGGCATGCATATCTATCGGACCCTTCATTTGCTCGCTTGGGAGGCGCAGCATGACCGACATGCAAATTCTGGGTCGCACATAGGTGTCTCGCGGCTCGGGACGTCATCTGACACCCTCGTGCTCCTCACACCATCAGCAACTCGCACCACTACCGCTGACCGACTTTCGTTCGGCAGTGCCATCACAAACCTGACTCGTGGGGTTTGCGGGACAACGCACCTACCACCGCCATGTACTTCGTGGCCGCTGGCGGTGTGCCTATATGGGCGGGGTTTTGGATGATAGCGGTAGATGGAACCTGGCTATAGTGGCACCAGGAGCTGCCGGTCGCGGTATACTCCCCTGGGACTTCAGATGGATACCTATTGGGGGTTTCCGTCCATACTGGAGCAGAGTCCAGATGCTCCTTGCACTGGCGGGATTGAGTCGGTGAAGCCCGGACTTTCACTCACTTGATTATTTCATCTGCGTCCATCGGTCTTTCAGATGATGACTGCCCCAAGCCACGAATCTGATCCGGACAGCTCGAGTACTTAGTTCTTTATCATGTCACATGACTCAAATCTGAGGAATTTCCTATCGCCCATCAATTCCGTGCATAGACCCTGGGGAATAGGGTGTAGTCCATCCATCCTATTTCGACTATAACCCCAGCCAGCGAGCCCCTTTCCCCAGCTCCTCCTTCTGCCCAAATATTCATCAGCCACCGGGGCTGCAAGCACACCAGTATAAAATATACAAACAATAATGCAAAAATCTCAGTGGCCATCCGACCTTAAGAACGTGCCTTGTCCCATGTTAGCCAACCCATCAACTAACATGCCAGCACGCCCCGGAATCGAACAGCAGACCTACGAAAACCCCCCAAGGGGGGTTTGTCTCATACCCCACTACACATGGGACCAGATGGGCTTGGGCTTGGTGAGGGGGCGATGGAAGATTTGGCTTGTAGTACATATGGCTGGTTACTGGGGGTGTCACGGTTGCTGGGGAACTCGACCTGACCTGACCTGGCCTGCTCCGCCCCAGCGATCGCGGACGCGCGCCCCGACGCCCTGGTCCAGGTCGAACCCAAGGGGCCGTTGTTCCGGGAGAAGATCTTCTCGTCGGAGTTCTCGCGGCCCTGGGGTCTGACGTCCATCCCGCTGGCGTATGAGCCGTACCCGAATACATTCGTGAATGCCTCTTCGATGGCACCGCTCGCGACACGGGTCGTTGTCTCGAATTCCACAGAAAATCGGATGGCGTGTGTGCTGCAGGCTGAGCAACCGGCTAGGCAGCTGCCGACCCTGGCCAAGGTGCCGATCTTGATCGATAAGGGCGAGGCCTCGTACCAAAATATGTACGACTACTGCTTCGCGAAGTTCCTGAGATAGACCGGTGTGGAGGCTGAGCATCTGGAGCTGGCGAACGAGGGCATCCGTGGCAATGCCTAAATGCACGTCCTTGAGCTGAACAGTGACGCGATCGCTGCAAAGCTGCATGAGTGGATTTCGAAGGTTACCTTACAGAGAAGTGATGATCCATCCAGACAGTTCATGCATGCTCATACGTTCAGCAATCTGGTCATTCTGCATCATCGCATATTTAGTGTAGAGAAAGGGGGTACATCAAGCCCATGCACTCATAGAGAACAGAAATCTCCAGTAGATCAAAGGGTAAAAGTCGCCTCGATTTTGGGTTTCAGTGTGGCCTATCGGTCCTTTAGTCCCTCCAGATTTGAGGCTAAAGGCACTGCCAGAAAGTTACCACAGGTTCGTACAATATCTACCTACCCTAGAAAAGAATAATAAAATTACATAATATAAAGGGATAAGTGGCTTGTAGCGGCCAAGCGTTCATAGCGAGATAATGGTTATTGCGGATATATTCAGATGTACCTCGTTACTTGCCTATTTCGCCCTAAAGGGCCACCGCTTAGGGCAGGCTTCCTGAGCGAGACTTGAACTTGCAGCTACTTGATAGAGTCGTCCTTTCGGATGGCTCAGAGCGGCGTCATCATAAGGGTCGGCACAGGCATCACCGGGAGTGCCTTATTTGCTGCAGCTACCATATGCACATTGGGTATATTTGACGACAATATAGGTCTGTTGCGCAAGTTGGGGTTTACAGTATCGTCACTTTCCGAGAATGACATTCAACTTTGTGTCTGCGTAATCGTGCGTTCTGCAAGTGATGGATTGGAGCAGATGAGCTTGTCACATTTGCTCTCCCCGTCCCCCCTGAAGTGGCCGGCACAAGGTCTACCCCGGCCAGCATCCCTGGCCGGGGTAATTATATACACAGGTGTGCAGGACAAATAGCAACACGATCAGGACTCTCCTGAAACGTGGGAAGATCGACCGGCTGTATTATCGAGTACGCACTCAAGACACAACCCAGCGTGTTACTGCAACGGTTGCCACCATGAGGCGAATAGACGCATCATATAAGAACGAGTCCTTTGGCCTTCTCTTTCATATCCTCCATCGTCTTGCATCGTTTCCAGGCCGTAGGATATCGACTCAAGTTTCCATGCTTGAGGTCAACAGTGACGGTTTCGCCATGGGGCTCGGGCTGAAGTGTTAAAAGTCGAATAGAACTTGGATCCTCGAGGGGTCTATAAGGACAACGGGAATAGCCATGTCCATTGCTAGCATTCTGGCTATATTAGAACCGGCCTGAAGAAGCCACGCGGGACTACTGAAATGGAGGCGGCCCATCGCTCCGCAGCGTGGTTCTACCTATACAATGTGATTGCCAGCGGTCAATTCGAAAGCCGTCGCATTTGAGCAGCTTGTTGAAGTAGTTATAAGATTTTGTGTCCATGAAGCTTACGAGCTGAGCCTACACCTTACTTAATACGTGTGACCCCTGCTACCTCAATTATGACCCCTGCATGAAAGAGCAGCTACGGTGCTGTTCTCGCCAGGGGTAAGTCGGAACTACTCCAAATGGTGAGTCTCAAGTCGGTGTGTGTTTGGCCTAGGTAAACGTCGCATGCCAGGGGATAGGGGAGGATGAGTGATGTCGAATACCCTCAAATCCTAGACCATCCTCTCGCTGCACCCGACGATACCAACTAAGAACAATGGCAGCTCCTGTTAAGGAAGACTTGTAGTACACCAGCATGGAAAGCCGTCTGAATGCAACTTATTGATTTCGAGCTCTGCTTCGTACTTACGTATCTAACACGCGCTGATGAAAGTATTCTTAATGAGCATGCGAACCGCCAACCCCCAATGGTATACCCTATTCAGATAGTAAACAAGCAGAGCCGGACCTCAACGCCTGAACAATGACCGGCGTAGCAGGGGAAAATGACGCTGTAACCATCACTCACAAATGAAACAATGCAAAAAATGCAATCAAGAATACGCCAAGACCAACCGCTTTCTCTGACCACACCCCAAGCTTCCTTAGACCAGGCATCCAAGGATATAGACCATTTGCGGAGGACTAGTAGGGGTGTGAAGGCACTGGGCCCCCACCGCGATGTCAGGAGGAGGGTTTCCTGAGCACAGCTCTCCGGATTTCCTGGGCTTCCTAGGCTTCCAGAGCTTCCTAGGCTTCCCGGGCACCCCGTGCATCCCGCCAAGCTTCTAACAAAACTTGGGGCCGATCCTAAAAGCCGGGACTGTCGTGCTGGTGCACAGGACACCGGCCTGGGTGGTTAACAAACCACCTGTCAATGCAGCTTCGATGGAACCTGCACATGCACTCCAAGCGGGCCATAGGCACCCCAACCTCAAATTCTTCGAGGCAGATGGTGCATTCCTCAGAGTCGACGCAGTCCTTCTCCGTCGCAAGGTATGGAAACAGACCGGTCCTCCTAATGGCATAAGATTGGGAAAACTGTGAATGTCCGCCAGTGCCACCATGTGCAAATGGGCCCGAGCTGGAGGCGCTGTGGATCGTGATGCAGTTGTTGATATGGTCCTCACGAAGCTGCTCACTGTTGGAAAGAATTCGTCGGGGTAGCTCACGGTGACATATTGGACACTCATCTTCCTCAGCAATCTGCGGCGGTGGCGGCAAGGGTCGGTTCGTTGTTGCCATCAATCGTCCGTTCATTACGAACGAAGATGGTGCGACAGGGCCGTCACCAAATGGTGGTGGTTGTCTGCGAAGGCCGGCGAAGGCGAACATATCACCAAATCCAGATGGGGGAGGAGAGATATGGGAATGTCCAGGCGGCAATGATGGCGGCGCGAAATATGTTGGTGGAGCTCCAGAACGGATGCGGCCTTGCGGCGAAGCGTAAGCATTGTCGCGGGCGGGGAACCGCGATGCTCGAGGCCCTGTGTCCTACCGGGACGTCAGTATTTGTTGAGACGAGTGTGCGGGAGATAAGATGACCAACCACTGTAGCGCTTCTACTTCTAGTATAATAGTCACCTGTCGGTCCGGTGTGAAAGAGCCAGGATCGATTGTTGCGCTGAGTCTCGTTGCTGCCAGAGTTGCCGCTGGTGCTACTTTGCGACCGCTGGTGTGAGGTTGTCGGAGTGCCGCCGAATGGGGACTGCGGAGCTTGTGGAGGAGTGGTATTTGGATCTGGGACACATGGATTGCACAGTCTGACCCTCTCACCTCCGCCAATAACACTGAAATCGGCCATAGCCCCTTCGTTGCCCGGATGGGTATATCGCTGATGCAGACTGTGCTCACCGGGAGGGCGTACAATATATTGATCAGGTATCATAATGCGGTGCGGTGAGCAGCTGCGACATACGACTCTTCCACATTTCCTAGGTCTGCTGTTAGCCGGGTATGTTTAACGGTAGGAAGCAATTGACTTGCCGGCAATGGTGTTTCCTAACAATCAGGCCGAACTGCGTATTGCATATAGGACAGTGAGTCACCTCCCCATCTGGCTGCCATGTTGGTAGGCTGGGTGTACCAATGCTGGACCTTGGATTGAAAAACGGTGGTATTCGGTTCAAACCTGAAGACGATGACGGTCGTGATGTGCTCTGGGTGGCCGAGCCAGGCCGCGATCCTGTAGGAACCGACGGAAGCCCCCTACTAGGGCGTCGCCGGGAAGAAGATGCTTGTGCAATAGCATTGGCAAATTCGCCTGCACTGTTGTATCCTAAGGCTTCTCTCAGAGTAACTCCAGACACTGGTGGAGTAGCGACCCTCTCGGAGCCTGTTTCTGGTTGGGGAGGTGCCGCGGGCGTCTCCCCCAACAACGTAGGGTGTTCATCTGCTTGCTGTGGGCGCGTATCTTGTCCTGATGCTCCGTCACGCAGCTCGGCAATGTGCATTGTGTTGGAGGCGAGGGCTCCCGACTCATCTCGTGGTGTATCTGGAGCACCAGTCCCAATGTAGGAACTCGCCGACTCGGCGTCACTAACACCATGGTCGTCCTCTCCTAGCCTGTGAGGCGAAGGGCCTCCACCTTCAGCGGAAGACATGCTGCGACATGAACTCGTATACGTCGCGAGGCCAGGTATGGTAGGCTAGACCATCGAAGGGACTCGGTGAGGACTAATAGATGGACTGTGGACTGCGAGGCATAGGCATTTGATCAGCCATCATCTAACCTTAGGTGGTCGGTCAGGGTAGGCAGAGGGGCTCGCTGGCAGCGGGGGCGTGGAGGGAACGCCTCGGACTCACCTACATGTACAGACAGAGATATTGATAAAGAAGGCGTCAATACTTGATAGTAGTCGAACTGCCTGACTGTGAGGTTGACTGTGGCAAGACTGGCTGGACGTAGGCGGGCAGATCCGAGACACGCGACTTGAAGTCTTGATGATGAACTGGAGGGTTTGGAAAGTCGATGGAGTCCGTCCAGTGTCCACCCGTCTTGCCGTCCCACGTTGCCAAGCACTCTATGTCTAGCTTCGTTATCTTATCTTATCGGCTACGTCCACGTACTTTAAGGTAGGTATCCCCGGTATCCCCTCTAGCCCCTTCCTTATCTAGGTTATGTACTGTACGCCTACGCCCCCGCGTCATCGCTGACACCCCACCAGCCCCACCACCTTGAATGTTCTTCCCCTTTTCCACTGTTCCATAGGTACGTGTCCCCGAGCAGTCCATTGCGCAACAATTCCATATGGTGAGAAGTGAGCGGCCCACTGGCATGGCCATGAAGATGCCTCTTTGTCGTGTCTGGTTACCATGCTCGTTTGTATGCAATGTGTCTGGATCTGGTGTTGATGTTCAAAGCCCCTATCTGACATCGAATCGCACCCCTTCCGATCATCGAATCGTAACGCTTCCGATTACAGACTAGGAAAGCGGTCCGAAGATATTAGCCAAAGTCTATCGGCGGAGAAGCATCGTGTCTTGCTAGGCATAGTAGTGTCACCCCGCAGGCATTGTTGTCCATTTACGCCATCCGCTGGTCTGGTCGGAAGCTTGGGATAGGACACTCGATGAGAATTGGACAGAAGATCAGATCAGATGGATCTCGGTTATGGTGTTCGTATTGAAGGAAGTGACCAATATGTGCTGCCAGCTGAAGTGCAACTCGGCAAATCTGTCGATGGCTAATGGCTAGAAACATGGAACTTGGTCGTAAGGTCTTGGACACCCATGGCTCTTTCTTTACTTGTAATTCGCTGGATTTCACAACTATTCCGTTCCTTGGTGATCACGGCTACGGAGAAGTCGGTCGCTCTGCTCTCGTCTTTGATCCAAGTCGTTCATTCCTTGTACACATGCTTTTTTCAGCGTCAAGCCTGCCCTCCTGGGACACTGGTGTCATGCAAGCAATGGTCCGAAGCAAACGATACACCTGGGCAGTTTGGATTACACCCTCTTGGCATAATACCTTCTTCGAGCGATACCGACACAGCCGAAATCCTAGCTGTTCCCCTTTCCCATAAGCTGATGAAGTTCAAGAGGCAGTCCTATAAATCAAGTCGTTCTTTTCGCAATCTCATGTGGGCTCGCAACATGGCTTTTGATCAAACGAACAATTACAGAGAGCGGGCGTTATTGACTATTCGACAAACTACTTAGGTGCACTACTCAGCTTGAATGACAGTTTATGAAGAAGAAGAAGGTTAGGCGAGCTATGCAATGATTGATGGACCCTGTACCAAAGCATGTATCCGCGCAGTCCAACCCGTCCCCTCAACGTCAGTCACATCACCCATGTTTATGAGTCAGTTCGCCACAAGGCAGGATGATCAACTTTGCCACGAACCCGCCCCGGTCAAGTCCTTTTCAAGACTCACCACTTCAACCCTCACTTCCCTAACATGAGAGCACCTGCGGGCCTGGTATGGTGTATGCTCTGCCACCATTGTTAGGGTTACCGGAGTTGTCATAGATGTTCACGAGGATGCCCGGGTCGGTGGCGGAGTACGCGCCCGGAAAGCTGACTGTGTTCGAGCCGGTGTTGCTTCCGGAGCCGGTGACCCGTATTCTGCATCAACGTCGTTAGGCCGGTCTCTCAAAGAGGCGAGGTGTATGGATCTATGCTTACTGGGCGCATTCCATGTAGAACTGTGCCTGCCCTTGCGTGGACGCACTATGAAGTGCAATAAGCTCGACACGCATGAGGTAGTCGCCAGGCGCGACGCATGACGGCATGGTGAAGTAGTGCCAGCCGCCGTTGGAGATCATGGTATCGACTGCCCAGACGCCGTTGCTCACACCGGCTTCCGCGACCTTGAACCATTTCAAGCCGGAGGTACCCGCACTGGCGGCATTGTCGACCTTGGCCAGGTAGACCATGATGGGGCCTTGACGGGTTAGCTACACCCGGAGCAAGTAGAAGATGTAGCGGGAGCGCTTACCCTTGTGACTGCTGGCAATGGGATTGTCGGGGTCGTTGGAGCTCTGAGCTCCGCCGATGACATGGCCCCACCAGGCACCGACCTTGGCTCCGGCCGGGACGGAGATGACGGTGCTGTCGGTATGCGTGATACCTTTGTTGCAAGCAAAGCTTCCATCGTTCACGTCCTGGATTGGGTTGTCGCTGTCAGGGGCGCGGACACCCTTCAGCTGGCCCTGGTCGGCGCCGTTGACAGACACTTTCTGGAAGATTGTGTGGCCAGATACCACCGTAGCCGTGAGGCAAAGAGCGAAAGAGGTGAACTTCATGATGACTGAATTGCACGACTGTGGTAGTTGATACAGACGCTGTATCTAGAAGGGGCACAAACCCCTCCCTTATAAGTTCCAAGCTTGAGATGGTCAAACCAATCAACATGCACGGTGCCTTCCATCCGCATCAATATAGGGGAATTTTCGCGGTGGGTGGTAGACCAGCCAACCACGTGCGCAGATGCATATTAGCTGACCGTGAGTCCAGCAGTGTTTTCCTACCAGATTGTGAACCAAGTACGGTCCGTTCTCCAACTGTAGCACGGTGTCCATCTAGCTGATGCCGCCTTCGATGGACGCCAAGTCGCACAACACCAGCCGGTAATGGAATACTATGTAGAATATATTGCCCCGGTGGGTCGGAGCAGGCGTTTACTTGCTACGACGACATGTGACCACACATCCTTGGGCACGCCGACATCAAATGATAGCATGACGTGGGTTGAGATGGTGTAGTTGAAATATGTGCTTGCCTTCGTAGCCAGTAGGGCATTGGAGGAGAAGCAACCAGCTTTATTGATGGTCATCAACATGGGTAAGCACGCCGTGCTCGACGGCAGGAGCTCAATGAATGACTCCAATCATATACCGTATCCAAGCTGCTTGGCGTCAATCTAGAACATCGTTCGAGGATCATATGAGGCGAGATGAAACACCATGCTCATTACACCTCGACTATACTGCGTATATGACAGGGTTGCTTCACTGTTCACAGAATAAACCGCGGACTCTGACAGCCTCGCTCAGAGAGCCAGGGTGAAGCTGAAAGCTGCATTAGCCATTTCATTCCTAGTCACTGTTTTAGGCTTGAGGGTGAAGCCTTTCAGTTGTTATCTTCTTACTTGTACCGGACTTCTGGTCCCACCATAAGTGAATGACCTGTGGTCACAAACAAGATAACTCGATATCATAGCTTACTACCATTCTATTTAAGGAGTCACTCAGTGGTACTTTCACCGTCCTTTTGCCCTGAAACGTTTATCACTATGCAATCTTGGACTCGTATTTGAGCGAGGGACGCAATTTACGGATCGGGTTCCAATAGTGGAGCGCATGTTGATAAGATGGGAAGACGCCCTTTTGATCTCTTCGCACTCGTGACAACTATCACGGCTTTGTATTGAATTATACCAGTATATAATTGATACTACGGAATTCTGCCGCTATCGTGGTACATATACCACCACCACTCGGCCATCCCTTGCCCACACTAACCCCAACCCTAACCCTAACCCTAACAACGCAGGAAGTCTAATCCATCCAACGTCCATCCATACACTCACTACATCCGCCACCATTCAAAGTTTGACTCGCGATCATGTGTATAGTTGCGCTCGGAAAACTCGCGTGCCGACGAAGAGATTCAAACCTGGTAGCGTGTGACGTGCGGTCTTCATCGCTAATCCCACTCTTGTCACCATGAAAGCTTTGTGAGTGCACCTGTGTGTAATTAATGTTATCATGTCTGGTTTTGATCTGGTACTTACATACACCACTCACCAATAACAGATAGGATGGATAAGGAACCCACGCTTTTTACTGCTAGTGTCGGCCCGTCTGTTTAGTGTCGGTTCGTTCAAGTCTGATGGCTGTCCGGGGTTTTACGGAGAACATCCGGCTATCCAAGAGCGTCGACTCTTGCAGTTAACTAGCTTTTCCCGGAATCCTAACTCAAGTGCTCCTCTTGGCTGGTCAGGATTGCAGATAGGTTCGAACATGAGAGACGAGACCGGCTATAATAATAAGACCTAAATTATAGAGGGAGCGGGGAGTATCCAATAGTCGCTTGGATATAAATAAGATTTCAGGGATGACGATCCCGGGCCAGACCCATCCGCCTCCAGACCCAGGCATTGCTAGGCTACAGACGGTAATAGGCGCGCCCGCCAAGCCCGGGCCAAGCTACCAAGTGAGCACACGTTGGAGCCGAACGGTGAGCCAAGCAGGCCAAGGCTGCCAGGATCCAAAAATAACCTCAACAGAGAGCAGACCTGAGACTGGCTGACTGGAAAGGAGTACCTACTGGAAGATCCTCTACAGGCCTCTAATAATGCCGATGACACCAAAGCGACAGGAGCAGTTGAGGGAGATTGGCCTCTCGGCTTCTCTCCAGTTTGCCGCTTCCAGACCTTCTAGACCTTTCAGACTCCAGTCTCGCAGATTCTAGTTTCGAAGCTCAGCGTCTGTTCTCATCGTCAACCTCCATTGGCTCCATCCAGACCGTCATCGCCAACTCCTTGATGTAGCGCATCGAGCGTCGATGTCCTGCACAGCATGCGGGACCATCCCGGACATGAAGATGCAATGTTTGACGACCACAAGTACTATTTCCCACCCGGCGCATTGGAAGCGAGACAGCCGACAGCCCAGCCGGGGTTGGAGGTGACGGCGCAGCAAGATGAGTTGGGAAACCCAGGCCTGCAACCCGTGCCTCTGGAAGAGACCAAGTTCCACGTCGGAGGTCTGCACGAAGATGCCTCCCGGTACAGGACAGCGGGCGCCGTCCACGCCGACGAACTTGCGTCACAGGGGATGCAAGCCGTTCCCATAGAGCACAGCCCGACAACACCACCGCAAGCGTGGCTGTACCAACCTCCGGTCCAATGGACAGCGCCGCCGCCGGATGCGACCCACGGACAGCACACGCCGGATGCGAACTACGGACAATACATGCCGACCCAGTCATCGGTGGAACTCGCAGTATATCCCGCTTATCAACCTCCGATAGACCACCAGCAATACCCATCCAATTGGTCTGCCGCGTCCGACAGCCAATATATGATTCCGGCATTAGCCAGCCCACAACCCTCGTACTACAAAGAAGAACCACAACAGCAACCCATAGCAGACAAGGCGACAAATCGGAGGAAATGGATGCTGTGGGCAGTGGGTGGCGTGCTCTTGTTCATGGCCATCATTGGAGCGGTGGTTGGGGGCATAGTGGGCAGCAAAGCAGCACATGCAAGTGACAGTGATAGTGCAAACAACCATAGTGGCCAGGGTCTGCCCACTGCCGATCCAGCTCCAAGCAATACAACAGCGAGCGATACTCCCCCCAAAACGATCCGAACGAACTCGAGGCTCGCGGTTACTGGGTACCGCAATCAAACGACCGCCGACTATGCCATCCGGCTCTTCTACCAAGACTCAAATAACCAACTGCGGTTCGTGGATAAAGAGAGTCCGGGCGCAAACTGGACAACCGAATCGGTGATTCTGGACTCTCTCCCGTACGAACCCAAGGAAAACGGGTCTATCTCGGCCGCCACCTATTTAGTTGACCCCGTAAGTCTTCCTCACGGCCCATCTGTGAGCGCTGCTAATCGAGGTAGCCCAAAATCATGTTGTTCTATGTCGACCACGATAGCGTCATGCGCGGGCAGCAATTCTATTTCGCCTTTGAGAACGAGACCATGGCCCAGAAAGGGATAAAGTCAAGTCTCGATATGTATCCACTAGAGACAGCCGAGGACACACGCATCTCATCCTTCTTCCCTTACGCCATCTCGCAAGATGCCGACAACCAAGTACGATGGACGACGATGCTTGGCCAGAACGGCAGCAACCTCTCCGCGCCATGGTGGATCAACGACACCAACTTGAACATCGAAGCCTCCCCGGGCGCAGGCATGGTCGCCCTGCCCGTGGCCCAGGAATTTCACGACACGGGCGGTCTGGTCTATCGGAGCAGCGAGGGAAAGCTGACGTACCAGATCCGCGATGACCAGAAATCGATTGACGCGGATGTGTCCTGGGCGAAGGGGACCCTGTCGCAGGAGATTCCGGCCGATACCGCAATCGGGGCGTTCGTGGTGGGAAGACCCTACGATGATGACGAGGTCAACACTTATATCTTGTATCAAGATGACGACGGTGTTATCCAAGTTGTGTGGCAGGACAACGTGACGGGTTGGCAAGGACCCACGACATATGATGCGCTGAGTGGTGCTCTAAAGGGCACCGACATTACATGTCTGAATGCCGGTGCGTACGCTCAGGCAGGCGTGATGATATCAAGGGAACAGGACACGAACCGGTGCTTCTTTCAAGTGGACGGGGGCAGGGTGAAAGAGGTGTTTTACGACGGGCAGAACTGGGTCGACGTTGGCATCGTCCCTCTTGAATAAAAGCGATGTGATGACTGAATTCCCAATAGCCATCTCAAAACATATATCACACGTTGCAGACACACCATAAACCCAGCTTATGTACGTTAATGTTAATGTAGAACCAAGTGCCAAACCCCTACGAAACGGCATAGTCCCGAGGTTCTTCTTCGCCATGCACTTGCTACCTGATTGAGGGAAGCGCGATTTTATTGAGCATTCCTCGAGGACGTATGCCGCCATACGTAGCCGGTCCAGCAACCAAAAGCACAACCAACAGCACCGGCGCAGCTACGACAAAGTAAAGCCAAAACCGTGGCCCGCCAGGGAGGATGTCTTCGGTCATGTTAAATAAACCAGACACGAAGCTGAGGGGCACGAACACCAGAGCCAACACGGTAAGTCGCGACACGTTTTACGTTTCCGCGTACACGCGACGGCCCCTGGCCAGCTGGAGGTACGCCGTCACGAGCGGAACTGCGGCCTCGAGCTGCTTTCCTTAGTGAAAGAGACTCGTAGCCAGATGTTCGTAGTCTTCTTGCAGCGATGCCCATCCGTCAGACAGTGGCAGTGGCTCCACCTGCCCGTGGTGTTTGATGAAAGCGATACACTTGCGTATGCTCGTTGTTGAGGAGGCCACGCGCCGCGGCCAGGCCGAGACGGATGTAAGTGCCAGGTTGATCCGATCTAACTCCTGGGCCGACTATTCCTTCGCTGATGGGGGCCTGTCGTATTGTCGAAGAGAGAGAGACATCAGGCCGAGGTAGTTCACCCATTCAGCGGCGACGATTCGCAGAGGATAATAAGCAAGCGCTTTCATCGTGAGTGTCTTTCGAACGAATCCATCGGGCTGACCGGTTGCTCAGTAATAGAGCATCTTTTCGAGCACTGAGTGGCCTTTCAAGGGAGGATTGCACTTGGTGGAAGGGAGTTTGGTCGTCAAGAAGTCTTCGGTTCCGCCAAATAGGGGGATAATTAGAGTGCGGATACAGGCGGTCTGTTGCTTCGAGCGTAACGAAGTGTAAAAGTCTCGCACAGGAGGGTCCACCAGGGCTAGGCCTACATCGTCATTAGAGTTTTCTGTCATCATACCAACTTGGTTCCAGAACATTCTCAAGCTTACCTAGCCAACAAGCATCCCTCCTCGGCACTATCAGCAGCGAGCAGCAGTGTTGCGCAAGACCGAGGCGCCGGCCATGAACGCCGGAAATTACGATCTCCTTGCGGGAAACGTTCGACTGACATAAGAGTCTGTGATCCTCTTCCTCGATATCCGGGAAAAGCAGGCTCGTATATTAAGAGAACGCAGCGAAATGTTGCCGTCTCGTTCGGGACGGCAACTCGCAGAACCTGGGCGATGGCGGTTGCGATGTCACAGTTCGGCTGCTGGTGACTGTAGAAATGACTTTGTTGATGTACGTGAAGAAGGAAATAAACTATGAAGCTAGCATGGAGACAGGAGCAGGTATATATAGGGGTTGACCTGTGGGGCTGTGGGGTTGACATATAGTGCCGTGACATGCGATTCGGCCCCTCGCCACGCTGAATGTATATAAGAAGCAAAGGACACCGGGTCGATCTCAAGCCGAGATCCAAGCTCGCTCATTGATTCTCTGCTAATGTCTTCGATAAGGGGGATCTAACCGGCCTTGATCGGGGCGACGCTTTTCTCATCCTGGGGTATATCTTGAAGCTCCCCGGCCAAATCTGACGGAGCTACTTGTCTCTGCACTGGTGTGGCATCGCTTGAAAAGAAGTCAAGGGAGACAGTGCGTTCTGTATGGGTCTTGGGCTTGGGTGTCGAGAGAAATGTACGTAGGGCGAGTAGGCATGGGTTGCGGGCGTAGTTCATTTTGGAGATTTGCCCCCTATCGACACAAATCATTCACGAGTTATGATCTTGAAGCACTTGGAGATCCTAAGGTAGTTTTCGGAGATCGATCCTTGCCTTTGTCTCTTTTCTTTTCCCTGGGCCGAGACAAGATATGCCCAAAGTGCAGGGCGTCATGCTGAGCCTGACAGGCTGCCTGCTACCATCCCCCCATAGAAGTCGGACACCCCCACTAGTCGGACAGCCAAACCCCACCATCACCACCAAAACACCCCTTTATTCACACACATATAAAAGAAGTCATTCAGATCAGAGAAACTCAGCAAAATTATCATTCGAGAGCGCTGAAGCTGCTCATTTGTACAATCTAGCGGGCGCCCGTATTGCGCGGCTGGAACGTGTCAACCTAGGCTGCTGGATGGCCTCCAAAGCGGCCTCTTCAGGGGCTTCATCCTCATCTTCCTCTTTATCCTCCGACTCAATAATCATCTCTTCTTGTACCTCTATAGGCGTTTTAGGGCCAATGGTACCTCCCTTAAACAAGATCTCTGTCACCGTTTTAAACTTCTTGTTAGGATTAGGGATCTTTTGCCGCTTCTTGGGCCGTAGCCGCTCCAGTTCAGCCTCCAGGGCTTTGATCTTCCGGGCTTGGATGACAACTTCTGTCTCCTTGGTCTCGAACGCGTTGGCTATCTTCCTGTACTTCAGACGGGTGTCAGGGGATTTATTTTTGCCGAAATCCATGATCTCCCGACTTGTAGTAGGGGTCCGTTGGTCCTCTGGTTCAAAGCTTTCAGGGGTCTCAGGCTCAGGGGTCTTCTGCTTATCTTCCTGGATTTCTGGATGTGCTAGGCATTTCCTGCGGCTGATTGGATAACATCCAGTGGTTCTGAATCCAGAGAGGATGTTTGCCTTAATAAAAGTAGAAGTTCTTGCTTGGCTATAGCACCGAATGAAGTTGATCTTGTTAACAGGCGAGGCATCCGTCAAGGAATTCAGCTGCAAGAGAAATTTCTGGTAGTAAGCCTTTAGGGCGTTATAGGGCCCGTTATCCAGGGGCTGCATGCTGTGACTGGTGTGGGCAGGGAAGAAACAGAGCAAGATATTGGCGAAATAACACATGGTCATGAATTCGTTCTATTACCACGCGTTAGCCTGGATTAATTCCAAAATTTTGAAGGAAGTCTAAATAAAATAAGAAAAAATCATATACGTACGGAGGTGTGGCTACTATGGCCATCTAATATCAAAAGAACAGCCTCAGACTGATCTTTTCCTTGTACCTCGTCCACCTGTGGGATGAACACGTCTTCTAACCATTGGCAGGCGATGTCATTGGAGGTCCAGCCGTTTTCTGAGCATATAAAATGCCAATCGGCGGTTTTTCGGAACTCCTCGATAAACCATTGGACTTGGAGGTCCTTGCCTTTAAAGATAATGCCCGGTTTAAGGATTTTTCCTGTGGCTGAGAAGCCTTGATGAAGGAGGTCCAACTGCGGCTCTAGGGGCTCTTCAGGAAGGATTTCTTGGTAGCAGAACTACCCAAAACGAGAGAGTCGATACCTGTGAATACGATTAGAATTTTTCGGAATTAAAGGGGTAAGTAGAGCTACCATAGCCCGCCATAATGCCGCTCTTATCGACATTATATGTGTTCTCTGGCTTCATCTAGCCGTAATCCTCGAGAATTTCGAAGAACCAGTTAACTGCTTTGGGCGTAAACCCCTTAAAGCGCGCTGATTCCATCTTTTTGCCAATTTTGGTCTTTATTTGAGGGTTGCGGCGCTTGAAGCCCGCCATGAAGGTGTCTCCCAAAGGGCGTTCATCTCCCTTCTTTTTTAACAACTTTGTGACAATCTCACGAACTAGGGAGTGCGAAGGGGCTAGTCCTAGCTTCTCCTGACGCAAAATCCATTCGATTATAGTGGTTTCTTGAGCAGGGGAGAGTCTCTGTTACTACGTGTGGGCTTCGGCCCTTGTAGGCTTGCCATTAAGTCGATCAGACAGCGTTTGGGGCGGGATGCCGTGTTTTTGAGCGCTTTTTCGTAAAGACAGGCCCTCATCCGTGATATCTAAGATGGCATTTGCCATCTGATCCTCTGTATACGGATAGGGAGGCATTTTGGGCGGCTATACGATGCTGCGTTGCATATAGAACAAGGCCTCAAGGGAGCCTTGCAGGGCCGTAGATTTGTTATTCGAGGTAGGAAACGCGGGGTAATAGATGACCAATCACATAGGCTAGGCGGGGTAAATTTTATATTGGAGTAAACCCCAAGGTCAGGGCTATCTAGAGCAGTAATTACATTCTAAGTAGCTTTAATATCGGGCTGAAAGCGTGTAAGTGAATAAAGGGGTGTTTTGGTGATGATGGTGGGGTTTGGCTGTCCGACTAGTGGGGTGTCCGACTTCTATGGGGGGGATGGTAGGCACATTCTCGTAAACGGTGCCTGAAAGGGGAGTTGGCTCGATCACTGCCCTATTCCGGCTCCATCTGTTGGCCTGAGCCTGCATCTTGCCCAATGAACGGGTAAGCTGCGCCACCATGGTCCATCACGTACATGCTTACAGATTGGTGGTCTATCGCCAACATGAAAACCCCGCACACTTGCGGCTGAGCAATAGAGACACACATATACTGCATACCACCCTTATGATTAGGGAATTGTAGATTCCTACCGCCCTTCTTCACCATCAACTCCCCTGGCACCAGTCCCTTCCATCAACCCTAACCGCATTTCTGAGATAGATCTACACCATGGACGTCATCGAAAATTTCATAGCAACGTACCATCGCGAGCGTAGCGACTGGGAGCGACTGAAAGATAACATCTCCCACCCCCCTGCAGACCACCCCCCCGCGGACCAGCGCGTTCTGACCCACAAACGCGTAATTCACTAACCACCAGGATTATGGTGATCCACCATCTACACCATCACTTTTGCATCTTTTTTTCCACAAAGCACACTATTTGAATCCTTATCCACTGTTGAATCTCATGATGTCATTTTATGACCGTCAAATAAAAGCTGAAGTCGCCATTTTGGCCATCCAACGCGGAGCTCCAGTCCACTCGTCAGCCCTCGAATGGCAAATCAGTCGCTCATACGTCAACCGACGAATCTCTGGCACCCCAACGCGGAATGAGACCAGCGCTCTCCAACAGGCTCTCTCATCATATCTCGAACATAAGCTGGCAAGCTGAGCCCTGGGGCAAGCACGGCTAGGGTATTCTCCGGCGGTCTCTAAGTTCCGTCTCATGGCCCAGCGGATGCTCCATGCCACCGGGGATGCTCAAGAATTAGAGAAAAATTGGGCATCTAAGTTCCTGTCTCGAAACCCGGAAGTCAAGATAATGAAGTCTTGTGTTATCGACTATAACCGAGTGAATAGTGCTATAGCGGCAAATATCAACATTTTTTTTGATTGGTATGACGCCCCTGATATGGTTAACCTCATGCCAGCACGCTGGTACAACGTCGACGAAATGGGAATCGCCCAGGGGGTTGGGGACTCCCATTGGGTGGTCTCCGAGGCCTCCGGCAACGTGGCTATGAAGAAAGGGGTTGAGAAGGATGAATGGATAACTGCCCTAGAGTGTGTGAGCGGATCAAGTGAGACCTTGCCGCCGCTGGTGATTCTCAAGGGGGTTAACGTACAAGCCCAGTGGTTTAGCAACCAAAATGAGGGTAAATTCACTGACTAGAGGTTTATTACGTCGCCTAATGGATGGACCTCGAATCCCATTGCGTTAGAATGGCTTCAACGTATCTTTATTCCTCACATTCGGGAGGTCCATGGCAACACATGGGTGGTTTTGGTGTGTGATGGCCACGACTCCCACACAAATGACGAGTTCCTGTCACGGCGAGCGTACTGAGGAGCTGGGACATGGCCGGCAGCAAGCAGCTATTACTCTATTGACGAGAATATCAAGACTAGAGAGGAAAGGAAGAGAGAGAGAGAGATAGGTACAGTGGGAGGTTGCCCCTTTAAGGGGATCCTCTGGTCAGATCCTTCCCCTATTAGGAGGTATCCACTTGTCATGTGGGAAGGTCTGTGCAGGCCGCCACAGCCGTCACAGTTCCTAGCCACCTGCTTAAGAAACAAAGTATGGTTGATCTTTTATGAACCTCACTGCTCCCATGTAGTCCAGGTATTAGATGTGGGAGTCTTCAATTTGGTGAAGAAGAGGTTGAAGACCTTACTCCAGGAGACGCCCAGCGGCCGTCTGGGACTCAGGCCATCTAAGGAGGAGGTTTTGGAGTGCTATGAGCAGGCCCGGAAGGACACAATGATGCTCCTCAACATCAGAATTGCCTGGAAAAAGACTGGGATTGTTCCTCACAACAGAACAGAGGCATTGAAGTCGAAATATATGATTCTGGAGGACAAGGGGGTGGCCAGGGCCCGCCAGAGGGACCCTAAGGCTTCCGAGCGAGCCACAACACCAAATTTTCTTGAGATGGTAGCTAAAACCATTATCACAACACCCTCTGGAAGCCGGGCTTTGCAGGAGAGTGCTTAAAAGCTCGAAAGAAAGGACCCTTCCTTTGGGGGGCCCTCTGAGCGCTTGTTGGTACGGAAGGCTGGCAAGGCCATGGATGTTCAGGCTGTTACCATTACAAATCTACGGGCCAAATATGAGCTGCTTGAGGCTCAAGTGGTTAAAAAGGCTAATACCACTCGAAAAGCAGTCAAACCAACACCAGGGGAACGATTCGTTATAATGGCTAACATAAGGGAGGCCAAAATGGAGCTGAGGAACAGGAGGGTCTATAGGGACTCCGCTGCAGGCGAAGAGGTCCCACAAGAGGTCCCTGGTGAAGATTTAGGGTCGGAATCGGATTCTGGGAGCTGTATTATGGTTAGAACACCACGACCTTAGTGTATTTAGCAACTGTGGTGGTTGTAGATGGCTTCATCTGAATGAGAGTGGTGTGGTGTGGAGTGGTCCGTGGGGGGGTGGTCCGCAGGGGGGGGTGAGATGTTAGTGCCAAGGAAATCTGCATTGCCGGTCTCAAAGGCATCAACGTGGCGGCCAATGTCACCGGCCGCGTCAAGACCGACGACTCCCTGACGAAGAAACTGCGGAGAAGGAGCTCGCTGAAACCATATTGCGATCATGAATCCATTATGGATAACAAACTTGACTTTGTCGGCCTGCGCATCGCGCTCTATTTCCCTGACCAGGAGGACCGAGTGATCCAGATGTTGAAAAAGAAGTTCCTTTTCGAATCGATGCGACCATTTGACCGAGACTGGAAGCCGCATGAGCCGGGAATATACCAGAATACCTTCGGCCAGTATGTTGCAGACCACGTATGGGTCTCTCTCTACGAAAGCGATCGGGGCCCTGCCGGAAAATACGCGGACTACAGATTCGAGATCCAGCTTCGGTCGGTGCTCATGGACGCGTGGGCTGGCATCAGCCATGACCTGCAATACGAGGCTCATTCCGGCTATCTTACCGTTACTGAACTCAAGTTTCTCCATGCGCTCAAGGGACATGTCGAGGTCGGCGAGATGATGCTCGAACAACTTCACCGAGTACACCTAAAACGCATCGAGACCGAGAACGAGACGATATGCACTCTGCGGGAGCTGCGAGAGGTCCTTATCAACTCCGTGCCCGAGTATCAGTTGGCGAATTGTCAAATAGGAGATCTCGACGCCTTATTGATTGTTCTGAAGGCCACGCATGCCGACACACCACGCACCTTCCGCCGATTGCTACAAAGGTTTGACGTCAAGACGCAGTTATGCGAGGATCTCGAGCAGTGGCGGCATAGCTTCCAGCCCATACCTACAACTGTGGCCTTCTATCTGTTGCAGAGGGCGTTACCCACTGTCTCAACACAGCCTGAGGAATTCTGTGATGTGGCAAGGAGGGTTAGAGAGCACCACCCACGGCTTTGGTATGACAGTCGGTATTGGCAGCCATTATTATGGCTTTCCCGGGAACTTTTGCGGTTGTCTGAGTTGGGAAATCCCTACCTAGAGAACTCGCACATTCGCGTGTATGCACATATCTGGTGCGCAGAGTTTTATCTTAAGACAAACACCCCCACGACACCTGACGACACTTGCGTGGTCGACTGCCTGTCTCGCACTGGCGAGTGCTCAGCTCCCGGTCTCCAATTCTTCACCGAGCTCTGCATCCTTGGCCTTGCCCCCACAGCGACGGAGTACCGGTATGAACAAGAACACGACGAGCCTGACTACGAGGATGATCGGTTCAAATTGATCGCTGTCCTCATGATACGGATGTACACTCTTGATCCTCAGGCGTGGCTTCAAGCAGTTTACGACTATAAAACATCGCTTTGGTCTTGGGCCGCTATGGTCACGGACGCGTTCTTTCGCTCTGCTGACATAGCACTCTGGCTGATGAGCCTTCGCGAGCAAGATCTTCTGGAGCAACTTCTACGGCACTGGCCCTTCCAAGGCCGGCGATCTGGAGATGAGGCGCATGGTTGCTGGGCGAGAATCTGTAGCCTGGCAAAGAGCCACCAAGATAAAGGAATGTTCCGGCTGTTGCAGGGAGATGAAAAGGAGCGTCGGACTCCTGTCCGCTCTAGAGTCAGCGACTTTAAAAAGGGGTATCATATGCTAGATCTCAAGTCTATAAAAGCGCCTGAGCTGGGTGCTAGGCGTGTCCGGTCTATGATACACCCTCAACGGCGGAACACCGCAAGAAACACTGTCGAAGGATAGAGGAGCCAAAAAAACGAAGTTTTCAGAACAGCTCATAGGTGAACCCACCAGGACCGTGGATTTTCCAAGGCGCCAGATCAAGAGCGGTACGCCATGTGAGCTGGCAGTGACGTGGGTTGTACTGGGACTCATTGTTGATGCCCTACTTCCGGCTACATCATAGTCTAAAAAGGTCGAGCTACTTTGTTAGATTAACTTACGGTCGCGACCCCCGTAGATCAACGTCGGCCAGCACGATGACTGCTCGAAAAGATCCATAAGACCCGAGAGCGATGGTTTCGGATTTGAACTTGGTGTCCCTCACGACCCACGATTGTGGCCTTACCGACTTGCCAGCCCGCCCAATCCAACCTCAACACTATCTCTTTCATAGTTAGGTATCATCATGAGGACTTTCAAGAGGACCCCTATTATGTAGCCGACTGCTAAGCCTGCTCGAAGGCAATCGAGGTGAACCGCCTCAATTTCATGAACTCAAATCCACAGCGAATGATCAGATGAAGAGGTTAGTCTCTGTAAGCCGACTCGACCCGCAGGAACTGATTGCAAGATCCGAGTAGCACCAGGAAGCTGAATCACGATCTACCGAAACACATTCTCCTCGTCCAGTCCCCTACCTTGTCCCACGCCCCAGACGTAGCCCTCGACTGGATACTCTTCTTCCGCATGGTGGCGTTTCATTCCGTTAGACTCTGCGTACAGTATGGGGGCTCTGCTTTTTGTTGTATTTTAGAGCATTTGGGTCTGGCTCATCCATTGCGGTCGAAGACTTCCATAATAGGAATGATTTTCTTTCTCAGCGCGTATCATCTCCAGTTGTTCCAAGTACCGCTCCACATCCACCAGCATCCTCTCCTTGCTCTCCCCCCTTGTTCTTGTCCTCCAAACCCACCGTCGGAAATCATGGGACGACCCCCTTCCACCGGCGCGATCGACCTCGGACATGAAGCCCGCGTCGCTCCAGAGCCAGAGGTGTTCGTGGACCCGGACCCCTTCGAAGGTTCCTCGTCTCCAGAGCCGGTCGACGTGGTGCTCTTCATACTCGCAAATCTGTAATCTTACAGTTTCGGCGGCCTCAAAGATCCAAGGGTCCCCTACATCCTCCATGTTCTCGAGGAGGGCCAGCCTCTGCACAGCACGGCACGCTTCCGGGGACATACTCGCTGAGATATGGTACCACGGCAACTCCCAATCCGCCAGTGGCCGCCCAACAAGCTCGCACGTCTTCTCGAAGCAGAACTGCTGTACGCAGTCGATCCCGATGACGAACGTGTCGAAGGCAGGACTGATGAAGATTGCGCCTTTCTTCGTACCGGTGACTTCGATATTGTCGATTGTGTCGAGGACATCGAGTTGTAGGCGTTCGTAGCTACCTATTTCTTCAGAGTGACTGTCCGATGAACTGTCTGGGGAGTCGCCTTCGGAGACGCCTATGTCTTCCGAGTAATTGTTCGAAGAATCGTCTGGGGGGTTGCTTTCGGTTTCATCATTCCATTCACCGATGTTGTCGGGCATGTTTGGGGAGCCGTGTCGTGGACCGAAGTGGGGATCGAATTGCGATGGGGGCACCTCGTAGATATCAAGCTTGACGTCGTAGAAAGCTCGTGCACATTGACGGCCCTCGTAGTTCACCGAGAGGAGGGGACTGATGAGGTGTTTAAAGGGCATGACCCGGAGATCGTGGAGGACCACGAGGCGTTGCTGGGTTTCTTGGTGGAGTACCATGTTCCAGATCACGACTCGTAGCTCGGAAGGGAGACGGCTGAAGCTTGGGAAGCTGGCCATATTGGTGTCTGTGGTGACTTAGGAAATGGTCGATAGGTTTGAGGATGATACATTCGTAGGTGGCAACCTGCAATCAGTTTTTGGTACCAGTCCCTGGTAAAGTTGCCAACGGAGAGTTCTTATATGAAATAGGCTCTAAGCTTGGCAGTTGGACACTGACACGGACAAGCACCCTTTGATTCAGACGCCCGTGTTCACTAGAGAGCTCACAAAGAAGACAACGATCCTGCTTGCCTACTTTGAGTATGCATCCTTCAACTCACGTCATAACCATCGAAGTCTATTTCAACAAGTTGAGTAACCTGGCAGGTCTTCTTGCTTCTATGGTGTGAAGTTCTTGGTTCATAGAGCAGAGCATGACAAGCATACAATATCTCGTGCTATAGGCGCCTTGCTCAAAGACATCTTGTAACTACTAGTCAGATCCTTTCGAATCCGTAAGATAGAGAGCCATTCATTCAAGTTCCATATACCTTGGTAAAGAAGCACTCTCCCATCTTGCCTTCAAGGAATCTCTCGCTCCCTGCCTATCTACTCGTCTAGCCTTGCCGTTGGATCGCGAATTGATATCGTGTGAAAGAGTGTCAGTAACCATAGCTCGGTTCTGAAGCTGACCACACAGCGTCTTGGTCGCTCAGTGGTGCTGATGATGTAGTAGTATTGCCGCGTTCGGGAAATTCGGATTGGCGTTAAGTATTCCCTGAGCTCGAAATCACCCCGAGACCCAGATCATCCTTGTCGCCATTACAGGCACAAACATCTCAGAACTCTTCCCGGATCCGATACATAACACAATCTCCGTCCTCCAGAAGCAACTGTTTCCTGGTAACTGACTATGAAGGATCCGGCGTTATTATGTGGACATCCTGCTTGTTGAAGATGAGGACTACTTACTGACTCGTCGACGACTTCGGCCGCCAAAGCTGCCAAACGTTTCGTCTTGATGTGCTCGGCAGACTTGACAAGGATACGTGTAAGACTTGGATACGCCCGGAAGGTCTCATCTGCGATATGACCAGTTGTCCGACGGTGATGCCTGTATCGTTTACGTATGTTGCCAACCGGCAACCCTCGTGCAGATAATCGCCGTCAGCATCACAAAACTTCCAGTAGGGCGGGCCCTTGGATTCGGCTCGGTATTGAAGGGGCGTGTCTTCCGTATAGGAGGAGACAAATATATCCACGATGGAGACTGGGGACCGAAAGGCGTGAATGGCGGCGTAGAGTTCCTTGCGTGCCAAGGGCAGGTAAGCGAGGAATTCCCTCCCCTTGGCGAGGAAAATGGACGGCGCCGAGGACCTGAAGCCATAGTGTTCTTTCGCATCCAGCGCGGGGAGAGTAGGGTTCAGTTCGATTGTCGGGAGTTCGTTTTCTGTAGTCTGGGGTATTGGACCAGCGATTCGCCAGCAAAGTCGCTGCAGTTTGCTTGAGGAAGAAATCCGGGCGTGCCATTGCGTGCAAACTTGACGACAGCACATCAACGAGACGTAGGCGGCAAGGAAGCTGTCTCGCATCGCATACCTCTCATCGTCGCCGACTAACCACTCATCGGAATCAGAATTTTCGCCATATGCCTCCTCCTCGACGATATTGAATAGCCACACGAAGACCTCGTCGAAGAGCTCCTGCATGCTGAAGAGCTTCTCCGATGCGCTTGCCGTGGTCGCTGAAAGCTGCATCGTTGGAGTACTACTGCCTGTCTTTCCACTTCTCGACGGCTCCATTGCGAAGAGACGAACGCGGAGGTATGCGTCCGAAGGTGCCTCCAGACGTCAGAAGGTTGGCTGAGTGGTGAACTATGAAGCGCCGTTCTTGGGGCAAGTGTTACTGTGTGCCGAGGCGGGTGAAGTGGATTCAGAAGGGAGAGGGATGTGGCCGGGAAGAATGCGAGTCGTGGTCGACTACCGTACCAGGTCTTGCCAATTCCAGTCAGCGATTGCTCTACAGTTCGTACCTTCCAACATTAGGTTCGCCCCTTCCAATATTAACAAACTTTCTAGCCGGGCAAGAACGACCCGGGCAAGTATGATCTAGGTAACAACTACCTAGGTACCTTCCTGTTTATTATATAGACTGCTGTGTTCGCTGTAACAGAGCAAAGCTTGACGCCGCCGAGCGTGCGTCCGTGGTTGAAGATCGATACGTACGACACGCCCGTGTCGTCGCCGGCCATGGTGTAGTGATGTAGTAACTGGCTACGATCGGTTCCGCACCGTTGAACTCGACGTGGTCTTTGAGACCTGCCGGCATCTCGGCTTTGACAGGGGCAAGTCTCAAGGTGACGGGACAGTCGAGTCTTGCCCGCGGAAAGAACGTTCATCTGGGGTGAGGTATCACCGCTTAGCCCCTCGTGGTGCTGATGCATGGCGCCCAGACGGAGCCTCCACGGAGTCTCCATGCCAATTACGGGGTCAGGACGGAAGCTCCGTTGACAAACCCAAAATGCAGTGCCGAGAAGTGATCTGAGACGGACTCCCAGTCGATGCTGATAGCCGACGCCTATCATGTTCGCTTCGGTCTTCCCAGTGCTGTATACTGCGGAAGACGGGGGCATGCTGTTGCTCGCGGGTTTCTGCTATTCTCATTCTTGCCTGAATGATATCCCTTGTTGAATGCGGTTGCCAGCTGCGGACGGGCCTTCTCGTCTCTCGTCAATGTATTCGTGCTCGTTCTTATTCACATCGTTTATGGCATTATCAACATGGAGGGCACTGGCCTCCGCCCCTTCTGCTATACCTAGTTGATACCTGATCGACATGTGCAATTCCTTGGCCCTGCGGTCACGAAGATCAGCTGATGTCCTTGAGGGCCAACTGTGCCCTGGTGCTCCGCGCGCGGCGCAGATATCCACCATTAACCCACCAACTTATGGCTCCCTTCTGTATTTGTAAGCTCGGGGCAATGTTGCAGCGATAGCACTGTAAGTAACGAGACCGGGCGACAGCTTCGAACCACACCTAGCGTTCGCGAACACGATCAAGAGTTTCCAGCTCATGAAGTATCACAGCAATCATGAAGGCACTAATACTTACCACCGCCGAGCATACCGCGAGGGTCGAGGAGGTCCCCAAGCCTGTGCCTGGTTCCAGCGAGCTTCTCATCAAAGTGCACGCAGTTGCCTTGAACCCAGTGGATGCATTGTACGTTGCGTGCCCGCTGGCAGCACAGCCAAACGGGTCATTGGGATGGATTTTGCAGATATCGTCGTGGGCATCGGTCATGACCTTCAGACCTCGTCTGACCCGAGGGCGAAGGTGGGAGCTCGAGTGGCAGGCTTCCTGCAACGAGGTTCGTGAGGCTACTCCCGTCCAAAGACCCTTCCGCCCCGTGAAGCCGTGCGTACATTATCTGACCCGAATCTAATACCATGTTCTGTCAATGATCGACCAGGTGCGTTCGCAGAGTACGTCACCGCGGAGCATGTCTCTCGAGGAGGCATCGACTATCCCCACCTGCGGCATGACAGCGGCACAGGGGCTTTTCTTCCGGCTGGGTGTCCCGTGCCCCTTCTGGCCGACCCCAGAAGCTCCCCAGAGCAAGTTGGGACGACCTCTGAACGTCTTCGTATACGGAGCTTCTTCGTCACTCGGTCTCTTCGCGGGCCAGCTCGCCAACCTCGTAAAACAGCACTCCCAGGTTCCAATCCGACTTCTGGGTGCCGCACGAGATTCCCACCACCAGATGCTGAAAGAGCATCCGTACAGCTTCGACGCGCTGTTTGACTATCGACAAGACGACTGGCCAGAACAGGTGACCAAATTTACAGACGGAACCGGCGTGGACTTCGTGATGGATTGTATCAGTGAGGAGTCTACGGTTGAGATGTCCTCTCGCACACTCAATCCTACGGGGAAATGTGCCGTATTCCGACCACCGAAGAACAATTATGATCCTGACAAGCTGCCGACGAGACTGATATATGGTGCAGCCTATGAAGCGTTCGGAGTTGCGACCGACTATGGAGGTACGTACAATTGAAACCGCGGCCAGTCCAATGAACCACGCACCTAATGACCTACTAGCGTTCACATTCCCGGTCGTCCCAGACGCAAGAGAGTTCGCAGCAGCTTTTTATCAATATCTAACTGACAGCGGCCGCGCGGGTCAAATCAAGCTGAGAGGCAATCCCGTACGGCTGATGCCCGGAGGATTGGATCACATTGCCCCCGACGGTCTGAGTATATTGGGCGCCGGCGTTCTGGGACATCTGATGAACGGAAAGCAGCATGGGAGGACTGAAACTTACATGAGGCCGATTTCAGCAGAGAAGCCAGTCTACAATATTTCCTAGACCGGTGCATGAAGCTTAAGGGGTCAACGGATGTACAGGGGCTTTGGAGGTCCAAGGTTTGAGACAACTACTATAGCGGGTATATTGTCCAGAAGATGAAACAATGGTAAACGGCAACCCGTTTTATTTTGCGATATGTCTGCGTCCGGCAACACGCGTACTACCGTAGTGAATTGTTACTTCATGGGAACCCTTGGTCTGCCCATAGGCATTTTGCTGGCTGCCATATATTCCAACCTATAATCTATGGCCCTCTAACGAGCCACCAAAGTACCGGCAGCATATCGGCAATTCCATGGGCCTTTATCAAGCATGTAAAAGGTAATTATTGACGTGAGGCTCAGACACACAACGCTCAAGGGCTTCAGGGGCGCAGGGGTACCCGGCGATTGTGTGGCTCAGTCAGAAGTGTTCAGTCAACCACGCAAGACTATGAGAAAGTTCCTTGATGTAAAGAGCAGAGCGGGAAACTATAATCAACAATCTGCCCATTTGTTGTCAATACTCCTGCCCCTGATTAACCTCTTCCCCAGCATCGTTCCGTCATGATAGCTTGAACCCCTCTTCTCCCTGTATATAGTCAGCATACTCCTATAAGAATCTTGTCCATGTCTGAATTTAAAGCCTAATTGTGGAAAACGCTGAGCTCATAAACAGATTCGAACTGAGTCTCGACTGACTACACGTATCTGATCTTGGCCGCGCATTCGATATTTCCAAGATATGGTACGTACCCCACTCCCGTGCTGTATCTATTATCTACTATATCGGAATGTAACGTAACCCAAGAAGCTCCAACTCTCCTCACCTCGGTACGTGCTTGCCCTTGCGCGGTATCCATACTATCTCCAGTTATGATAAGCTTATACGTCACGGGTGGGTATATATGCTGTATTTGACCGCAGACACCCTTCAACCTTGGTGTGTTCGTGAAACTTGCTCATAGTAGTCTTGGGCCTTGCACTCACCATGAGGTCGTTCCGTGTGGCAGTCAGTCTGGCCCTGTCCCTATGGGTGACTCTTCTCAACGCCCAGTTCAACAACCCCGACGGTGTCGATATCTGGTGCGGCAAGGCTTATAGAGAGACGTGAGACATTCACCCCTACCTTAGGCACGAGCTACAGGAGACTGACAAACCCCAGTAACTTTTCGTTCAATCCCGGCGGCGGCTTCGAGGAACCTCCAACATCCAGCGTGCCCCTCTTGAACCTCAGGGTGCGCCCCAGGATAAGCATCTACTTGGATACGGATCAGACAGCGAGCCTACTTATCGACTCGGAGATATCGTACCAAGTCGGACAACCCCTGGCCACAGCTCTCATCTCGTCACGCTCAGGAGAAAATGATGTTCTTGAAGTTCAAATATCATTAGATGGAACTTTTGTGGGCACAGCGAGTGTCAAGCTCAATTCCACCAACGTGGAAATCCCGCTGAACCTGGAAAACTTTCCTGCTACCCTCAGCCCGTATACCATCAACATCCTGGCGAAACTCGGGAATAATACCTACACCTCTTCAGCAGAGTTCCTGCGTCTTCCGAGCCCGGAAGGATACGGCAGTGTAGCACGAATCGATAACTTGTATGGTGGCCTATGGGTGCAGAGGGACCAAGAGAAGTGGAAGCACATATTTCCATATACCTACTACGGTTATTCCCCCCTGATCAAATTTGGAGGAGCACTACTAATTCAGTCTATAGTTCAGTGGACCTTATACTGGGACAGCAACGTGACCACACTCGACGAGTTCGCTTCCATGGGATACAACGTAATCCACATAGTACCAACAGGGACCCTCGGCGACCAGCCCTTCCCATGGGATCAATTCGAGCCATATCTAGACCGAGCCGACGAGCTGGGCCTCTACCTCCAGTACAACGTGATCTGGGACTGGCAGAACCTCACCGGCATGATCTCGCAGGTGGAGCGTCTACGCAGCCACAGATCCATGTTACTCTGGTACCAGAGCGACGAGCCCGACGGCAAAAGCAACCCCATCAACTCGACGGGGATCGCGTACCAGAAGATCCGCTCGCTCGACCCGTACCACCCGGTCTCGCTGGCCCTGAACTGCTATGACTTCTACTATGCCGACTACGCGGCCGGCGCCGACATCATCCTGACCGACACGTATCCGATCGCTATCAACGCGACGTTCTCGACCGTGTACGATACGGTATGCAACGCGACGTACGGCTGCTGCGGATGCGACGACTGTGTCGGCACTTTCGAGGACATCTCCGACCGCATCGACGAGTTCCATCGCCGGGACGAGCTGATCGGGTGGCCCAAGGTCCAGTGGTACGCGCCGCAAGCGTTCGGCAATGAGACGTTCTGGTCGCGGTACCCGACTGCTGACGAAGAGGCCGTAGTGACGATGCTGGCTGTCAATCATGGGGCTAAGGGCATCGTGATGTGGGACTACCCGACCACTGCCGAACTGGCCAACCTTACGAGTCATTTAGCGGCGGTGTTGACGACTGATGCTATCGCCGCGTTCCTTCTGGAAGCGCCCTTGACCCAAACGCTTGACATTCAAGGGGCTGACCGGATTGATGCAGCAGCGTGGTTCGACGCAGGATCGAAACAGCTTCTACTGAGTGTCGTTAATCTGAACTACGAGGATGTCTCCCAAGCTGTCATTGTCTCTTCGCCGGCTGGCGTCAGGATCTCCGGGGTAGCCGAGACGTTTTGGGGAAATGCAGCATTGGTGACTCATGACATTGGGGTCTTTCTTCCAGATGGTGTGCGTGGCCTAGGGGTAGTCATAGTCGTACTCGACACATACTGAGATCCTGCTTGGAATTGAATGGCACAGAATGGACTTGCAGACTGGCATCTGCTTGATATATTCCGCCGTCTTCGACCGCTGTCCACGAATGACTTTTCCAGACTATGCATTTCCGTGTCTCAACTACACGTAACAAGCATAGTAATGGTTAGCGATTCCAGGGTATGGGTCTGAATCCAATATGATGCCCGTAAACCCCATGCTCACACATATCTTTTTATAGAAAAGTTCCATAAGAAAGTTCCTATCGCGTAAAGTTCTACCTATTACCATTGCAGATACACGTGGAACCGCTAACCATTACCATCCTGGACACCTGTACTTACTATCAGGGTGCCACAATCGGGAAAAGCGAATGCGGCAGGGCGTGCATATTGACAAGTAGTAGGAGGTAAATATTATAGACCAGACATTAGACCACTTCACCCACGCTCCAATTTCCTGTACAACTCCAAAAGCCCGCGTAAGATCTCACATCACACGCCACGATGGTCACCTCACAGCACCCCCAAAGACCTAAGCGAGCCACAAGTCCTAAGCGGCCACGCCGTCACCACCAAATTCGCCCCAACAACCGCAACGCCTCAAACCCCCATCTCAGCTATCAAGATCGGCCCCGCGTTCCTCTCCGACGCCGAGGCGATCGCCGCCATCGGTGCCGACACCTTCGCCCAGACCTTCGGGTTTGCGGTGCCACCGCACGACCTAGCCGCCCACCTAGCCGCGACCTACGCGCCGGCCCCGGTCCGGGCCGACCTCGCGGACGCGCGGACGGCGACGTTCGTCGCGCGCGACGGAGAAAGGGGGCGCGTGCTGGGGTTCGTGCAGCTCGTGCGCGGCGAGTCGGACGACAGCGTGCCGGGCGAACCCGCCGCGCAGGCCGAGCTGCGACGGCTGTACGTGGACATGCGGGCCCACGGCCGCGGGATCGGGAGCGCGCTGATCAAGGCGGTCGAGGTCCGGGCGCGGACCGAGGGGTTCAAGCAGCTGTGGTTGACGGTTTGGGAGGAGAGTAAGGGTGCGCAGAGGTTGTACTTGAGGCTGGGGTTTGGGAAGGTTGGGGAGTATGATTTTGCGATGGGGGAGTGCGTGCATCATGATATTGTGCTTGCGAAGGCGTTGTGATGGTGATGGATGGATGGACACTTTGGGCACTTTTTTAACTGGGTGTTGTAGTGGGGCGCATAGATGGGAGCCGTTTGGGCATCGGGCTGATATATGGTGAAGCGGCAACGAAGGCGATACACAGGCGTACGAGCATTGAAGTTCGTCTTTGGACACGGTTTAGATAGGTACATGGAATACCACACCGGGGTCTCTACGAGTTCCACATGGGAGTAGGCCTGCGATAGATGGATGGGCACTTCTTCTACACGAACACAAGGGATTTAATCCAGTCACAAATGCCTCAAGTATAGGAAGGGCAACATATGGCGGCCACGTTATGAGTTCCACGGCCGTAGACGTAAAGGCCTTGTAAACCGTGCTTGCTAAGACAGCGACGATGAGCGTGAGTGTAAAAGGGCTGCCGTGAAAACCTCGCGGCAACGCTGTTGCATGATTTGGAATCGCCTCAGTTCTTCCTTGATATGATCAACTTCTCCATCGCATACCCTACAAAGGCACCCATCACGCGTCCAGCTCATCACCTCCCCAACCCTCACCCCTCCCACACAAACGCCTGCTCCACGCCCTCGATCTGGCCACGAAGCGCAAACCCATAATCGCCCGCATTCGGCGTCCGAAGCAAAGTATGCACATGAAACTTAGCCGGCTCCCCATTCGTGAGAAACACGCCCGAATGGTGATCAAACTCAACCACCACAACCGGGCTCTGAATCCTATAATAGAACGCGTCGGCGTCCCCGAACCCGCCGATCCAGCTAAAGTACGTCTCGTCGAAGCGCGCCGCGATATTCCGTAGTTGGATCTCGCGCGCCCGCGCCGGGAGGTATAGTAAATATTGGCTTAGGATGCATCGGACGAGGTCTTGTTGTGTGGTGCTCAGGGTGCCCACGACGACGCCCTCGTACGGCACGACGCGGTTGTCGCGGTACGCGCCGCACAGGTGGCGTTGGTCATCATGATTCCACCTCCCGCGCGGCATATCCGGGTCCTTCATCAACTTGTAAACCCGCGCTGCAGCCTTCTCCCCATCACCCAGACTCTGCATCAGCCGCAGCCCCAGCCGCTCCTCCTCCTGCAGGATGCGCGTGCCCTCGTACGGCCCGGCGTCGACGACGTTGGGCTCGGCGCCCGTGAACCAGGGCGAGACGACGATATGCGTGCGGTAGAGAAACACGCTGAGGCACAGGTGATGGCCGTAGAACGAGAACCCCCACGGCGCCGTCGTGGACGGGGCGCCGAAGAGCACGAAGTTGTAGCTGTGCTCGTTCATGACGCGCGGGGCGCCGACGAGCTCGCCCAGGAAGTGGTTGATGCGCATCGCGTCCCGCGCCTTGGCGTAGCCTTCGGGCGACAGTGTGGCCTGCAGGACCTCGAGCACGCTGTCGCGGAGCGACGGGGTCAGCTCATCTAGCCGGATGCCCTTGTCGCTGATGAGGAACTCCGGATTGGACCATGTGCGCCATTCGGGCGAGTCGATGTGCAGGAGGGTCTTGGAGGCCTGTTCGGGCGACAGCTGCGACACTACGGCGCTTGCGGCGGCGACGATGCTGTCGATGGGGATGCCTTCGTCTTGGATCGTGAAGAGTCCTGGTTTGACGGTTCCTGTTATAATGGTCAGACAGTCAAAAGGTCGCTCATACACTCACACATCCGCGCTGTCTCATGCCGAAGTGAAGATATCTCGCATGAGTCGACATACATACCGTCATTAGTGATCCCCTTGAACGGCTCCTGGAACAGCTTGCGCCAATGCATGTACAGCCCATACAGCCACGGCGGTGCCTGTTTCTCCTTCAACTCCCGCGCATGGCCATAGGCGTCGTTCTGAGCCATCGTCGTAAACCGCGAGCTGCTGAGGTCTGGCAGATACTGGCGGAAGTCGCCATGTTGCGAGTCTTGCTTTGCCGGCGAGGTCATTCTTAGTAGTTGCGATCTGAGTTTCCCCAAGGTCGCGTGGGATTGTCTATGTTCAAACAGGTTAACGTTGGTTCATGAGCCTCTTTCACCATCGACCCCAAGCTCCCAAAGTGGATGGCTCGAACGAGTGATGATGTCGTGGGGACAAGTAGAGTAGTAATCCTGCTCGGCTAGGCACAGTGAAATAGCTTTGAGCCAGAGGCCTACATCCAACAAACCGACGAAGATGCTAGTTGGTCTATCGCTAGGATCGCTCGAGCTTGCACTCACAGGTTCTTGAAGAGCAGCGACCAGTGCCGCCGCCATGGAGCCCTCGTGAATCGACGGGCGGGGATCATGCCCGGCGCGGGGTGGCCCCATCGGCTCTTCCAGCGGCATTTCCATAGGTTCCATTCCGGCTGACATTTCTCCATCCTTGATCGGCAATAGCACCCGGTTTGAAGTGGCTGTCCGCCTTTGAGTTTTGTCTTCTATTGTAATATTTAAGTGAGTAGACTGCTACCGATTCATGCGTAGGTACGCGCAGCCTCTAGGTTACCCCCCGTCATGAACTCCGCGCCTTGCCCGTGAAGCCAATGCAAAACCTCAAATGAACCGTGGCGCCAGCCTGCTTCTTTGGCCCCCTGATGTCCGTACACCAAAGCAACGCAATGCGAAGTCTCACCCACGCCTCCCATGGCTTTCCCTACAAGTACACGTGCGAACCCGAATCCGAACCTGCCATGCCCGGCCGCTAGCCCATCGCTATAAACCATCTCTTTTGTACACTAAACGCGCCTTGTATCGTGACCGGAGACATTGACCCATGGCGGATGCAATGGGCCACAATCCTGACACCGGTCTTACCGCTTCCTTGTGTCTTTTCCCTTTTTGCTCTTGCTCTTCTTCTTATCCTTCGGCAGTTCCAGTGGCGTGCCCTCGAGTTCTTTGCCCATTGCCCCGAGCATATAATCATCGATGGTTTGTATCCGTTCACCCCAGGCATTGCTTTCCATCTCCTGAAGCACTCCATCCGTGTCTGCAGACTCTGCGTATAGCCCGAGGTTAGACCTCCCGACTCCAGGAGCGGCTGAGTCGTCTCGGGTCGCAGGAGATCCTTGTCGTGCGCTGGAGGTTCCCGACCCAGTTGCTGTTGCAGGCTTTTCCTCAAAGTCGGCTTCGTCTTCTTGGATCTCCTTTTCGGCAACGTGAGCGGCGTCGACGTCCTCACGATCCTCAGCTTGTTCGAGAACACGCCCGACAGCTCGATGATCGCTATTTTCCACGCCACCCAAGACCCGGTCCATGGCATCACCGACCACGTCAGCTTCATCCGTCGGTGCGCCAATGACGTCGCGCACAGATAGCTTGTTGAAGTAGTCAGTTGTGAAGCCACCTTCTTGAATGACAATATCGTCTAGCATCTGTTTCTGGCTCGCTTTTCGCAGAATGTTTGCTTCGATCGTATGCTCGCTCACAAGTCGGTATATGTGAACATCTCTCGTCTGACCAATGCGATGACACCGATCTTGGCATTGCTTGTCCATGGCGGGATTCCAGTCTTGGTCATAGAAGATGACCGTATCCGCTCCCGTTAGATTGATGCCGAGACCGCCGGATCGCGTCGACAAAATGAAACAGAGAATTCGTGGATCGTTGTTGAATCGATCCGTCATTATCTGTCGCTGTTCTATCTTCGTAGCTCCGTCCAGTCGGAGATATTTGTGCCCATGAATATTGAGGAACAGCTCCAGGATGTCGAGAACTTTGGTCATCTGCGTGAAGATCAACGCACGATGGCCGCCGGATTGAAGCTTGCGTAGGAGTCGATCGAGCGCTTGAAGCTTGCCACAGTCATATTGCAAGAGTCGTTTATCAGGGAACTGAATGCTGAGCCTCATACGCGACTCATGCCATGGATCGAGTGGAGGCTCCTTCGGCATAAACGGTGCATAGCGAATCGGGGCAGCTAGTTTGAGGTTCATCTCATCAAATGCTTCAACACCACCTGAACCTAGAACGAATCGATCGATGTCCCTTGTCACAACAGCTGGAGTGACGCACGCAAACTTCGAGATGGTGCTCCTTACCAACGAGGCACGTTGGTCGAGGGTAGGAACCATTGATCTTAGAACAGGCGATTCTTCTTCAAACCAGCTCATGATCTTTTGCGGTACTCTCGGACGCGCCTTGAATGGTCGCTCATTCACACCCAATGTGAGGAGATCTGTCAGTCGCTTGCCATAGACAGGGCGTTGTTGGCGTCTGAGCGCGTTCAAGTAGACATGGTGCTGCAACTCTTCGAATCGACCCCATCGGGCCGCACTCTCCAGGTATATGATGTTTGACTCGACAGTGGAGGGATCCAGGTTGGTGTAAGCGGCCTGTGCTCGTGCCTTTTGGGCTTCGCGAAGATCCATCAGCGCTCCATGTGAACTGAGCTCGGACGTGCGTTCACATACAGTGTTGGATAACTCCTCATGTTGTGCAGGTACTAGGTTGAGGAAGCTCAGGTTGACGATGCTCATGGGGGGGACCGCGAGAAGCTTTCCACGCAGATGGTTTTCAGTGGTCTCGTAGTCGGCGACAATAGACCTGGGTTGTCGAAAAGACGTCATGATGGGTCGCTCAACAAAAAGGTCAGGATGGTTGCAAACCTTCCGTAGCTGCATAAGACAGTTGATGACGGAGATGTAGTTACCCGAAGAAAGGGCTTCCCTGGTGTCGGTGCGGCCGAGGAATCCATCGTACAGCTCACGTTGGCGTCTTGACAGTCGACAGAACTCGACGTGTTCATACTTGCCCGGCATTTGCTTCTCAACATCGGCCTTCAGTCGCCTCAGTAGGTATGGCCTGAGCACTTTGTGTAGCTTGGCAATGATCGCCCGGGCTTCATCATCCATCTGCTCTCTGCCGCTCTCCAGGATCTGGGACTCGGGCTTGTGGAACCAGTCCTGAAACTCTGCTAGGTCTGCAAAGCCACCCACTCCGTTTTCAGACGGCATCAAGAAGAACAACAGAGACCAAAGTTCTGTGAGATTGTTCTGCAGAGGCGTACCAGTGAGTAGGAGTCGAGCTTGAGTGTTGAACCCCAACAGTGTCTGCCACCGCTTTGATTTGAAGTTCTTGATATTGTGTGCCTCATCCAGGACCATGTAATGCCATTGTCGGCGTTTGAAGACTTGTTGATCGGCCAGAACAATCTGGTAAGACGTAATGCAGACGTTCCACATATCATCTGTCTTCCAGCCTTGTCGTTTCCGCCTTCTCTCTTCGATGCTGCCATAATACGATAGGACTTTGAACCCAGGACACCACTTCTTGAACTCCATTTCCCAGTTGAGCATCACACTGGTCGGAACGATGACCAGATGCGGACCCCAGACTTCATGATGACAAGCAAGGTGGGCTAATAAAGCGATTGTCTGTATTGTCTTTCCCAGACCCATTTCGTCGGCCAATATGCCGTTAGTCTGGTTCCTGTACAGCCCCGCCAGCCAGTCCAAGCCGTAATGCTGGTATTCGCGCAGGGTTCCTCGCAGTAGGAACGGCGCTTCTGTCTTTGGCACCTGGGAGTGAGGGGAATGAGGCGAGATAGACCTGCTGGCACCAGATTTCACAACTGAGGAAGAGGTATCGACTTCTGAGGGCTTGGTGTCCGCCGTCCGAGGTGACTGGCTTCGGTCGCGACTTAGAGGATTGGTTACAGCGTCCGTGTCGGAGGAAAGTTGCTGTTGTTCCGATGATGTGTCGATGACTTCGACGCTTGGAATAGCTGCCGCTTTCTCGGCGCTGCCCTCATTTGCCCGCTCAACCGTACCAATAATCTCCATTTCGATATCATGGGCTTGCAACGGTTTCGGTATTGACGTCGGAGCATCGGGTTGATTGCTGAGTTGTGGATCGGACGGCGGCTCCACAGCTCCTGACGAAGGTCCTCGTGATGTTGCTACCTTGACTTGGGTAGAAGATGCGTTACCAGCATCGGTACGATCCTCTGCAGGTGTTTCCACTGCGCCTGCTAGATTTTCCCGTGGACTTGGGCCACCAAGTGGTGCTCCCGGCTTGAGTCTACCTGTCTCAGCAGCTTGATGATCCGCGTCGAGCTTGCCGGCGGCTGGCTCAGGAGCATCTACCATATCAACGTCGTCTTGAGGAGATTGTACTGTCTCCTCGTTGGTAGTATCTTGCTCCATTCGCTTCAACTCATTCTTGCCAAAGAACAAGCCAAGCAGGCCAGAAGGCTCTTCGTCCTCTTCGTCATCCTCACCGGAGCCTTCAGACTCGGCGGCGGGTTCGCCACCATCATCTCCATTACTGTCCATATCCTCGTCACTGGTCCCTAGGTCGTCATCCATATCCACCGATTCATCTGTAGTCTCGCCTTCGTCCTCGGCCTGTGGCTGTATCGTTCCAGTATTGTCGCCGACATCATTTGCCACCTCCTCTGGATCTGGCAACTCTGGAACATTCGTATACTTCTGCAGCAGTTGTTCTTGTGTCAGACCCTCGTCCGAAGCGTTCGACTTGGCGTCCTCGTCGTCGTCGTCGGACGAGGACATATTGTCTTCGTCGTTGCCCAATCCATCACCTAACACAGAGGCTTCATCCGAGTCCATGTCAATATCGTCATCCTCAGCTTCTTCATCGGATTCGTCCAAGTCTTCGTCGTCTTCGTCATCGGACAAGGCTTCTGAATCAAAGTGGGCGCGCCGAGCCTGGAGTTTGAGCTCTGACATATTGACGGCTTCATTAAGGGCAGCCTTCACTCGCTTCTGCTCAGCAGCTTCCCATTCTTCTAGGCGGCGGCGATTGATTTCGACCTTCACATTTTCCCACGTCCCTGCAACAGCCCGCACAACAGTCCTGTAACGCGCGATCCACGCAACCCGGGCTTCGGCTTCGATCTGCTCGGCTGACTTTGGCTGTCGGCGTATCCACTCATCCCTGCAAGCTTCAGCCAGGCGCTTTGCTGTAGCTTTGTGTCGCTGTTGTTCCATCAGCATCAACTTCCGGAAGTTAGCCATTTGCTTGAGGAGATGGTCCGCATGCGCCCACTGGCGAGGGGGTTCTTCGACAGGCTCTGGAACAAAAAGTGCAGAGCGTGCTTCACTGAGTAGGCCTCCTGGCTCAGCCTCGGCCTCAATCCGCAATATGATACTCGCATCCTTCTCCGCTGACTCTTGTGTGTACGGGGGTCCTTCATCGGCGAGATCCAACCAACCGCCATCGTTGACATCTATGGTCGGCGCTCGTCCAACAAAGTCGTTGAAGCTTGACCCAACCTTTGGACGCGCGATTGTCTGACCGGGCGGCACATTGACTTGCGCCGGATGGACGATGGGGAGGGTCACGGGCTTTATGCGCAGCCGAATTCTAGTTGGGCGCGAGTTCGGACTCTCGTGGGTGGGCTGTTCTGAGTCAACGACGGGGTTGTCAAGGCTGTCTCGCGGGGCTCTCAAGCTTCGACTTGTCCTCGTAGATCGTTGCGGTGAGGTCGATGCGGGCGGCGGTGATGGTGAGCGTCTTCGAGTCCTTGGCGATTGCCTTGAGCCGTTCAATGGTTTGCTAACAGGTGCGGGAGCCTTGGAGGCAGCCCTTTTCGCGGTCGACGCGTTCTTTGGTGTCCCATTCGAGTGGCCATTGGTAGATGCACGCTTCTCCTTGGAGGCAGGAGAACCGCCGAGGCCGTGAATAGCACCCCTAGTCAACCTTTTGGTTCCCGGTGCCTGTAGTTCGAGTGGGACAGCATTAGTCCGGCCAGACCTGCGTTTACCATTATCTGTGAAGCTTGTCGGCCCCTCGGCCTCTATCTTCTTCCATGGGGGCGAAATGGGTTTGGGTCGACGGGATTGCTTGTCTGGGGTCGTATCGCGAACTCGACGTCGTTTGGCAGGTCTTCCGTCCACATCACCATCGTCGTTGTTGTCGATACTGTCATCTGCGGCAACTTGAGCGGCAGCAGACTGGTCCACGTCATGGTTCCCACTTGTTTGGGAGTTCGAGGGAGGCACGTCGGGAACACCAGCAGTTTCGGGGATTGTATTGGTATATGAGGGACTATCTGATGTGGTGGCGGGAGGGTCTTGGGCATTGTCGAGTGTAGGCGCAGACTTGGGCGACGCGGTGGCCGTCATAGCTGTCCGGGGTGTTGGGGGAAAGGGGGTACAGTGGGAGCGACGAGAGATGCATTTGAGGGGGTAAAAAGGGTGTCTACGAATAGAGCATCGGCGGGAGAGTGTGGTGGTGAAGTCTGACCATGTCCAGGCCCCTGCGTCGATGGCTATGATGGAATTAGTGGTGGATTTTCCGTTCGGCTGCAGTTTGATGATGATTCAAAAATTTCGTCGGGTCTCCGCCTCGTCACGCTCCGTTTGTATCTCCCTCGTGCTGCACCGACTAAAGTGGTCCGTGTGTAGCTCCCACGCCTGCTGCAGGCCACCTGCAGAGCGTCACTTCAGTGTTCCAAGCTCCGTCTCCATGCAGTCGTCAATCACCTCAACAAACACCCGACACATTCGACCACCGCATTTCGACCGCCCTGGACACATTGAGGCAATTCACTGGCCACAGTAAGCGCCAATTGCACGTCGCCTGCCCCTTACAAGTTCAGCGACGCTAATATTACCCCCGCCAGATGCTTCCTCAGCGAGTTGCGAGGGCTTCGGCTCTTCGTTCGGCGTCGCTGGCAGCGAGACGACTGCCCATTATCCAACAACGAACATTCCTCCCGCAGTCGCTGAACGATAGAGGCATCCTCGATGAGAAGTTCCCCGACAACCCCACGCTCTCCGAGGCCGAAGATCCGGGCCAGAACGGTGGCTACATCAACCCCCCGCGAATCAAGCGACAATTCCGTGATCCCCATGCCGACTGGTGGGACAAGCAGGAGCGACGGAACTATGGCGAACCTGTCCACGAGGACCACGACGTTCTGGGCATGTTCTCGCCATACGAGTACACCTGGGTCTCGCCCGGAAAGGGACTGATGCAGATGGGCGCCTTCGTCGCTACCTTCTTGGGGGTGTGCTGGGTCGTTGGTAGATTATACCCTGACAAGCCGTCATTCCCGCGGGAGTTCGAAGGTGGTTTGGAGCGAGAGCTGGGTGGTGCTGGTGCCATGAGGGTAAGTATTCTTTGACCAGAATCATGATCCTGTCAGCCCCCATACTGATACATCCATAGGCCAGAGCCCCTGGTGACCCAGAACCTTTCCAGGCCGAAGGGGCGGAGGAATAATCCGTGTACATGTAGCAGGACAGCCAGCATCACAATGCGCGTACATAAGGGCTCTTGGAATGCTTCATACCGTACGCGCAGTGAGATACAATCATCAGTCAAGTTTGCTCTTACGAACAGTACTCTCCTTTGTTCAACCAGAATACTACGCATTTTTATTTCAAATCCACGAGTCAGAGCCCGCTTGGTGCAAGTACACCACGAGTTGGAGAGCTATCGATTTGCACAACTTGGCTGAGGAAGGTATTGGTGCGTTTGCGACATGCCGATAAGCAATCGTGGTCTACTGCACTGTCCAGATTTCGGAGTGAAGGGGAGTCCCGTCAGCTTTCTGTGAGCCGTGATACGTATAAGCTCGTTACTGGCTACCTAACTGTCGGGTGCCATTACTGATGACTACCGTATGGCTAGAAACCGAGTAGTGAATCAGACTTCTGGGTACATGAAACTAGCTCGTATAGGAGTCGGTCTTCGCTCTGACTATATGTAGGGGTTTACCTATATGTTGCAGTTGCTCGACTCTGAAGAACACAGCGGGATATGAGACTGCAACACCGCTACCCCCCTTGACCGTCTCAGAAATGTTGTTCGTTCTGATGTAAGTCAACCAGCACGACGTGGCCATGCCTGTTAATTGCAAACTGACAGGCAGCCAACACGCATCCATTCTTGATGTCGCCCAGCAGTTCAGGCCTCGCTTAGATGGAAGCACTCCACGTCGATGCCCGGTTGACTAGACAGGTGTTGCCATCCGTGTCTCGGGGGGAAACGATGCCCGCTTCAAGGAGCTGATTTGCATCGTCATGATGCAGACTACAATGGGCTACTGGGCTCGTGGCTTCCCCTAGAGTCGAATGATTGCTCTACCTACCTAGGTTGGCACATGCACATGGGACCACCTTGTTCAAGCTTAGACATATCTCACGCGAGGCGGCTAATTCACGAAAACGAGGCATTGTTCATGTTATCCCGTGGTGGTGTTCAGGATCTTAGGTACGGTAGGCATTGCCCTACTTGGACGTTTCAATAATAGCTACGAGCTGAGCAGGGCCAAACAGTCTGGAATCATCCTGCAGGTGTCTCCCTGTGGCCATGACTGCATGCCAATAATCACCTGCAAATTTCCTACGAATGGTAACAAGTGGCAAGAAAGAGCCAGCAAGTCTGTTCCCTTCGCCTCACAACATTCCCGCGCAATGGCCACACTCGTTGGTGAGAGGAAGGGGCATGTTCCTACCTACCCACCTACCCAGATACGTGCTCGAGAGTGAGTCAAGGAAATCACGCCTCCGTCCGTCCACCGTGCTTATCTCGGGAATATACTCGACCTGCTACGGGTCGGGAGCTCCTGGTCGTCCATATATCAAAGCCTTTCTCCTTCTGGCCTATCTTACAGAGACGCTGCAGCGGAAAGGAGCTAGCAAGGCCAATGGAAGCTTGGGTCCACCCATCAGCCAATGAAAGAGCCATTCGACTGTTGACGAAGATGAGGCTGGGAAGGAGCGAGAGGTGTGCGTAACTTCCTTCCCAACTTAAGGGCTTCAGGTGGCAGTTGGCAGTTGGAAGTCGGCAGTCGGCAGCTCGCCTGCTTGGCCGGTGTCGACATCAACCAGGTCGAGCTTCATGTTTCGACACCTCCGATCCCTCCCGTCTGATCAACACCCCTTCGCCATTACAGTTCAGTTGACCAAACGTCGCCCAAATCAGCTCTCTTTCTACGCCTTGAAAGGGGTATTGCCGGTCCTTTTCCAGTCTTGCTGGTTATATCAATTGACCGCCGCTCGTTGCACCTCCTACCTCTTTGGCTACAACTCTTAACTGCATCTTCAACATCCGCCAAGATGCGCTACGAAGACTGGGATGTGCTGCTCTTCCCCATGGACTCCAAGGTCCCTATCAAGGAGTTCAAGACGAGCTGCCATGTTGTCCATGACACTGGTACGTGTCTGACTGCCCCTGTCTTGTCCTGTGCTCGACCTCGTCAACGGTCTACTGACTGCCCATCAACTGACAGAGTTCGCCTACACTCATGGATCCTTCGGCTTGCCGACCATGACTTGCTTCATGCCCGGCCTCTCTCCCGGCACCCCGTTCAACATCTCGCTCCACTGTTGGAAGACTCCCGACATCAGCCAGTTCACACGAAACTACAGCAAGCACCCCGAGCTGGTCAAGTTCGAAACAAGGGTCTTGGTCGATGGCCGCTTGGTTGCGTATGGCCTCCAGGACACATCCCAGCCTAATACTGTGTGACTGGGAGATGGCTGACCGGAACTACCTGCAGCTCCTCGTCGTTCAATCGCGGTGGGCCATGGCCCCAATTGATCAATCATAGCTTCGGTACTCTGGGCAATACATATGTATTGGTGAGTTTGTACGCTAACAGCTAGACAGAGTTCACCAAGAACGGAGATCTCGAGATTCTCAAGTTTCCTACGTTTCGTAGTGAACTCCTCCGACAGAGCTACTGGAGCCCAGCCGATGAGGTCGGGCGAATCAAGATTGTCATCAGCGAGGGTTTCCCACGGGACTCTCTGACTGTTCCAATCGAGCGAGTGAAGAATATCATTGCGTTCTCATTCCAGCATGCTCCTATCGGTAGGCACTTCACTCCTCTCCACAGATACGTGAGGTTATTCACTGACCTCTGCGCGATCAAAAGACATTCTGGAGACTTCTGGGATTGCTTGGCCGAATCCCGCTATGTGGCGCCGCGGACCTTTCAATCCTACCATGCCCGTACCGACACAGCCTCACGAAGATGGCCCTGATGCACACCTTCACTCTCCACGCCGTCGAGCGAGTCTGATGAAGGCGGCATCGACCTCTTCGGGATTTGGATCAGGCAGTCTGGGGATGTCGCAAACCAACACAAACAGTTTCCTCGGATCCATGCCCAACACCCAGGCCGTACTTCAACGGGGAGGAAATGCTTCCAGCTCCGGATATACGGACCCTTTCGGTCAACAGAAGTCCGATACTACTGCTTATCTTGACTGGACAAACAACTTTGGGCCCGTCGGATATACCCAGGCCGGTGAGGCGAGCAAGTCAGGCTTCAACACTGCGTCCGGTCGGAAGACCACTGAACACAGGAAGATATCGAGCTCGGACGCCAGTATGCTGGAGTACAATTTTGGCACCTCGAGCAATGCCCACCGTATAGCAGATCTTCAGTCGATGAACTTCTCTGGGGCCCTCGAGGATCCTGACATCAGCACTCTTGCCCCGAAAGCCCCAGCCAATACTCCGACGGCCATGGTGGAATCCAGCTTTATTGATGAACTCGGGATCGACGTGAACAGGATTGGCACATCTGGAAGTACGTCGAGCTCTACTGCACACCGAGACTCGGTAACCCCTTTCCAAGGGACCTTGCTAATGATTGCCAAATAACAGACACTCCACCATCGGACGATTTCTTCAACTCGAACACCAACTTCTCATCGGAGCTGGCCACCTCGTTGACTCATTCGCTGCTGAACCAGCCCCATCCTCTACCGGTTCAAGCATCAAACATGTCCCTTCCTGCGACCGACGTCAAGTCCCGGAAGGAGAACCGCCTGAACCAAGATGCTTTCGGTGAAAGTACATCGGGTCTCGAACACATCGACATGCGCAAGGTATCACAATCGGCCTTCAGCAATGTGGGTAAAGATAGTCGGGACACAAGCACGACTAACTCCCCACCCAGCCAAAGGACCTTCTCGGGGGTATTCTCCCACCGATCTATATCTGGAGGTGAGTTTGGGCACGACTTGACTAATGTCGTCAACTCTTTCACGCGTCCCAGTGGTGACCCGGCTGTGAGCGGCAACTTGAACACGGACAAGTTTAGCAAACGTACTCGCCATTTCACGCCTGCTAGTGCAAAGGCGATCGACGATGAGGACGAACCTCGGCGTAGCAGCCCGAGAGTTCGCATCCCGGAACTCGAGGATCAAATGCCGCAGACCGATTAATTGCTATCATCGGTCTCTGCTGGGGTGGGACGTGACTTGGAGGCGTTTTTTTTTTTTTTTTTTTGGAAGATTATTGAATACTCAGCTGTTATTGGAAGCATCTGCAGTGGAGGGAGGATACATCATCCGCATGGGCTTTGGTGGCGGAACGGCAAGTGAGAGGACACCAGGCCTGTCAGGTGACGCCAGGCTGTTACCAATACATCAACCTGGCTCAACAGAATATAGGCAGCCGTGTGCATCGGAGAACACCTACAGCCTGCACCCTCCGGAGCATTCATGGATGGGCGTATCGTTATGTTGGCGACTAATGTCTCGTAATGGGTTGTGCTTTTTGCAGACATCTTCATAGAGCAACTCCACAGAAACAGAAAATCGATGTTTGATGCATTGGCTAACAAGATTAATGCCCAAACCTACGATGCCGTGCGTTGAGTCTGGTGATGAATCATGTTAGAAGCTGCAAGCAGCGGTTATAAATCTATGCGTATGGTACCGGACCAGCTCGTACGGAACGCTACAGTCTTATTCATCACGAGAATATATGTGCATTGTCCATCATCACGTTGAAGAGTCACGTTCAGTGGTTAGATGCTGCAGTGAGACGATGTTTATCCGGAGCTCGCATCCTGCTTTCCTTCCTTTTCAGGAACGTACCTCCGAGCTGGCCGCTCAACGGACTACCTTACTTAGTATATTCCACCAAAACTCAGGCGATGACCTGAAATCAAGATAGCCGGTCGTATACTTGGCAAGATGTCTACCTCTCTTGCGAAGCAATCGGGACCTAACGATGCTGTGGGCCTAGACCCTGCTTCACCAGCCTGCATTGCTTTGTCAGCATGGTATATCAAGTCCGGATCGATGGCAATACACCTACGGGCTCTCCATGAAATCATGGTATCCAAACATCATGTACGAGTTCACCTTGGTCAGCTCAACTTCTGCGCCACCTCGCTTTGCAATCTGATCACTGTAGTCATGGATCAGCTTGTTTTGGTCTGCAGCAGCTCCGCCGGCAATCTGCATCGTAGCCCAGAGCCCGCGGCGTCGAAGGGTCACCCTCGTCCCGCAGAGTTGAGATACTCCTCGCGGTGGATTGAAGTGCCTGCAGGCAAGCTCCTGTGCCAATTGGTGGCCATCAGCCATGGGCGCTGAGAGGTCATGCCACGATGCTGTTGGTACCTTGCAGCATACATAGAGGTCCCATTCATCGACTGGGCGTGGGGGAGAGCATTGTGTCGAGCAAGTGGCCGCATGTTGCTCATGCTTCCATCCCCCACCTGGTGAGTCTTTTGAGAGTGACATATACCTGTTGACTGTAACAGTTGATTGTGGAGCCATCACTGCTTGACAAGCTTGGTGTGTCCCTCCGGCAAAAATGGGCTTATGACATTGAGATGACTTCTGCACGTGAGGTGCAAGAGGCTCTGGCAGAATCACAAACCACTGACACTAGGTGTCAGACGTGTCTGTTGCTACGGTGAGGTCACCTTTGCTCGTTGATGTGTGCTGCTGGTCAACCAGAAATTTGATACATTTGCACGAACTGGCGGGCTCTTCCCTCCATCTCTCCTCGCAACCTAGACATCTCGACTCTTCCACCGTCTTGGGCCCACCCCATCTCAGCTATATATATATCTTCTTGCTTCTTTTGCCGCTTTTGCTATCTCTCACGTCTGCAGGCACGCGATTTGCGTGGGACACCCGCCACCGAGACCAACAGATACCCTGTCCATAAATCGATATTGCCAGCCAACTCTCTTCTTTTCCAGAGCGCCTACTGGCAGGACGCGAAGGATTCCGCAGTCTACATTCCCGGATTAGATGATATTTCCATGAAGTTCTGCATCGAGTATGCTTAGTGGATGTAAGTATCAAGAATCCTGTTCCGTATCCGAGAATCAAAGCTAATGCCCCCACGGTGTCTTGCAGTACGGACATGCTGCATCGATATCACCAAGAAACCCGAAGAGCTCGTCCACCACCTAGCAGCACTCTGGAGCACGGCGGACTATCTGATAATGCCCAAGCTCCTGGACGATCTGCTGTTCCAGCTGAGGATGTTTCTCAGACGCGCCTCGGACGCACTGCGTCGCTCAACAAGCGTCAGTGAGGGCCTATCGGAATTACGGCAGTATGCGACGCTCTGCTCACAAGTAGTTGAGGATATCTTCGACCAGCGCCTGGGCCAAGCCTACCAACCTTTCCTGTTCGTTATCTCGAAGTTCTTCAAAAAACATCAAAGCCACACAGCGGGTCTCCCTGGGTTCCGAAAGATCCTTCTCGAGTTCCCGGAATTGAAAACCAACTTTGGGATTGGAATGCTGTTGTGACGAGCCGTCTAACCTATAAGGCTAAAGGGTTCTATAGGGTTTATGTTCTGAGGTAAGTCAACACAAAAGACGATAGAGGCTTCTGTCAACTAGAAGACACTCAGATGCTGGGACTTGGTCTGAACTGGGTTCACTGAATAGTCGAGTCGTCAGGAGATTTCTCCCACCTTAGGGTTGGCTAAGATGCTTAGATTGATCACTGAGGTAGAGACTGTCTATCTGTCTAGCTAGGAAATGTCCATCCTTATATATCCAATCTCTCCCTCACTGATGGGGTGGATATATTGGATAACCTTGTTATCCAAGCTATCCTAGATATGTTGGATAACCTCACTATCCAAGCTATCCATCACGTGATGTCTTGATCACGTGACCTAGACGTTTCCTCGGCCCGTGCGTTCTCCCGGGTTCTTCCAGTTACTGTCCATCTTGTTGGGCCTGCCAGCGGGCCTCATTCCCTGTACGCCTCGTTGGTTCGTAACAGATGTCCCCCGGATGTACAGGCACGGGGTTCATCTTTAGAAGAAGGTACCCTTCGTCGGGAGGTGGTCAGAGCTCTTCGGATACATCCTTCGGAAGCACCCTGTCTGAGCGCATCTGTTGGAAGCAGTATGGATGATGACTTGCAATTCGTCACCATTCACATCCCAACCATGGTATCCATCCGTCAATCACATGTCATGTAAGTACTCCAACAACTCCTCGCTTATTCGCCGACTAGACTAGGCACACTTGGACCCATTTTCCTGCAACTTGCAACTTGACACTTGAGTAGCATCGCACTCGATGACCAGCTGTTAAGGGAACACGCTCCGGAGGCAAAGAGTACGTAATTAAGTAGGTACGTAAGATAGCTATCTTATAAAGACAAAACTGGTTGGTATCACAAACCAGAACTGCATAACTATGGGCACAATCCCAACAGTGTGAAAATCCTGCTGTGGGCTAAGTGGCCTAAAAATGCCCTATTGGCCTTGTTGGTGCACTGCCACCTCCCTGAACGCCACGGTGGCTTGCGCGCCATTCAACAGACAGTGACCAGTCGCAAGTTCGAAGGTCTTTACAGGGCGACCGGCTTTCTCCATGCCCTCAACGATGTTTTGCTGGTAATGCAGAGGCACAAAGGTATCCGTGGTTGTGTAGATGTATGATACTGGTATGTCGCGCCAAGCGGCATGCTCAGTCGGCTGATACATGGCTCTGCCGTTCCAGCGGACAAAGGTTGCGAGATACTTGTCGACTTCTTCTTCTTCGACTCCGGGACCCACCATGAGTGCCTTTGGGTCACGGAAGAGACAGGTGTCGTCGTCGGCAAAGTCGAAGACGAGGAGCACAAGGTCCATGTTGTCAAACTCGTTGACCTTGTCCATGGCGGCGATACCTTCGGGAACGCCATAGGCCGTGATGTAGATGAGGTTGGCGATGCCGCCAGGCAGGTCTTGTTTGGCGCGGGTGTCGTATCCAAGTCCGTGCAATGCGTTGGACCCGACCTGACCGCCGTAGGAGTGCATGATCACCGCAACGGCACGGCCAGACTTGACAAGGCTCTCGACATAGCTACGGACCAAGGCGGTGTCGGTATAAAGGTCGGAATTGGGAGGGCGCGTGCCGTTCATTGATGGCAGGCGTGGGAGGTGGACCTCATACCCCTGGGCTCGAAGGGCGGTTGTGAATTTCTTGTACGATTCGGGGACATGCCATCCGCCGGAGACAATGAAGATGGTTGGTTTGGGTGAAGCAGCCATGATGATGATGGGGATGGTATTGACGTATCCGCGTTGTGGTTTGTGTAATCTGATTATGGCTTTGAAAGGGGACCTGTGATGTTGTGATGTTGTGTTCCATTTCTCCCACTGTTGGTCGCAGTGCACTTGGGACCGTGGCCTACCTATTTAACATCCTCTACTCCGTACCTACTTAATATAGGTACTGGCTGATAAGTTAATAATGAACCCAAGTATTCGGGTAAGGTCCTCTTACCACCCAGACTCCAGATTCGCTAACCCTCACCAGAGAGCTGCAGCAATCTAGCAGCGCCTCCAGCAACCAGCAGTGCCAACAGCTCATACACAGCCCCGCTGCCCGGCTGTGCCACCCCCACTAGGCAAGCAATGTTGGGTTTTGAATAGGGCGGCGGACATTCGCTGAGAGGAGGAACCATTCCAGTCATTTTCAAGTGCCAGTCGCTCGGACTGATGGTGATCCATGTGAGATATCCAGTCCACACGGGGGAAGACTTCAAATTCAAATTGAACCTAATTTATTGGCCTCCAAAACTATTCCCTCAGGTAATCGAACCAGTTCTCATCATTGTGATGTACTCTGGGCAAGTTGGTCATCATTGGGAATTGATTTAGTGTAGCCTAACACGGCAGCGCGGGCAAGTTTCGTGTTGGCAATACCACCACACGATCATGTCGGTCACCTTTAGTTCCATTCCGTTTGGTTCTTGCATCAGGTTTAATACCCCAATGTGCCATGTGAGCCGGGCCGGGCCGGCAGTGGCGCACACGACTCCAACTTAGGATACCACCCTACTTGCACAGATCCTACCATAAGGCTCGTAAGTTAAGGAAATGCACTGCTGCCGTAATTGATTGGCATTTCATTATATTGCTACATCTGTAAAGCTGGAATGACCCCATTCTGAAATGACATTGATGCATCTAGATTTCTTTGCTAGGACTTGGGCCTCATGTACTGGTGATGCTCAAACATAGGTGCTAGGTTATAGACGCGCAAGGTGGAAGATATGTAGCTAAAGTATCTATGGCAAAATAGGTCAAAAAATAAGTAGGTGTGAGGGAAAAAAAGATGGTCCCTCAGATTAATTTTTTTATGTTTGAAATATGAGTACGAAAGTACATGATTTCTTGATAACAACAATACTTTTAATTCTTCATTTGGGATATAGAGGCAAGTGCATTTACCACTTGGCCATTTGGCCGTGCTGGCGATGTTGTGTTGGGCTCATACCTTGCTTTTTACAAGTTGGCTGCCGTGCTGGTGGTCCATTTACTGGACGGACACAGACAGCTGCCTGGACTTGGATGCGAGTTTCGATAGTTGATGCCTGAGCAGAATCATCTACTTGCAGGACCACAAGCAGAGGGTGCTGCCTAGACCCTCATCCCTCGTCGAGACCATGATAATCCCAGCTTGTGGTGGTATATCTCGAACAACCCTTGCACCAGATCTCATCGTTGATGGTCGAGGACGGTTGGACAACAACCCTAAGCTGCCACCCGATCAGCCCTTATATCTACCTAGATACACAGGTCGAACTGTAAACGTGAAATGACATACTATGTGTAGATCAAATCAGAGTTATTCGCAATGCACATGCAAAAACCACTTGGTGTTCTCCAATGCGAGCACAATTTCTTCATCCAGTCCCGAGCCTAGTTCGACAAGCAGGCTGCGAGACCGGCGACCTGGCCTATGAAAACGGAACGTACTGGACACCAATGACGAATGCTGCCGACTGGCCGACACTGGCATTCTCCAACCCTTGCCTTAACGACATTGCGCAATTGAACACATCCGTCAAGTACTGCCTCGCGCAGCTGACAAGTACACCGTGCAGGATTGCGATATCGCCGCTGATCATGTACGCCGTGGTGGCCGCCAACGCGCTGAAGATGGTATGCCTTATCTGCACATGGTTCCTGGTCCAGCACCGGGCGAGGCACGAGGGGGAGGAACGGTTGGTGACCGAAGGGGACATCATCGCGAGTTACCTCCGCCAGCCAGATCTGCGGTTCGCCGGTCCATGTCTGGCATCCAGTCGACTTGTACGGGGTCGTGGAAGGACTCATGAACTAGATTCAAGCACTGTCAATTTCTGGGACCTGGACAAGCCAATTGCTATGCCATGGATGGGCGGAGGGGCAAGCAAACCTCGAGAGCCTTTGCCGAATCCCGTGACTTTAGAACCGGAGACGAAGCCATTTGACTTTTTTCCATTAGGCCGCGTCCCGGCAGACTCTGTCGATCAGGCAGACGCAAACCCAAGAAGACAGCTCCCCGCTGGCTACTCGCCTGCGCCGATCTTGGCCGTGCTCGGTCTTCTGGTTGTGTTGGTGGTAGGTGTCGGGGTCATGGGCTGGGTGAGGCGGTACGACGGTGCTGAGCATATGCCTCTCGTCGCGGCTTGTAGCACCAGTCTGGCTGCTGCGACGTGTCCTCTTTCATCGAAACCACCTTCATACACCTACTCCTACTCCGGGGAAACCGGACCCCAGCTCTCCATGGATGGCGACGGTAGCCGCGTAAGGGAGGACGATACTATCAGTAGCAAGCTTCCTAAGACCTCTTCTGTGAGAGAACGGTTCGACGAAGGTCTGTCGGAGCAAGGGCTCCTGTGGGGAGTGGTCGACCATGGGGACGGCATCGGGCGGCATGCTACCCCTTCCCAGGAACCAGTAGGCACTTTATCAGTCGGGGCGCTGTATTCATAGTTAAACACCTCGTATCTGTCATACGAAATTCCAAATGCCCTTACGAAGTGATTGTCTGAGGACTTAAATGGCCTATAAGTTCAACTGTAGACCAGGAATCACGCGAGAAAGGTCAGACTGTTAAGTCAGAGATGCATATATTCGTCTTTAGCACGTGCTTCATGTATCGCATCGTTTCGTTGTGTCCTCGTGATCAGTTACTTGTTGGGGTGCCACAGCTCTGATTGCGACCGTCCAATGATTTCAACCACGACACGAATCATCTCATAAGGCCCCAAGACAACTTCTACGGACCTTATCCCCATTTCCAGAGTCAAGTATCCATCTCCATCCAGTCATCAGCCCCTAGAAGCCCAGAGCCGAGTTGAAAGCATCAGCAGTCGACGCATCTTTCGTTCCCAGAGCCTCAGTCGAGGCCTGGGCATCCTCGCAGGCGGTGACGGCCGCATCGTTGGCGTCGCAGACGTTGGTCAGCTGGTCGCAGATGCGGTTCATGATGATGCTGGGGTTGAGGGCGTCCTGCTGGCCCTGGGCGACGACGGGGTCTGTCGGCAGGAAGGTGCCCTCGTCGGCCTTGCGGCCCGCGCGGCCGAGCTGGAAGTCCATCGTTGGTGTGCACGAGCCGAAGTCGGCGGCGGCGGAGGCGCTGCTGCTCTGGCGCGGGCGAAGGGGGCCTGTTCTGGAGGCAGAGACTGTGGCTGCCGCGAAGAGGGCGAGGATGATGGCTTTGGTCCGCATTTTGGTGGTTGGATGGGGTGATTCTTGGTGGTTTGAAAGGGGTAGAAGACCGGCTTGCGGTGTAGTGTTTGAAACTGTAAAAGTATTTACTAGAATGGAAGAAGCTCGCAGAACTTGGTGTAAAGATCGAGGTCAACTCGTAACGAAAGAACTGAAGCAGGCGGTAGTTGGTGAGCCGGATGGTGAGGATAGACGAACGACCAACATCGGAGGCGCTGAGGGTTTAAGTACACTTTCTGGGAGTTCATAGCATGGATCGCAGTGAGGGCCCGTTGCTGGTGGAGATCGACACTGGCAAGTTGCATCTGGCGATGATCATACCACAGCACCCGCGTGACACGGGACGAACCTGCGACGAGATATGGGTTCATTTTTCTTGGCCCAGGCAAGCCAAGAAGAAGCGGAGTCGCTTGCATGTATCGCTTATTTCGTCGGCTAGATCGTGTTCGTCTCATCTCTAGTCGATTCTTAAGGCGTTATTGATTCGGGAGGTATCTTGCGATTGTCGAACGCTATCAAGTACGTTCGGGCGGGCGGAAGACTGACAGTCAATGAAAACAATTTGACCATCCGAGGCACATCGCACATAGCCACTGCAACTGGCTCTATTTACACCAGGACGGCACCGCTCACCGCCAATATCTACGCGGTTGGAGATGTTGAGATGGTGTTGACTCCGATGCCCACCCGATCGGGCGGCAAATGCAGTCGAGAACCAATCAGAGTCTTGGAATCGCAACGGCGATCAAACGTCCAGCCAGGGGTGACATCGGGCTCGGCCGAGTCTCGTCTACGTCTCCGAAACTGCGACTGCATCATCTTATCATCCCGTGTCCAAGGCACAGTACGAAGGCATAACAATGGGGAGTGGTCGATCAACGGCCTAAAAGACATTTTAGGGAGTTCAAGAGCTTCTCACGATCGAACGACGCTGAGCTAAGGCGACGGTACACCAAGTCACTGGGCCGCTGCCAGGTCGCTCACCAACACGATGAAAGAAAAACACAGATAGAGAGGAATTAGTTGACCTGTCTCCTCCCTGGTTCCTGGAATAGATTTTTTGACTATGAAAAACGCCCAGGTTGAAGTCGCCAAGACCGTTTATATGAGCGTTGACTGCTTCAACCGACCGCGACGACGGCGCTTCTAGCTGGGCAGGCTGGGTAGCTACCCTCTTCCTGCGACACTGTGTCTTTGGTACTTCCAACTTACCAGACGCGTCTGACGTCGTTGATTTAACATTTGGCTTCGTCGTTTTGCCTCCGCCGGGCATCCCGACCACCCCGAGCGGACGAAGGAGGTTGTCTATTATCCACAGCGTGCGGAATCGATGACGGGTTGCCGCTGGGCCTCACATATTCCTTCTTAACTTCGTGGAGTCCATTAAAATGAGGCACTGTGTGGAGGGGCTCACCCTACTCATCTCCGCAGACGAAGTCGTCTTCGTCATTGGCCGGGTCGCCAAAGCCATTGTTGAAATAGGCGCTCGTCTCAGCCATCCGCTCCTTGGGTGCCATTATCCTTAACAGCCCTGTGGTGGAACGAGAAGTATCCGGGGGAAAAGATCTTCCTTGGTGTAGGAAAGTAGCCAAAAAGTAGGAGCTTGGAAGGGGATGTCCTGTTGATGCCAAGGTTGCTACGCAATGGCAGTGTTGGACTTGGTGCGTCCCTCGGGAAGGAGACCGTTAAGGTAGTGCAATGTTGCAATAACTCTGGTACTAGACAACGAAACCGGAAGGATTTAAGCTTGCATATGTAGTTTGTGGGGTTGGTTCATTCGTGAAAGAGTGCAGATAATGTGGAAGGGGTGATGGCATGAAGGAAAGACCGCGTAGGAGAAGGATAGCCGGATGGGAAAGTTTGATTCCACTGCAGGAGCAAACTGATTTGGTTTGGCCAGTAGTGAGGCTCAAGCTGCAACGGGCTTTGGGTGGTCTGGTAGTGAGTAACTGTGAGATTTCAAACCGTTCTGTATTGAAAGGAAAGAGAAGAAGATCTCTGGGGGAGAAGCCCCCATATGTACAGGTGTGCCATCAGGGTGACCAGATAATCATACGATAATGGCGCCAGGATCCTGGTGGCCTGAGGGTGGGCTGACTGCCCTGAGGCTAAACCCATTAGCGCATTCAGCCCCGAAAGCCTCAGCCTGGTATGATATCCAACAGTAACTCGTTAGGAGGTCGACGGCGAGAAAATACTCAAGGGCTATAGCTAGGTTTGAATACCCAGTCAGTGCCTTTGTCACGGCACTAGATGACGGCCCTACAGCCCAGGGGTATATATGTCAGATCATGACACCTAGCTAGCACATATTTTCTTTCCTTCTTCACGTACATCAACCAAGTCATTTCTGGAGTCACCAGCAGTCGAACTGTGATACTTTAGACAATGGGGCTTCCTGGCAGTGCCCTGAACAATGGGACTTCCTATTTGAATGAGGGCAAGTTCTAATGCTATTCTCATACCTGAAAACCATGTAAATAACCACGCTATTACGTTTATCAACATTCACCTGCATCGCGTTGCATTCAAACTCGGGCAACTATGGCCAAAAAAAGAAAGTCCGACTCGGTCACCGAGTCGGACGGAGAGTGTGTCCCATCCATCATCAATATTGTCAGACATATACTGACGACACTCCCAAAGGCTCCTCGAAACAGGCATGTTCTCCGACGTCACCGTAACCCGCGGGCATAAGACGTAGAACCTGCATCGCAACCTTCTGTCAACACGAAGCAAGTATTTCCGGTCCGCATTATGCGGCGGCTTCAAGGTCAGTCCAGTGGCCCCTGCACCACAGACGCAAAATCTGACTACTTGCACTACAGGAAGCCACAGATCGCCATATCGAACTGCAGGAACAGGACCCCCTTGAGGTCGGCTGGATCATCAACTATATCTACACTGAGAAAGGTTAGTTGGCTCCAGTGGACCATGCCAACTTGATTCATTGACCACCCCTTGCAGCCACGCCCGACCTTGCGAAACTCCTGGCAAACGACGAGACAGTGTTACCGACCTGCCTCAGACTCTTCACTGTAGCTGACTTCTTCGATCTTGAGAAGCTGAGCGATATTGCCACCAACATCCTCCACGAAGCTCTGATTCATCGAGCAGGCAGGGTCCAGCAAGAGTTCTATGCCGCCCCCTCTCGCGAGGCGCCCATCGATTTCGAAGCTATCATAGACGATGAGTTCGTGGATCAATTCTTCGAGGTGGCGACGAACGTGTACTGTCAAGGGTCATCGACGTGTGAACCTCTGAGAGCTGTGCTGGCTGACTTCCCCTGGCACACTCTCTTTGCCGCTATGCATGTGGGCTACTTTGAGTCTCGGATGTACGCGCTGCCACAGTACTGCGCTGCTGTCTTGCGCGAAATGATTGAGCAAGACCTTGCCTTCGCGCCCTTGGTTCGGACGTGGGCACCTCAGACTTGTGAAGATTGCGGATCAAATTCCAACTTCTACTCGATTTGGCAGCTAGACTCTTACCAGGATCTGTCAAACAGCGTGTATTATGGTTCATCTGGTTGATGACGTGTATTCTGGTGATTCTCATTGGAGTGTCTGTTTCTGAAGGATCTGCTGTCGTAAGCTGCAGGGCCTGAAATTGCCCTAGAGGCCCTGTTGGTGGTGCACTGCCACTTCCCTGAACGCCACTGTGGCTTGCGTGCCATTTGACAGGATCCGGAGCAGGCATCACGAGGTACCGTCAAGATTCGTGGTTGGTGTAGAAAGTGCGAACCGATCAGTGATGAGAATGCGCTCACGCACTTTATTGGACCGTCGCTACCGGTGGATGGGAAATAGAGGGAGGGCTTCTTCGAATCATAGCAATAGACGCAATGGTTACCTAGAGAGCATCTTTTGAGAACACCATTCGATCATATCACCATAAACCATGATACATATGATTCACCATGTCTTGTGTATAGCTTATCTCGTCAACCCTTTGCGCTGAGCCTCTATCCCCTTGACCTCGGACACTGGCCATTTCTTTTCAGCGACGGGAATTAAAATCAGGCCATGCTTGCTGCCGCCAGCCCAATGCCGGAGCGATTGTTTAGCTATGATGTCTATCCTCATATCTATTAGAAAATCAATTAAACATTATAATGTACCTCCTGAATGCCTGAGGGTTTCATTTTAATGCTTACATATTGGACGCGGATGAGTAACGCGAGAAACACACGTCAAACCTAGGTAAGATACATACCTCTTGAGGATGTAAACGGGCAGTCCGGAAGTGGTGGAGCAGGCGCGAGAAAATGGCCAGTCTCTGAGTTAAGTGGATAGCATCGGACCCCAATACAAACCCGCATTCTTCTCACGCACTTACATGTGAGCAATAAAAGTCTACTTATTTCTTATTAATACCACTGGCTTCGTGCGAAGCTTCTAGGATTATGCTATATGTCATTCGTCATTCTTTTATCGGCTATTAATTAGTTGACTTATGTGGTAAGAACACAAAAACTTTAAGAAAGCCTGGTATGTCTCGTTGTTAAAAGCTAGTTAAACACTTTGTATGTTAAAGAGGTATACTCCTTAATTAATACCATGTCTTAATCTGCTGGGTTGAAAACACAAAGCTTATTGGTTAAACTTTCTAGCTATGTAAGGATTCTTATTTTTATACGTATCAATTAAATAGCCCTAACTTATTATATATCAAACAAGTTTATAAAGAATTTGCACGTTAAAAGGCGAAAAGTATTAAGCTTTAGGCAGTTACCTTTTTTAATATAAAGTTAAAAACTATTTATTATTCAAAATCTAACACAGCTATTTATTGCTTATACAAGTTAATTAGATATATATATAAACGGCTATTGTCACGGTGAGCATACTGAGGAGCTGGGACATGGCCTGCAGCAAACAGCTATTACTCTATTGACAAAAATATCAAGACTAGAGGGGAAAGGAAGGGAGAGAGAGATAGGTACAGCGGGAGGTTGCCCCTTTAAGGGGATTCTCTGGTCAGATCCTTCCCCTATTGGG